TCGCTACTGTCAGTTTATTTGTTAATATAGACATAGGCATGTGTGTCTATAAATGTGCTTATTTTCTGTTTCCTATTGCTTATTTCTGTTACTGTATTCAAAACTGTGCTCTTCTGGGGCGATGTACTGTAGTGTATTAAAGAACAAAGGCGCTGCACTTCCAGGTTATATGTGAAAACTAAACATCTTTATGTTCACTTCGGGTCATAATCGATTTTATATTGAGTATAATTACAAGAATTTCTAGAATCCTATCAGTTACGTTAAGCGGAGTCACAAAAAGCAGAGTCCCTTATTAACATTTTGCATGGGGAGCGGTTGGGATATTGATGACTTACATGGTAGTGACAAGTTAAGCCCGGCTGAGTTATCAGCAGTTTACTGTGATTGTTAACCACTAATCCCCTCCCCTCCTAACTATAATTATAAAGCAACTAGTTCATTTACAAATCCTGGTGCAGACTCAGCAAAATCCCACTGTCATACTGTGCACCACTCTCATCAGATAGTCAGCTAATGGTTCTTATAACATGGGCTGCATAGTGGTGAGACATCGGTTCATACTTATCACGCTCACCAATTGAGCTTATCTAGCTCAGCGGTGTCTGAATGTAGAAATACTGAGCTCAAAGCTTTCTCCACAGGGAGGCAGGATAAAGTGTATAACAAAGCAGCACAGTACCTCAGGGCATTAAAGTGGACATTACCATTCCTGAACATCTGACAGCAGACAGTTTGCCTGACCTCTCAGCAAGTAATTGCACAGGGCACTTTTGAGAAGACTAAAAAGAGCGAAGAGGTTGCTAAAAAGAATTGAAATGGAAGGAGTTAAAAGAATGGTGCGAATTTGTATCGATTTAAAAGGGTTTCAGCCTCATCAAACTCCTCACTAATCAGAGAGTTTTGCTGTTCCTGTACAATGCTCAGCACTTCAACTCAACTGTTTGTTACTTAAGTGGATAGCAGATAATGGAAGGAAGTTGATGCAAAGTGACATGCGATGACAAGCCTCAACAAAACAACTCTCATCCTTCCCCACTGATAGCTGTAGGGCACTTGTGAAGTATATATTTTTGGACACGAGAACAGAATGACACACCACTCACCTGTTGATGCATCTTCGCTTTCTCCAAGTCCAAAGCGTCATTCCTGCCCCGAGCATCAGCCAGTAACTGTTCGGCTTCTGTCACCCACTGATTCAGGTCATTCAGGTCACAATGAAAGTGCCGCCATTCTTCTATGGTCTTATCAAAGCAGCTGTAATACGAGAGAATTCACAGCTCAGCACTGCTGATGTACGGTTTGATGGGTATAATGCCAGCTCATATGGAACAGTTTAGATTCATTACTCTTTCAGGGTTTGGAATGGATGAAACCACCTCACCTTCTTCTGTTAGAACTACTCAGGAATTTGAATCGCATCAGAATCATAGAAAGTTTACAGCACAAAAAGACATCACTCGAACAGTTGCGACTGTGCTGGTGCTAAATCCCTCATTCGAGCCATTTATTCTGCTCTATCTCTGTATCCTTTTATATTATTTATCGTCAAGTATTTATCCAATTCCCTTTTAAATGCTATGTTGGACTGGGCATAATGGCAATACTGGCTACCCATACTTCACTCACAAAATATACAGTCACTCCACTTTACAGTATACAGTGAAGTGCTTTGAGACATCTCGACGATGTGAAAGATGCTGTATCAAATGCAAGGATTATTAACATTAATTATTTTTATTATCAGGCTGTGAGAACATCTGCTCCTCTCAGATCCAGAACCTTTTCATTTCAAATGACCAGGGAGCCACTGTGTGATGTCATATAGCTTTTTACCAGCGCTGCTTGATGAAAACAATCATAACTGGCAAACTTCCCTGCGACTCAAACTTGTGCTTTGACTTTACTGGGTGGTGTTAAATGTATGAAACCTCACACGATTTTACACCATTAATCCATTAAATGCTTACGAAATAATAAAACTGATTTAACAACATGGTGTGTTCCAATGCCATCAGTTCCTTTTTCTGGAGCCAATTTTCTTGCCTAAGTACCTGAAGGCCCCATTTCTTGGGTTCGTCCCACAAGAACGGTCCAAAGTCTCACCTCAGTTACCGTTATTTGTATGTGAGCTTTGCTCTGTGTGGAGTCCCATCTCATTCAACAAATAAAATTGGCCATTCATTCATGCCTGATTGTGGGACATTGCTGTGCTCAAATCAAATTGGCTGCCATGTTTGCCTACCATCCTGTAATATCCTGAGAAGGGCTCAATGAGGTGATAAGGCCCTAGATCAAATGCAACATTCTTATTATTATATCACACACACACACAGATTTTTTCCCCTCCCTGGCACAGCACATTGTCATCAAATATAGTGCCCAAATACTAATCTGACTGAGAATAGCTAACAGAACAGACCGGGAATCAAACCTGAAGTATGGTCAAATGTCAAATGTCCCTTTTAACACAAACATAGTCCAGCTACACAAATATCACCCTAGAAGCCAAGGCTCTGATACCAGCGTTGCTTTTTGATCAGACTTCACTTTCATTTTTAAACATCACAAGGTCGCTATCAAACACGGGCAGAATCTGCAATGCAAAAACATAATTATAAACTGTTCTAGCTGATCAAACAAAAAAAACACAACCTAAATCGCCCAGGAGTAAAGCTGCCAAAGCATAGAACACGAGCACACAAAAATCAATGCTGGTTCTACTGCACACTTATTCTTTCTACAATGAACCATCGTAGCTTGATAATCTTCAGCAGCGCTGTACTAGGTATAAAATTAGCAACTCAAGATTTATGTGACATCTGCACAATCGCTTCAGTAACCACAAGTCCGGGAAGTCAAAGTGCACAAGCAGAACGAAAGAGAGCAATGTCAGCAAAGCTGAACACCTCACCTACCTTACCAATCAAACTATAGCTGCTTCACGCAAATCAGCTTCTGTTCTGGTTCCACTGATGTGAACCGATTAAACTTCACATCAACTTAGCCAATTTTTACAATCCAAACACTGATGCTCAGATGACTGACTGCCTCGTCTCATGGTATATTAATCTTCCGTGTAAGCTAGTGACGACAACCAGGCTGTTTTATTTCTCATCCCAGAATAAGTGCCTTACAGTCATGTACTGAAGATGCGCGATGGTAAATGACCTTTTCACCAGGTAACAATCAGTCAAACAAGACAATTCCCACATTCAAGTGAAAGTTGAGCCAATTAACCTCCATGACTGATTACCCAAAGTCCTTTGTTATTATAACAGTTAAAGGTTTTATAATTCACACAAATACCAGGCTGTCCAGACACGTAGGCAGCGGTACCTGAGGGCAACATACAATTGACACTTATACAGTGCCTCTCACTTCAGGGAGACATCCCACAGCGCCTGACAATTTCAGGTGACATTATTATAATAATAATAATCCTTGCATTTGATATAGCACTTTTCATGTCTTCACAGAATACACTGGAAAGTGAATTGACTGTATATTTGTGGGCGAAACACGGCAGCCAATTACAGAAGACGGAATCTCCTTGTAGCTATGGTTTACACTTACACAGCAGGGTCCCACAAACAGACATGGATTGAGTGCCAAATTATTATTATTTTTTAAGGTATTATTATCCACAGAAAAGCGATTCGCCAATCGATTAACAACCGGGTTCCTACTTACTGCTAGGTAAACAGGCGTGTGGAGTAAGGAAACTTGCCCAACATTTCGCCCTGCCGGAAATTGAACCCAGGTCTCAGGGACATCCACCCTAAGTGAAAGGCACTGTATAAATGTAAACCATAGCTACGAGGAAATTCCGTCTTCTGTAATGTGAAACCTGGCAAAGCAATCTCAAGCCGTAGGGATTTAGTTCCATAGCTATCCTCTCTCCATCCTCCTCCCACGCCCCTCTATTCCCTTCTCCCTGATACATGCATCTAGTTTTCTCTTAAATGCATTAATGTTTTCTCCTTCAACCACAGCTTCTGGCAATGAGTTCCAGCATTTAATGAAACTCTGAAATCTGTAATTTTTTTTAAAAAAAGACACACACACACACATACCCAAACATAAATGACATGTAAGCATTGCAGACTGGGGTACAGGCACAGTTCAGTGACCATGCATTCTGGCCACTGCTGTGAAAATCCCAGGACATCATCTCTGCAACCAGTAAAACATACGGGAACTGAGACAAGACAAACGAACAGGAAGGCAACATGCGAAATCAACACAGTGGGCAGAACACTGAGCTGACATCTTTTACCTCATTCAAGCAACACATCACTGGACCACCAATGAGTTACCCAATATTTGGGTTTCAGGCATCCTAATAAAAGGAATGTTATTATGCCCTTCTCCCATGTTATTCTCTTTAGTCTCCTTTCTCAGCATTTGTTTCATGATTGGGGACTGCTGCATGCCGGCCACAAGTTGCTATTCTTCATGCGTGAAGCAAGATGGTCATCTTCAGCAGGAAAATAATAATTCTAGCACTTGATATAGCTTAATCATGTTAATAATAACATTGTTGAGACATGATAAAAGCACTTCAATATATTGTGAAGCGGATTGGACTGTGTATTTTGTGGGCAAAATACTCTACATTAAGTGGCATCACAACCTAGAATAATCTGGTTTTCTCCCAAATCCCAAGATCAAATCTGGCACCTTCCTAGCTAGGTGGCGAAATACAACACCACACAATTAATTTACAACACAGAGTTACAGGAGCTGTTTTGTGGCCTTTAGGCGTTGCAGGCACAAGTTTTGTTTGAACTTTGCACTGAAGATTTTTTTGGGGGTAATTTTCAACCTGAAACACTGGTGGTGAAACTAACACCACTAAACTCTAAGGCACAACACTTGTCTCCTACCTCCTGCGATCACTGTAAATTCTGTTCACTCGATCCCATTCTGCATGCAGCTGTGTCAGAGCATCTCCTATTTGCACGACCTCAGAACCAGAGGCTTCGAGTAGAGCATCTGGCTGGTTTTCGTGGACATTCTCGATCTGTTCTCCAAGCTTTTCCAATGTTTCCTTTATATTCTGCAAGAAATTCAGGCGCTCAACTGTTAACACAAACGCTAATGAACAAAGCAACATTCGGAAAACAAGATTTTAATGGAGAGCGCAAATATCCCAACAAATTCTATAAACTACAGTATATAATTGGCCCCTGACTTTCAGTAATCCCCCCAACGGAGCTGGCCACAGAGGGCTCCTGACTAAAGCCACAGTCAACCTCAATCAAAAGCTAAGAGACGGCCAATTCTCCCGGCCGCTCCTCTGATCATCCGTCTTTGCATCGGACATTTAACTGCCAGCAAACTTGCAACTTGAATTAAGCCTCAGTGCTAAATGAAGGAACAAGATCGGTGCTCAGTAATCTGAAGAGTTTGATAACATTCACATTTTTCCTCCTCAAAATGGAATTATGATCCTTGACAATTAGTGATGTTGTTTTTACTAACTGGGCCCTAACAATTCAATGCTGATAGTAGTTTGCAGGACAGTGAATAGTACAGAACTATTCTCCTACTGTCCATTCCAGCCCCATCTCCCGCCACACTAATGAGTGCTCACTCCAGCTCACGAGCTGGGACAAACATTGCCTCTGTTTTGACCTCAACTCTCCTTTTAGCCTTCCATCCAGGTTCTGACTAAGTCCACTGTCCTCCATCTCTGCTACATTGCCCAGCTCCATCACTACCTCACTCTCATACCCTAGTCAAAACCCTTATCCACGTCATAGTTACTTCCAGACTGGACTTCTGCAATGCCTTGCTTGCCAGTACCCTGGCTTTCACTGTCCTTCAGCCAACTCTCCCATCCTCCCACTCCACTTTGTAAAGCACTTTAAGACTTTAAGCAGAAGGCACTATGTAAGTGCAAGTATTGCTGCTGTTGTTTGACCAAAGCAAATCATTGGGTTAAGGAGATGGAAATTTACAAGAGCCCACTGCCTTTTACAATTAGGCTTTGTAAGTAAACCCAGGTCAGAAGCCATCAAAGAGTTACACAAAAATGTCAGTTATAGTTCCTTTGTAATCTTTTTAGAAATGTGGGAATGAGTGAGAAAGGCCGAATATGCCTTTGATCAAGAATAAAGCTAATTATCTTGGTGTTGAGGGTCAGGAAATACTCTTCAAGAACAGTCTGATTTTCAAAGCTGATGACTTATCTGGGTTTTTGACACAATATGTTTCAGTGCTTATGTCATATCTATTTAATGTGTTTCTTGTTTTTGGTTAAAAAAAATACATCTTGTGTATCATATAAGGAAGATATTGTCTTTGGAAACCATCCTTGTTAATTCATATCCCAATACACCAGAAGCCTTATAAAAAAGACTCTCTCTCCTCTGCTAACGTAACCCCGTATCTTACTCTCCTTTTTGCTTCCTACAAGTAAATACTGGGTTGGGTTTAAAGATTTAAGCACAATAATATTTGGATCTCTTCCAGATCAGCTAATTGTAGGAGTGACCACTTGTACATGTATTCCCTCTATTGATTCCCTGCCTGCATGACGTTTTAAAGTTTATGCACAATAAACTGCATCTGTCACCACTTGGCCCAGTTATCTTAAAGCTCTAAATTCTCTGAATCTAACTCCACTGCTTCTCATTTCTCCATCACCTCCTATTTTGATAACATCTGTTAAGTTGCAGATTCTTTTCATGAAACCCTCGTTCCAATTATTTATTCTACATACCTTGAGGGAATCTTCTTGACTTGAGAAATCCTCATACTTTCACTGTTCAGCTCCGGTGAATTCAAAAGCAGTTCAATATCCGCCATAGCTAGTAATGCCTTGTTAATATCCAAAAGGTAAGATGGGAAGAACTGTGATCCTATTCCAGTACTGCCTGTGTAACGACTATCACTTCCTGGTTTTGTTCTCGTTCCTAATTGGACAGACAGAAGGCAAAATTAATATAATACAATTGACATCTTATAGCATCTTTCACGTCACGAGGATGTCCCAAAGGCTTCACAGTTATGGATTGGCAACCGAGCTGGGAAGCGGGGAGGAAGGGAAAGATGGCCGAAAGCACAGTCAAAGAAATACGATTTAAGACCCGTCTTGGAAGAGGTGAGAGAGCAAGTCAGAGAGAATCAGGAACTAGTTCCAGACAGTGCGACAGAATGGCTGAAACCCCACCTGCCAATGGTGGGGTAGATAGGGCAAGGGACATGAAGCTGGCCAGTGCTCCCTGAACAAATGGAGCGGCGAGGACAGTGAGGCTGGAGGAAGTCACAGAGCTAAGGTGGGTGTAACAGCAAAGCTGCACTGCAAACTTATCAGTGATATTCTCGGGAAACCCAGGTTTAGCTTTTAAAATACAACAGAACCGCTAAAAATCTAAATCCACTTTCCAAACATACAACAAACCATTTTGCAGAGATATTCTACTAATGCAGAGAAAAACACACCCATTTGAACTCAGGAGCTACACCTTCGCTATGTTAGACTGTCATCTTAATGTACACATTTGAACTCGCCCTTGTACTGACAGTCACAATAACTCACCCTGGGGGTGCTACACTAGTTTCAGCCAGAAAAAAAGTTGGTGTGGCTATCCCAAACTCTACCAATGAGACATCAAGGATTGGCATTACAGCACCTTTCAAAGGGTCGATAGGTTACATAATCTAGTATAAGAACACGGGGGTGGGGGAGATGAAAGTGAGGAAGAATTGAGAATTCACCATGACCACCACCACCATTTAAAATACACTTGATTCCTTGGGTGTTTTTAATCACCAATGCATGATGGTATGAACACTTCCAATGTGTTAGAATATTATACCTATTAGATTGCCATACAATTTGCTCATAACTCAAATGGAAATTAGCTCATGTGGTTCGTCTGAGATTTTATCCGTCAAACTCTATGAGGTCAGATTCCTTTAGATGAACTGATTAAATTATTTGGGGCCCTAGTCTAATAGTTGATCAGCATTTGGTTGAAACTGGCATTCAGATCAAAATATAAAAGGAGGTTGTGTTTTTGAAAGCACTTAACAGTACTACTGCCAAAGGACAGTGAAATTATTTAAACTTCACTAATTAATTTAATTTATTAACAATCCTTGCATTGGTATGAATACCTGTGTTATATCATTTGATGCAACACTGGATTAAAGACTGTGCATTTGTACAGCTCCTTATCACATTGAATCATATTATGTAACATTATGTTGCAATTTATTTTGTTTATAGTTTGATTAACATCCTGGTAAAATCATTTAATGGATTAGCTGACAGCCACATAATCATATAAGCGGTCCCGCAGCTCAAAGTCAAGGCAGTATAACTGCTACTTGTACTCAGTTTCCTGTAGAAAATACATTTAACAGTGAGAAGAGGAAGTAGGAAAGTTGGAAAGTTCCTTAGTTAAAATTGCACACTGGATGGAATTGAGCGAGGCTTCTGTATGCACTGGTTTTGATCACTGCATTTTCTCTAAGCAAATAGTTTTTTGAACCATTCACAAATAAACAGGTCTACTTAAACCCAGAAAGAGGCAGTAATTCTCAATACTTCTCCTCTCCCTTTTTTCTTGTAAAGTTGGAGGGAAGGAGGGAAGGGGAGGGAGAGCAGCAATCATTTGTTCCAAAACTATTTCACAAACAGCCATAAGGAGGACAATCAATTTTGTCTGGAGCACTGGAGGCCAGGACACCAGGAGACACTCCATTCCCTTTTAAAAAGTCTTATACAAAGGACCAACAGTGCAACAACACACATTCCCCAGTACTGCACTGGAGAGTTAGCCTAAACAACACTACAAACAACAAATTACATTTATATTTGCCTTTCACATCAGGGGCACCTTCCCGAGGCACTTGTCAGAGATTGGGACCACGGGGCGTGGAGGGCAGGGAGGATAGAGTTAGGGGGTATCTGAGTGCACAGTCGAAGAGGAGGGTCTGAGACGTGTTTTGAAGGAGGCAACGGAGGGAGCAAGACAAAGGGACTGGGGGATGGAGTTCCAAAGGGTGGGGGTAGAGAAGCTGAAGGTCCGACCACCAATGGTGGGGCTGGCTGGTCGGGGGACGTGGAGCAGGCCAGAGTCTGCTGAGCGGAAGACATTTTGTATTTTAAATAAAATGTTGATGTGGGTTAGCAGGTCACAGAGGTAGGAAGGAGCAAAGCCTTGAAGGTGAGGATGAGGATAGCGAGTTGGGGTCTAGGGAGCCAGCGGAGCTGGGCAAAGGTGGGGTGTTAGGGTCACGGTGCGGGTGAGGTCTCGAGCTGCAGAGTTCTGGATGATCTGTAGCTTGTGGAGGGAAGAGTTGGGAAGGCCCGACAAACAGGGAGTTGGACTAGTCAAGCCTAGATGTAATAAATGCGTGAATGAGTGGCCTGAGAGATGAGGCAGTAGCGAGCCGGGCGATGTTGCAGAGGTGCGTGAAGGCCAAGCAGGTCTTGGCACAAATGTGGGGTAGAAAGGATAGCTGAGGATCAAACAAGACACCAAGATTCCAGAGTGGCTTAGCAAGGTGGAGTGTGCATCCATGGATGGTGATGCTTTCAGAGCCTGAGGTGAGGAGGCACTGACAGAGCCAATCAGGAGAGCCTCGGTCTTGTTGACATTCAACTGGAGAAAGTGAACTCTCATCCAGGACTTGATGTCTGACAGATATTCTGTCAGGACACCAGTGGCCCTGGAGTCAAGGGTGGAAGCAGAGAGGTACAGTTGGATGTCATCCGCATACATGTGGAAGTTGACCCCATGTCTGTGGATGATTTCACCAAGTGGGAGCAGGTAGATATTTGAAGAGGAGGGGACTTAGGACAGAGGCCTGAGGACGCCGCATGAGACGGTGCGGGGACTGGGAGAAGAAGCCGTTTGTGGAGACAATGTGGAGATGACGTGAGAGGTACGATCTGAACCAGTCAAGGACAGAACCGTGAAGGTTGAGGTGAGAGAAGCGGTGGAGGAGGTTAGAGTGGTCAACAGTGTCAAAAGCAGCAGAGAGGTCAAGGAGGACAAGGATCCTGTTCACAAAATGTCAATGGCAATAATAAACCTTGCAGTCGATTTAGGGCCTTATCACGTCTTTGAAACGTCTCAAAGCGCTTCACAGAACATACTGTAAAGTGGATTGACTATATTTTGTGGGTAAACGCGGCAGCCAATTTCGCCCAACAGACAGCAGCAAATGGTAAAATGTATGAGCTTTGAAGCTTATTGATGACAAAGCCACAAGGCAGCTCTGAAGGCCTTTCTTAGTCTCCCATGTATTGAGTGACTTGATTTAAGCCTGATGGCAACAGTGCCATTACCACTGGCCTCAAGACTGCCTGGGGCAGAGAGAGGGAAAATAATACCTCCTTGGCTTCTTCTGCTGATCACAGTGCAGTGACCTCCAGAGAAAAAAAGCATCTGTGTGGACATTAAATGAAGAAAGGATCAGCTTTGATGGCCACATTGTTGAACTTGCTGCTGACTCTCACCGCAAAGGATGGCAACCTGGACGAGGTACCAAAGAGCTACACCTTAGCACGAGTCAGTGACTTCAGGAGAGAGAGGAAAACTGAAGTGTTCCACAGACAGAAGGCAGCTTTAACACTGGTATTCTTTGGAGACTTGCTGTGCTGATGCACAAGATGCTGAGGTGCAGCAGCATGTGGTTTCATGTGGTAATTTCTCTTCGTTTTTAGTCTCCAGCTGTTTGGCATTACTGATTTATTCTGTAACCTGAAAATCTGGGGAACCTTGGCCTTAATCATAGAATCATTAATTTCCTAATGCAAATGCACCTGCACATAAAATCCATTGAAATCCCGTCAGTAGAATGTTTAGATGTGCATGTTGCAATTTCCACCTCTCACACACTATCCTTGTGGTAATTCTTTTTTCTTACCGGGCTCTTTAAATGCAGCTGTTGGTAAGTAACAAACTGGGACTCTATCTGATGCCAGCGCATGTCCACACGGCTGCTCTCTTTTTCTGGGGAGGCTCCATGACAAGCCAGACTCTGGCCCTTCATTTGCAGCGCAGCGAATTCCCCTCTGCGCTCTTCAAACTTCTGGGTTAGTTCCTGAAAATCAAAACCACATTTTAATTCAACAGCTCCAGGTTACAATTAATTATTCTGAGAGTGCAATACCCTATAATGGAATTTCCAAAAATTCTGTACAATTTAAAATTTCTCATGGAGATAGGTGCATGAGAAATTTCAGACATATTATATAATAAGGCCAAGACCAGAAACACAGCAGATATGGTGATAAGAGAGGTGACAGGGCCAAATAACTTTAGGTCACAGGTACAACAATAAGTGGCTATCACAACCACCAGTTAATGAATAAGCTAGTAGCCTGGTTAAGATCACGCTGGATTGTGGAGCAAACCATGGCCTCGCTCAGTGTCTCCCGGACCTCACCTTCTTCCAATTTGGAATTGGGCAGATCGATGGCAGATGAAATTCAATATAGAGAAATGCAATGTTCTTCGCATGGGGACAAAAATCCAGGAAGGGTCTATTATTTAAATGGTAATAATCCGTATGGAAAACGAAAAGGACCTGGCGGTCCTGATTGACAATAAATTGAAGCTATCACAACAGTGCTCGGTAGCAGTGAGTACAACAACAACATTACATTGGTATAGCGCCTTTCACGTCACTGACCTTACAGCTGAGCTGTATTAAAAAGGCAATATTGAGCCGAAATAGTGGGGTAATCCTGACACTTCATAAATCACTGGTGCGACTGCACTTGGAATACTGTGTGTAGTTTTGGTCACCACAATATAAAAAGGATATTACAGCGATTGAGAGGATACAGCGGCAGGAAACCAAAATGGTTGAGGGGATGCAGAGACTGGACTACGACGAGCGATTAGATAAACTGGGTATGTTCACAATGGAGACGAGAAGGTTGAGGGGCAATATGATTATGGTCTTTAAGATTCTGAAGTGAATAGATAATGTAGACCATGAAAAGCTGTTTTATTTTGTACTTCACAGTAGAACCAGAGGACATGCCTACGATTGAAGGGGAGTAAATTCAGGACAAATCTGCGGAAACATTACTTCAGTGAGGAGTAGTAAACTTATGGAGCAGGCTCCCGAGGGAGACGGTGGAAGCAGCAAATGTTGTTTGTTTCAAGAACAAATTAGATAGCTTTCTGATAGCAAATAACATCTTGGAATACAATATATAATTTGGGACACAACATGTCAAGCTACCACCAGGATGGTGGAAGGCGGACTAGTTGCACTTTGGTCTTCTTTCACCGAGCAAATTCTTATGTTCTAATATTGGAACTTGGATCAGGCTACAAATTAATTTAATTCTTGGATACCATTTTGACATTAATGTCTCAGGGGATATGCTGTATAAATGATCTGTAAAATATAGTAATACAAATACCAGTACAGACAGTTGGACCAAATGGCATTTTCCATTCTGTATTATTCTATGTGAAAAAAAGTTAAAGCAGCTCAATTTTCCTACTTGTAACTTTTTTTCATCATCTGATCCATCCAAGTCCAACAGTTGTAGCTCAAAGCCATCCAGCCATTGTAGGAGGTTGTCTTTCTGTCCTCTGTACTGGTACCACCCAGGTGACAGCTCTCCTCCTTGCTTCCTCTGCATCAATTTCACCTCCTAAATACCAGGGGAGAGAACAAAGAGTTCTGTCTCTAATCCTAATGATTCATCTCCGCATTCATCATTCACTGGTCAAGGATACTGTGACTCATCTTGAAATAGATGCACTGAACTGTAGTAAACTCAGGACTGCTTCCAAAGCTGCAGTAAAAACTTCACACTGTAGATCCAAATGTGTAAACATTCAAATGCTTAAGAACATCCCCCCAACATGCAAGGCATTTTATAAATTTAAATTGTATTTCATTGCATCTTACATTTCCCTGCTATATTTTTAATTCTCATTTTAACTACAACGTTTCCCATACCTTAATGGTATTGTACTGGGTTTGTAGAAGGGTAAGTTTTTTATGGATTTGCTTCCGCTTGCCATCGTCGTCTGTTATCTGCAGTATCTGCTCGCCTTTCTGTAGGATGTTCTCTATATCTGCTTCCTCTTCATCCATCTACAAATAGGTAAGCAACACAATGGATTGCACACAGTCACAGGTAACCTGAAAACTATAGCTTTCAAATAGCAAAAGGGCTTGAGCAAGTGAAATCCATGTTTGTATATTGTGGTGTAGAGAGACAAATTCCTCATAGATATATTACAGTCAAAGGTTCACACAAAATGAAGAGAGGAAAGAAAAAGTTTTCTGGTTGAAAGTACTTCAGGAGGAAAACGGATGGTGCAGTACATATAGATAATGTCCTTTCACCTCTTGGACCTTTGTGGAGTCCAGTAGTTCAGTTGTTAGAGCGCTCGCCTTGCAAGCGAGAAACATGCGTTCGATTCCCGACAGGAATCCTTGCAGCTATGGTTTACACTTATACAGTGCCTTTCACTTAGAGTGGATGTCCCTGAGACCTGGGTTCAATTCCCAGCAGGGCGAAATGTTGGGCAAGTTTTCTTACTTCACATGCCTTTGTTTATCTAGCAGTAAGTAGGAACCCGGTTGTTAGTTGATTGGCAGATTGTTTTTCTGGGGATACTAATCCCTCAAAAGAAAACAATAATAAATTGGTCACTTCACTCCATGACTATTTGTGGGGCACTGCTGTGCGCAATTGGCTGCCATGTTTCGCCCACAAATATACAGAGAATTCACTTTACAGTATATTCTGTGAAGTGCTTTGAGACGCCTAGAAGACGTGAAAAGCACTATATCAAATGCAAGGAATGTTATTATTATGCGACCTGGGTTCAAATCCACCCAATTTTGTACTGTGGATCAATCTTCAATTCTCATCGACTACAACTCCTGTGAGTTCACAAGCAACTGTGTTTTTAAGAACAAATTCAACTTGGATCAAGATGCAGACCAGCCAAATTTCTGATGATCTCCAATTGAGTTAGTCAATACCACTTGACAATGACAATAGCTGGAAACTGACTGTATTCAGCAGTCTGCAAATTATGTAATTTTGACATTACTGACTTTACTTTTGGCAAGCTACGGGAGCCCAGTAATTACTCTAAAACACTTTCAGTCATTGCAATGTGACAAGGTGCTATAAAAGTGCAAGTTACCTCTTCTTTATATATTAACTTGAACAGATTTGCTTCCCCATTCTTTCAGTTCCCTGACTTTCTACATTCATCAGACCAAATCTGTGATTTAGCCAGTACTTCAGCACCTTTTTCTTTAAGATAGATTATAAAGCAGTGCTTGTGGTCTATATACTCTCAATCTGCCTTACAACAGGGCTCTGATAGCAAGTCAGTGGTTTGATATTCACTACGCACATTCATTGTGATTTCATTTCCTACCCACCAGCGAGCTATTGTGTTAAAGAAACTGGTAAGTTACCGGTTATTAAGTCACCTCCTACGTCAATTGAAGCATGATTGGGCTATAATGGGGTTCTACTGTATTACCAATGCTTGCATAAGGTACTCCATAACAGTAAATATGATCTGTGTCAAAATGAAGTATGGGTCTTTCAACTACTGGACACGATACCAGTCTGACGCAGCGGCTTTCTGCCAGAACTGTTCCAGACATCACACATTATCAACACTCTGGCCTTCAAACTGAAAGCAATTTATCTACACAGCATGACATTCAACAACATTACCTGATTCAGCATTAGGCTAGTTGGAGGCATTACACACGACCCTGGCAAGGGTACTCTATTATTGTTCTTGCAGCCCACAAAGCAGACGCCGATTCTAACCTCCCATTTCCCATCTTCAACTTCACCAAACAAATACATTGAAAAAACAGATTTGCTGTCGATTGACACCTTCTCATGCATTTATAGCCAATTTGAATGCATTTATAGCAATCTCTGCAATATAGGACAAATTATGAAGAGCATTTAGGTAAGCTAAAACTCTCAGGCCTTTAAAAGTGACATCTATAAGAGGGGATCTTACAGAGGTACAGGCACGGCTAAATGGGATAGAAAAAATAAACCCAGAAGACTACTTTCAGCTCCGTCAAAGCACCAGGACAGGATAGCACAGGTTCAGGCCTGAGAAGGGAAATTTTAACAGACAGGAGGTTTTCTTTACACAGAGGATAATCATCAGCTGGAACCATGACCAGGAAGGGTAGCAGATGCCAGGAGAGCATAATCATGCAAGAACTGGGTATTCTGGAAATACAAGATCAAACTTTCTTCACTTGAACCTGTGATCTTGTGATTTGTGCATGAAACAAACCAATGTCAATTCAGCCCATTGCTACAATACTGCCAATAAAACATTTGGCAACTTTTGTCCAAAATCCCGTTTTACCATACAAACGTAAGACACAGCAAGAAGCCATTCACCCATTTTTGTCAAGTATATTGCTTCCCCTAGGAAGCCATCCATCCCAATCCCAATTCCCTGCTATTTGCTTGTACCCTGTAAATTAACAGATTTACCAGTGATATGTTCCAGTATTCTTACCTTTTCATCACTTGGCATTTTGTCTCTTAAGTGCAGCCATCTCTCCAATTGATCCATTTTGCTTTGCAGGTCAGCTTCAAAGTGATCCATCTCAAATGACACCTGGTTGTCACTCTTAAGAACTGGTCTGAAGCCGTTTTCATAGCTCACAGCATTGCGTGTTGCTGCCGCCATCTATAACAAAGCGCAGGAAATTTACAATCAAATCAAGACCAACAGGATAGCGTCAGGCTACAGCTATGTCCAGTCAATTATTAAAAAAGTGCAGGTCAAGAAACAGAGAGCTGCTGTTTCCACTCACAACGATAGCTCAGTGTAGGAAAACTGCCAATGTCTGACTCTCAAGTTATGTTCTTTTTCTCAGTTTACACGTTGCCTAAGTTCTTGACATTTGTAAGATCAATGTAAATGGGAGACTTACAAAACTAGTACTAGTACAATTAGAAGCTGCCCAAAGAGGTAGTTAACACAGCTCATCAGACCTAGGTTAAGCCAAAATTGCCAAGATCTTTCTTGTGGGTGTGGAGGATAAGTCTATTATAACTATAAACTAGAGTCACACAGGTGGTGATGGTGGGTAGGAGAGAAATGTGATCTGTGCCCAATGGGAGCCAGGAATACTCAGCAGGTCAGGTAGCATCTACGGACAAAGGAAAATGGGTCGACATTTCGGGTCGATGACCCTTCATCAGAAACGTTCTAACGAAGGGTCATGGACTCGAAAGGTTGACCCACTTTCCCTTCTCCATAGATGCTGACAGGAGGTTTTCTTTACACAGAGGATAATCATCAGCTGGAACCATGACCAGGATCTCTGTTTTTGTTTCAGATTTCTAGCATCTGCGGGATTTTGCATTTTAGAGCTAAGAATATCGTATTCGTCATTATTTTGCTCCTCAAATATCAATCGTAAGTTCTCAAAGTTATCTGGAATGCTCTGGATAGTCCAACAATCCTGATGAGAAAGTCAGGACGAGGTCAGAAATGGAGCAACATAAGCAATCTTGCCATATGCTCAGTGATACAGTTTGAAAGTAATCTTTTCGGTATGTTACCAGCTGAATATGTTCCGCCATCAACTGCTCCCTGCATCATTCCAGTGTTCCCCTGTCTTAATGTTCTACTGTACAACATAGAAAATTAGGTCTCAAAGCAAATTTTGTGGCAGAATAAAAGAACTACTGTAGCCACTCAATAAAGCATCTGATTAATTCGAATTTCTAGATGAATAATTTTAATAACAGAGACATCTATGTCATAAGTGTTTTGGCTTTGTACCACAGCCCCAACTAGTAATAATTGATGGATTATTATCCATATTGAACAGGCTCCAGTCATCTCAAATGAAATGCAATACTTTGATTTCAACAAAAACTTTCATACTTCCCAAAAGATCAGCAGATCTGTAAAGAGCACAGTATTGTCAGTCGGTCAGGGCACTCACTTTTGCCGATTTGATGTGTTGAGACACCTTCTCAACGTCACGGTTGAGTTCGATGAGCTTTGGTTCCACCACTTCGCGGCAGGAATCACCATGACTGTTCATGAGGGAAACTGCTTGATCGCGTACGTTATCGACCTGCAGGCTGACGTCATCCAGCTCAGACTGAAGCCGCTGAGAGACGAGAGTCGACAGTTTTGAAAGGGTATAAACAAACTCGTCTACAGGATACATGCCGAGCAAAGCAATTGCCACTTTTGTGCCAAACATTAAATCAACAGCAATTTCTACTAGTTTACTGGTCAGCACTATTTCAGCAGTGACTAAACCTGGTTATAGATTTAAATTTTGATAGATTTTCATAATTAGACTATTTATTTCTTTTCCTCACTTAACTCAAACATGAAAAACATGAACGTACACAGTTGGAATTACTTTGTTATCCTTTGCAAGTGGAAAATAAAATAAATGAAATACTTCACATGCCTATTGAACAAGCAAATTGCAGTTTATTGTTGCATTAAAGCAGGTTGGTGAAATATGCTCCATTAAAATAATGGGAAGCAATGAAAGACAATAGGCCCCAAATTCCACAGTACAACGACCAGTAATGAAGATTTGACAGAATTTTTAGAGGTTTTAAAAATAATTATATTTCAATATACTGTCTAAAATTCTGAAAGTTTTTTTTAGTTGAAAAAATCTGGTAACTCCACAAGACTGTTAATTTAATTGGACACTACAATTGGTTCTGCATATTTAAGAGTGATATAGGCAAGGGTATGGAGTCAATGGAACTGAATGAATTGCTTCTTCGTAGAACCAGCACAGACACTATGGGGTGAATATGCCTTTATTCTGCATTATATAAAGACAGCATAGACGTCCTCTCGGGCATTAAAGACACTACATAAATATAAATTTTATTATAAGTTTCTATGGTTCTAACTCATGTTTGGAAAAACACAGAAATAATCACAAATATATTTAATCACAAGAATCCTAATTTTTCTAGCTGCAATAATAAACAAAATACATTTGGAGTACCCAGGCTGGTAATCGCCTCTATTTATCACAGTTAAATAAATGATATACCAACACTGTTGACTTGTTTTCCCACCCCGTAAGTTTACTACATTTAAATTAATCATAAAGAGATGAAGTCCCTCTATTGGGCATTACAACAAAGTCTGTGTTATTAAATCTGAAGACAGATTTGATGATTGTTGATGGCTGCATCTCAGTAGCTGGAAGCAATCATTTAGGTGCTAAGCTGTAGTGCTATACTGCCACTGCCTCCGTGGACTGAAAATGCCAATTCCAATTGGCAGGCCAGCCAGAGAGATGCGATATTTAATATCTTTCTAAAGCAATATTACATTATAAAAATGGCGTGGGCCAAAGCTGCAATGAGGAAAATTCTTCATTCTGTCCACAAGTACAAATAATTAAGGCGTCATCCAAACGTGGATGTGCGTGTGGGCGGCAGAGAAAGAAGAAAGTAAACCATATGAAGCATGTTACTAAAGAGCAAGTGATAACACTTGAAGGTAAATAATAATAATAATCCTTGCATTTGATATAGCGCTTTTCACGTCGGGAGGACGTCCCAAAGCGCTTCACAGAACACACTGTAAAGTGAATTGACTGTATATTTGTGGGCGAACGCGTCAGCCAATGGCGCACAGCAATGTCCCACAAACAGTCGTATATTGAAAATGACCAATTTATTATTGTTTTTGAAGGGATTATTATTAGGCGTGTGGAGTAAGGAAACTTGCCCAAGGTATCGCCCTGCCTGGAATTGAACTCAGGTATCTCACTTGCAAAGCGAGTGCTCTAACCACTGAGCTACAGGACTCCACAAAAATGGTGTTCATCACCAGTGGAGCTCTACTTAGCCAACAGCAAATGTGATTTTGAAGCAGAAAATATAAGGGCTTCTTTACATTCAAAGTCACTTTACTGCTGGAAATAAATAATAATAAAACATCCTTGCACTTGGTCGAGTGCCTTCATATCAGGAGGACATCTCAAAGTGCTTTGTGAATATGCCGGGCAACTTGCACACAGCAATGTCCACAAATATCTATGAAGCAAATGACCCATTTTATCTGTGTAGACACCGGGAGAAACTCCCTTCTGTTTTTGAATACTGTCAAGGGATCTTTAACATATCCCTGAACTGGGAGACAGGATCTCTTTGTAACGTCAAATCCAAAAGACAGCACCTCCAACAATGCTCGCCTTGCATATACAAATTCAAAGTGCCGACCAGCAGCTTGAACCTACAGCCTTCTGTCTCAGAGGTGTAAGCGCTAACAACTGAGTTAGGCTAACACCTAAATGCCACTGTACAACTCCAAAAGTTGAGGTCTGGCATTAAAAGGCGAGGCAGTATTCAATAGTACTTCTCTCTTGGGACAACGGTTCATTTAGCTGTTGCTGAATCTTCCGCTGAGATGCAATTTCTTCCCCAATCTTCCCCCAAGAACAAATCTTCTAATCTTTACCTTAAGTGTTTCCTCCCTTTCACCAGTTGACTCCTTATCAATTTCGTCCAACAGAATTTCGGTTTGGTAGAGCCAGGTGCTTATGTAGGCAACATTTTGATCAAAGTTTTCCATCTGGTTCTGATGATCCTGCCAACAGTGACATGAAAAAGAGTCCATTTTGAACATTTAGTGATTTCTTTATTGCATTCACCTACAAATCCTTCCACATCTTAGCACTTCCTTATCGCTCCAATCTTCCACCCTACTTCTCTGCTCACCTCCTCCGCTCAGCATGTTGTCTCCTTCCACCATGAGTAGCCGAGCCTTCAGATCCTATGCCCCTAACCTCTGGAATCGCCTTACTCTACCATTCCATCTCATCTCCTCTCTATCTTTAAAATCTAAGTCTTCGATTGTGCCTATGGCTACCTTCACTTTTCCCCCTTGCTTGAGATCTGCCCTAATTCTTGTAGAGCACGATGAGAAACCTCCCTACATAAATGCAAGTTGTTGTTTTGCCCATAAATAACAAGTTGAGCGGCTTAGTGAAACATCACATGCAACTATGTTCACCATGCTGAAAGTGAGACAGGATTTCAACACTCCTTTGCTAAATGTTTGGAATCATTCCATAAAGACTCCCTGGCTGCCTTCTGCTGCAAAAGAAAGTCTCCCCCCTGTCAAAGGCAAGTAATATCTTGAGCCTGAAGGACAACCATACGTTGGGCTGTAATACCGTCTTATGTATGAGATTGCACAGAATTGCAGATAATTGGTAAAATTTGGAAGACTGTTATCTGCGTTTTCTAATGCAGTTATGAGAAACCAACTTCCAAATTCAGAATCAATTTCATAATTTTCCAAAATTGTGCTCAATTTTAAGACAATGGCTTTAGGAACTACATCTGCTTTACTTCTGCCCACTCATTTAATCCTTCCGTGTCACTTTGCAACTCTTTGATGCCCTCTTTACAACTTGACACCTTCCACCTTAGAGTCATCATCAAACGAGGAAATACTTCTCTCTTTTCCTATATATTAATGGGACAACGTTCCAAGATTTTTTTTCCCTTAGATGACAGCGTACTCCCATCTGTACAATGTAGTTGAAACAAATGAAGACATTTTCCGACTCCTTTATTTCAGGGAACAACAATGTGGTTAAAGCAAAAGTGTAAACCACATAGAAATCTAACCAGTATCAAGCAGCGATGTAGATTAATGCCTTATCTGTATTTTAGGGTTGTATCTATTTATATGACAATGTACTATATGCCAGCCTCGGCATGAAATTAAGACCAACATAAAAAAAATTAACTACCCTCTGCGTTTATTAATGTTGTGTCACAAACTGAACAGCTTGTATTTTTCCACCAGAACAAAAATCTAGAAATAGTGGACCGTCCAAAGGAGCTAAAGATTAACAGTTGCACTTTGTAGCACAATACGACAGAACCACAACAAACCACATACCTCTCTCGGTCTGCCCCAAGCCTGGACATGATCAAAACGATTAAAAAGCACAGGTTTGCACAAGGAATGTGGCATCTATCAACCTGACTGACACTCCAAGTCAACCCTCCCACCATCACCAGCTCAAACCAAATGCACCATTTGTAATATTTTAATTGACTTTAACAAAAAAAATTGAAATAACCTTAGTTCCGTCACGGTGCAAAATATTCCCGGAATTCCAATAATGTTTATTGTACTGTATCAACAGCCAATCTAAGAGACTCAGGAGCTTGATGCTCATTTCCAATAAGACTAGACTTTTACAGGTTGCTCTGTCGACGTTGGTTGCTGTCAACCAACACTTGATGCGAGATTACTTACCAGCAATGTGCTGCACCACCCCTCTGCCAGCATGCGGACCCTGCTCCAGCTCGTGTTCAGTGCACAGAGATTGTCCTCCAGATCAAGCTCACTGCCTTCTACCAGCCCCTGCAGTGCAGCACTACTCTTTGTCAGTTCAGCCTTCTTTGATTCCAGATCTTTCAGAATTAGCTACAAAGACAATTCACATTCATTGTTAATTTTTTTTTGTGGGAGAAGTGGGGGGAGGAAACATGAACCACAGAGAAATTCATTCCTCGTCTTTTTTTTAGAAAAAGATTAGTTTGGGATGAAGCAAAGCAACCCAACGAGAACAAATCACATCCACTCTGGTGTGATTCTGTGATAAAACCTAGAATAGAATAGGACAAGATGCCATCCTGTAACCTGTCATTCCCATGTATTTGTTTGTTCAGCTCTGTCACCCTTGATCTTTTTCAGTTGATTTGCTATCCGCATCTAGCTCCATTGCTGATGCACACTGCAGGCTGGGTAACCCAGGTCACTTTCCATCACATTAAGGAGATTCAGCGTCTTCCAGATTGTTCACTGCATATGGAGACTATTTGACCACATTGGAGCCCTCTTAACATCACACCGTCATTAGAAAAGATGGCTCCACAACAAGAAAATATAGATCGCAAGACTTGTCAATGTTTTTTTAAATGACCATATAAACAGCGTGAGAAAGAATAACTACATTGACTGACTGTGGCGCCAACACGCATCAATATTATAAAGTTTTGATTTTACCTGGTGAATAACCAAAACCAATAGGAACATTTGATGAGTAAAATTGATGAACAAGAAAAAAGCAGGTTTTTTTAAAAAAGGATTAGGGAAATGCAGATTGTGTTTTTACATGCGTGGAGTCCTGTAGCTCAGTGCTTAGAGCTTTGCAAGTGAGAGACCCGAGTTCAATTCCAGGCAGGGCGAAACCTTGGGCAAGTTTCCTTACTCCACACAGAGCCTAATAATAATCCCTCCAAAAACCAAAAACAATAATAAAAATTGGTCATTTTCAATCTACGACTGTTTGTGGGACATTGCTGTGCGCAATTGGCTGCCGAGTTCGCCCACAAATGTACAGTCAATTCACTTTACAGTGTGTTCTGTGAAGCGCTTTGGGACGTCCTCCCGACGTGAAAAGCGCTATATCAAATGCAAGGATTATTATTATTATTATAAAGCTGGCCATTGACAGACCACCATTGCATTTGTATCGTTTTTTGGGTCAGCCGAGTGTATGACACATGTGGAAACCCATCACCATGCTTAAGAGTATACATACCAAACGGAGTTCCTTGCATCCCACCTATACATGGAAATTTCCAAGAAATTTATTGGAATGGAAAGAGGCACCCATTCTGCTTAACTAATTCAGGAGAGTATTAGGCGCTAGAGTATTACTAGGTTGGAAGGATTAGGGACCCCAGAGTGTGCGTTGGGATACTGCAGGAATCTAGCAGCTAAAACCACATAGCTTGCCCTTGAGAGCATTGACTGGCAAGCTTTCCCACTGTTTGTCCAAGGACCTCACATTCAAATAAACGTGAGATCACTTAAACAGTGACCTCACATTCATTTGCGAAGAAGAACTAGTATTTGCATAGTACGGATAACGTCGAAACATCTCAAAGTGCTTTACAGTGAACCCACTTTAAGGCCTACCTCTTCGATTGCGCAAATAGTCACCTCCCCCTTCAAACCCTGCCCAGCATCTAATCCCATGCAGTGCACCGAGACTTTATATAGCGCCCTTCCTGCCTGAAGGGCACCATATAAATGCAAGATGTTGTTGTGATTGGCATCACACATAGTGATTAATTTTTGTAAGTAAATGAGGCAAGTAATTTGCACTTGGTTTCCAAAAGAAAAGTTTAAATAAACAATTTTAACACCAGAACACTAGCAGACTGCATTCTAATCCACTTTTCATATTGAAAACACCCTACACATTAATAGCACATTTTTGTTCAATTTAGAAAAGTATGAAATATAAAAAATTAATAGTTAATCATTCATTCATAATTAAAGTCCAGTTAAGAAGATTTCTAATTCACGCCACCCTCACATTGCTACACATTTGCAACAACAACAACAAAATTACATTTGTAAAGTGCCTTTCACGTCAGGAGGACATCCCAAGGCACTTGACAGACAGAGTTACGGACCTGAGCTGGGGGTCAGGGTCAGGGAGGGTAGAGAGCGGAGGGGGAAGCAGGGAGATCGAAAGCACAGTTGAAGAGGAGGGTCTTGAGCTCAGTAAAGGGCTTCTGGAATATCAACTCCCCACGCAACTCCCCATTATCAATAATGAATTTGTCCTATGTTCACTAACTTCAGTACTTCAGCAATTTCACTAGAAATCACCCCAGCAATTTCCATGGCACTATTCAAAAAGGGAAAGGAAATTCTTGCCTTCTCCTATCCTCACCTGCCCCAGATAAAACTGGTCATTCACTGGGTTCTACCCAGCAGGGGGAAATGTTGGGTAAGTTTCCTTACTCCACATGCCTCTGTTTACCTAGTAGTAAGTAGGAACCCAGTTGTTCGTCGATTGGCAGATCATTTCTCCGAGGAAAATAATCCCTCAAAAAAAACAATAATAATTTGGTCACTCGATCCCAAACTGTTTGTGGGACACTGCTGCGTGCAATTGGCTGCCATGTTTTGCTCACAAATATACAGTCAATTCACTTTACGGTATATTCTGTGAGGCGCTTTGAGATATCTAGAAGACCTGAAAAGCGCTAGATCAAATGCAAGGATTATTATTATTACCTACCCCGGATAAGATTGGTCATTCACTTCATCGCTGTTTGTGGGACAACTCTGTGTGCAAATTCACTGTCCTTTGTATCTACAAAATACAGTCACTACACTTTCCTGGAGCCGTCCTCCCGACATGAAAGGCGCTATACAAATGTAATTTTGTATTGTATTGTATTTACAATTTATCCTTTGAGACATCTTGACGACACGATAATATTATATACTAGGATTGTTATTTTATTATACTTATTACGGTCCGTGGTCAACTTATTTTGCAAAATAAACAAGATGAATCAGAAATCTTCTAATGAATAAATGAACGTTTAAACAAGCCCAGAGAGCCAGCCAGCCACAGAACCACATCTCTAGATAAATAGGGAGCATAAGCACATAAGAATTTGCTTGGCGAAAGAGGACCAAGGTCAATCTAGTTCGCCTTTCACCATCCTAGCAGTCGCATGTTGGGTCCCAAACTATATACCGTATCCTGAGATATTATTTTCTAGCAACAACAACAACAAAATTACATTTGTATAGTGCCTTTCAAATCGGGAGGTCGTCCCAATCTAGCCGAAAAGGCAAGACTGGAGACTTTTCCAGTCCCACTGTCAAAGCACATCCGTCATCAGCCAAAGCCAAAGGCAAGCTAAAAATGCCCCTTTCAGTTAGATTATTTAACAAAAGTCCATCGCATCTTTCAGATGTTTCTGCTTTGACATGCAATGTGCTGCAAATCTTAGTTCAAACAGAAGTCATCAATTAACCTTGCCCCCACATCAAACTCAAACGCCCATTCCCTTGACATTATGATAACTCAGAAGTCTTTCCATCAAGGGGCTAATACATTTACTGTACCAGTCATGTCAGGGTCAAGTATTATTTGAACACTGCACCAGCTCAACCATCCTCAAGCATTTGTTTTTCACGATTCTTCTCCCCAGTACACACACACACACAAACACATATCCATACACAAACATCGACTGGGATGATCAAGGAAGTTTCAATTACACAACATAACTCAAAATCGAAAACTATCAACTGCAAGAAAGGTTACAAAAAAAGTTTTTGCCACATTCTGAACCTTTCTTATGTATATTCACATCAGATAGATTCTGAGAGATTCCAACAGACACAAATGAAGCTCAATTAACAGGACACGCAAATGTCATTTCCAAACTCTAGTCAATGGCATTCCCAATTGCCCCAAGTTTGCTGCTAATGCACAAAGCGCTACATTGTAGGCGCGGAAAATAGTGATTTTCCAGGTTGGTTGATTAGGGACAGTATTGTAATTAACATTAAAGTACCAAAGAACACAACAATAAATATGCCTATGACATGACACAATGGACCAAATGGCCATATACTGTGCTTTAAATTTCTATCTTTCACTCCTGCAATTCCCAATATAATCAGGTCCACCAGCTGGTGACCTCCAGAGACTACCCCATCATTATAAACTACATATAACGTTACAACACACTTACTCGAGTCCATGCAATTTCTGAATCCAAGTTAGAGGGTATGTTCCCTGCAGACGATTTCTGTTTCAATTCAGCCTCTGTAGATGCCAGCCACTCTGAAAGGGACTCTGCCTCATTGTTCAACTTGTGGGACAGCTGAAAGGCCTTTTCTAGATCCTGTTTCCCTTCAGTCACCTGCAACAAGTAAAAAGGTGGGACTATTAAAAACTGTACATCAGAAATGTCTTAGAAACTATCAGAGGTAATATGTCATTTACCAGAACCCTCTACATAGATCTCGATCAGAGATAAGGTCAGCCAGGTACCAGCCTGGCTCAGCTGGGAGTATTCTGGCCTCCGAGTCACAAGGTTGTGGTTTCAAGCCCTACATTTGGATGAACTCAACAGTGTAAGCCGACTGTGTATCCCTCAAGTAAAATTGGTCATTCACTTCATGGCTGTTTATAGGACACTGTTGTGCACAAATTGCCTTCCACATTTGCCTACAGTCACTGCTCTTTACAATAAAATTCGGTGCAATGTTTGAATATGTGGATATATCAAATACAGGGATTATTATTTTGTAATAATAATAATCCTTGCGTTTGATATAGGGCCTTACCACATCTTTGAGACGTTTCAAAGCACTTCACAGAATATACTGTAAAGTGAATTGACTGTATATTTTGTGGGAGAAACGCAGCAACCAATTGCAATGTCTCACAAACAGTCATGGACTGAGTGATCAAATTATTATTTATTTATTTTTTTAAAGCGATTATTACCCCCGAAAAGCAATACGCCAATCAGGTTTGTACTTACTGCGAGGTAAACAGAGGCGTGTGGAGTAAGGAAGTTTGCCCAATGTTTCGCTCTGCTTGGGAATCAAAAGGCAAGTGCTCTAACTACTAAGCTTCAGGACTCCACTTCATAACATGGTTGGTACCTGTACATTTGTCTTTCAGTGTCTCTTATTAGATAGAGATAGGAATGATAATGTTTTGAACTATTATGAAGTGTGCATAATCAGAAAAGGGGCCCAAACTATAAATTGTTGAGATAACGAAACCATAAATATCTCACAAATGAACTGGTATCAAAATGAAAGATACTGTGGAAATTTTCATACCACAATTTTCATACCGAAGCATGTCAACCATTCCACCTCAGGCCTCGTAAATATTGCGAAGCACTTACTTTGCACAGAAACCTATGGTTATACACCAACCAGAACCAAGCTCACTGCAGGGTAGGATTTAATAACCCAACGAGAAATATTAATGATAAGCCAATTGAGAATACCGTGACAAAAACCCACAGGTACTCTGTGCAAATATTATGTGATAATTGCAAATTTGCTGATTGTGGGAGTACTCCTGCATGCTGAACAGTGTTATGGGCTTTCATCAGTATTATGCCATATGCCAATTTAAGAACAGCATAAACGAAAAGGGATTGGGATTAGCACACGTAAAGTGTGGAACTGCAGCAATGTTGCTCTATTCTTAGCCACGGTGGCGGTTGGAGATAGTTAAATGTAACTTTACAGTGGCACACTCTCTTTGATATAGTTAAAAGTATGATTTAGTCAGTCTGTGCACCTCCTGGAGTGACAGACATGATGACAAACTAGTCACCCTGCAATGACAGACACAATGATAAGATGGTCACATCTGTCACTGCACCAAGCACGTTAATGATTTCCACTCTGCTTATACTTTAATTTGTTTGCAATTACTGTCGAGAACACTACAAGTAAACATTCTTCAATCAAAGCACAAAAAACACGATTCCCACTCAGTCCTCACTTGCTATCAATGTGATTTACGTGACATGGTTGAAGTCATTTATTAATGTAGCTTTACTTTGGAAGCCAGGGGTAAAATCTATCTGAAGCATCCGTAAAGATCAGCTTGACATCTAACATCTTTTGAGAATAACTTACAAATGCATTACATCCATTAAAAGAAAACAAATATCCTACTTGATTAATAGAAACCATTGAGTAACAAGGCCAGAAATAATTTATAACTGTTCTGCTTCGGTGGGTTTTAAACAATAAAACTGATTATAAAAATCAAGACTGGAGGGAATTCTCTCCAGTCTCAGTAGAAAGTGATTTTGCTGTGTGTTCAGAATAATAGTGGTCATAAACATCAGCAAAATTGCAACATTTTATTTAAAATACAAAATGCCCTCCGCTTAGCAGGCTCTGGCCTGCTCCACATCACTCGCCCGACCCAACCCACCATTGGCAGTCGGCCCTTCAGCCTCTCTGCCCCCAACCCTTTGGAACCAGTCCCTTTGCCTTGCTCCCTCCCTCACCTCTTCAAGACATGTCTCAAGACTCTCCTCGACCACACCTTCGGCCACCCTCTTACCCCTACCCTCCCTGCCCTTCACCCCTCCTTATCCCAACCCCCTGCTCAGGTCAAAATCACTGACTGTCGAGTGCCTAGGGATCACCTCCCAATGTGAAAGGCACTATACAAATATAAATTTGTTGTTGTTACAGTGATGTGTCCCTCCACACTACAGCGATGTGTACCTCACACTAACACTCCAGCGTCCTACATATGAATAACATTCTGATTGTGTTTTATATGAGTTCAATGTCCTGGCATCAATCACATTTCTGGCAAACTGCCCCAGTTGTTGATTACTCTCCCTTTAAAGAAATACTTCCGGAGCTGCTAGCTCAGCAAATCAACAGATTAACCAAGAAATCTGTTGTGTGTTGAGATTATAAAACATAAACAATGCATAAAGAATATAATAATAATTTATGTAATGCCTCATCGTATTCAGAAGTCTCAACGAGCTGTGTTTTTTCCTTGCTTAACGTAGAGTTGCTCCACCACAAACCCAGCTAAGAACAAAAAGACTCAGCACGGTCCAGGCTGAGAGCTTTCAGGCTGGGAATTTACCGAAGCTTTGGAACTCTCTCCCCCAATCCCTCCGCCTTGCCCTCTCCTTCCCCTCTTATAAATCATGGCTGAAGATCTTCTTCGACTGTCCTTACAGTTACCTCCTCCCTCCCCTTGGCTTGGCATCAGGCTCCGTTACTGTTAAGGGCTCAGAGACCCTGCCCCACCTGAAGGGCGCTATACAGTTGCTGTTGTTGTTGGTCTTACTGAAACATTAGTGGAGCTAGTTTTTAAAAGCTACCAAATATGGGTTTTTAAAAGATACCAAATATGGGTTGGTATGTGGCCGTTTCACCCCTGGGGTGGATTTTAAACTTGGTGCAGTTTGAGGAGATGAAAGATGTGGTTAGCATTATATTTTGCAGCTGGCTGGCTGCCTGGCAGCTTTAATGCTGCCTAAATATTGAAAACTATTCTCCAGGATTTGCATCCTTCATGTTAATAAGCACAATGAAACTCCAAATAAAGAAAAAAAACACTGTACCTTGCACGAAGCACAAAACAGATTTATAGAGCAAAATAAAAAAGCATAAGCTTCCTGCAAATCCACAAACATTTTCCATGGTTTATATGGAATTTATAACATAGATCCTTTTGACCAGGAATGAAAGAGCTCCTGAAGAATTCAAAATGCTTCATTATTTTGCCTTTCAGATCGCTGTACACTTCTTTCAGAGTACAACACCGAGCAGGTAACCAAACTTGAGAGGCTTAGCTTTACTGATTTAATGTTTGTTGGCAATGCCACAACCCAGATCATTCATTCCCTCCAATGGGAACTCAAACTCACCTGTCACAGTGCTCAAAAGAGGAAACCAGGCTGTGCAGTTAAGTCATGAGAGCAGCCCTACCAGTCACAGGAGAGCTGTGACAAGGCAACACTAATCCATGCAATTTGACACAGACCTTTCACATCAGGGGGACATCTTGAAGCGCTTCACAGGATTTACTGGAACGTGTAGCTATTTTATTAAAATAATAAAATATTAAAATAATAATTTGGTCACTCAATCCATGACTGTTTGTGGGACACTGCTGTGTGCAATTGGCTGCCATGTTTTGCCCACAAATAAACAGTCAATTCACTTTACAGTATATTCTGTGAAGCGCTTTGAGACATCTCAAAGATGTGAAAAGCCCTATATGAAATGCAAGCATTATTATTATTATAGTGACTGTGTATATAGCAGGTGAATGTCCCACAGACAGCTGTGAAGTGAGAAACCAATCTTATTTTGGAGATTGATGCTGGCTTGGACACCAGGAGAAAACCTGCCTTCTCTTTTCGAAGTGCCATGAGATGTTTAATGACCACCTGAACAGGCAGGCAGGCAATAACTTGGTTTCACATCTCATATGAAAAACGCACTTCCAACAATGCAAAACATTCTAGGGTGTTAGTCTAGACTATGAGCGCAAGGTAAACTAGAATATCAGAAAGGGGCAGAAAAATATATATACACATATTGGTTGTATCAAGAGTAAGTTAACATGTTCTCAAAAGAAATTACAGCATAAGTGATTTTTAAAAAACAAATGAAATCTCGAATGACAAAACACATTGTAATTGTAGATGTTACCTTCCCTGAGCTGGGACAGACGCTTTGCTTTTGTTGCAGATCCAAAGCTCTATGCAAATCACAATACTAAAGGCTTTGCATCACAGTGAATAAAGACTCTGCTGATTTACATACATGAAAGGATTCGCTCATTTACCGCTTGTTTCCTGCAAAATTACTGCTAAAAAAAGCAATAACTCTTCTTTCTGAACCTCCGGTCTTGCCTGTGAGTACAACAGCACACCCGGCATGCAAAGCAGACACTAATTACTGTACAGAGATAATATTCTTTTGTTGTATTATTGCAAACCTCCTCACAGTTTTTGTTCTGTAGTTTGCATTGTGAGTTTCAGGTTCCCAGAGCTGGGATGGCACCACAAAAACACTGCTTGGGATGTCCAGCGGTTTGGGACATCTTTCCGACGTGAAAGACACAATATAAATGCAATTTGCTGCTGTTACTGCTGTCAAGTCAAAGTTAAGATCCCAACCACTCACCTCAAAACACTACCACTGTAAGTAGTGGTTTGATTGATTTTTTAAAAAAATCCTCCTTTAATAATTTGGATATAATAGTTGTAGTCATAGAAATGCTTTATGTAAATCCAACTGAGCAGTTATGTATTACAACAGTCGCTGTTAACCCCTGTCAACCGTCATTAATGAATCACCAATGCTGTATTATGAACTTTCATCAGTTGTTCTGCTCTGCTCACCTGAGCTCCAAGGTCATTGTACAGGAGTTTCAAGGCCGTTAGCTGTTCGTCCATTAGTTTTGGGTTGTCGGTTTGTTGTTTCTGAACAATCTGTCGCCCAGTCTTTATCACAGTCTCCACCTCAAGCTTCACCTCACTCAGAGTTTTGTAGAGTTTCTAAAATGGAATAGAACTTGCAGTTAGCTAGCCTATCCAAGCAACGTACAGCAACTGGAGCCTAGTTTAGTGTGTGTGGAACATTCACATTTAAATGCATTTTATTGTTCAGCCTTACTGTTGCCCATAGCAAAGAGGAATAAATTAAGCAGCAGTTAAAACAGAAGCACACAAAAGTTGGCCTGTAAAGCTACACTGATGGGAACAGTACTTAAACTTCAGAATGAGTTTTGCGCATGTAACATATTTATTTCAGAGCAAGGCAAACCATCATCTTAACTTCTTCTGAGATATTTTTCCTAGCAGTAATTTTGTGAAAAATATTTTGAAGAGAATTAATCTGACCGAGGTGTCAATTCATATTATAAACAAATAAGGTGCTGGGCTACAAAGCCAAAGTAGTTGATTTGATTTCTCAGACATCATTGTAATAGTGCTCTGGTCAGGCCGTACCTAGAGCCCTGCATACAGTTCTGGTGACTGAAAAAAGGGGGCTGCCAAGGCCCTTGAGACGGTGCAGAGGACAGCAACAAAGATTGTCCCTAGTGTCAGGGGAATAAGCTATGAGCACCAATTTGGCTCTTCAGTCTTGAAAGATGTCCCAGAGAGCACCTTACAAGGTTATTTAAATTTAAATAGGATTGAAAAGTAAACACAGAACAATACTTTCGGATGCACCGAACCGACAGACCAAAATGACATTGAAATTACACTTTGCTACTCAATATCTGATACCAGGAAGTTTTTCTCTTCACCCAGAGGATAATGAGCAACTGGAACAGGTTGTCAAGGAAGGTGGCTGAGGCCAGAACACTGGACATTTAAAAATCACAGTGATCGTGTGATGGGAGGACAGTTAATGTAGGACCCAGTCAGGTGTCAACTGCAGTAAAGTGATTAATTAAGGCAATTTAGAGTGAATTATGATATTGCGTTGGGTATGACAGAAGATTGAATGGTTTTACCCTGATCTGTCATTTTGCAGAAAGGAAATGTAAATCCAAATATCTGACCCTTACCATACAATCATCCAACTGGGATTGAATTTTGTCTGGCTCAACACTCCTCAGGTCCAACACAGGCAGGTCTGCTTTGACGCTGTCCAACACACGTTTGCAATCCAACATTCGCTGCTCAAAATTTGCTGGTTTTTGGAAAAGCTGGAATTTTGTCGATACTTCCCGAAACTTCCGCTGTTAAAGCAAAAAAGAAATTATTCTACTTTTATTAGTTCTTGTTNAAAAAAAGAGGTTGACTGACTACTTGCACAGCACCTCTCATGGAAGATGAACGTCTCAAAGGGCTCAACAGATGCAATGATGAGCAGTAAGCGGGGAAAAGAAATCCAAGTATGTTAATGCAGAATCACTTACGATTGAAGAGAGCTTTGAAGGCAAGGTGAGGAAGCAACGTAAATCAATCAAGTGAAGCATGCAAGACAGTGGAGCCTGGTGAGGATGGGGGTAAAGTAGGTGCAGTTCCAAGTGTGACAGAAAACTTGGGATTACATGGTTTTGGATAAATTGGAAAAATTTTGCAGCAGAGCGGCTAAGTTAGTAGCACAAGTGGGCAATGTGCTGGGCTCAGTGAAGCCAGTCTTAGGAATGGACCAACAGTAATGAGGTTTGAAATGCAGCTCGGAGTCAAGCAGAAAGCCACAATAGCACACCGACTGCTTCAGTCTAAGCGAGCAGCCAAGAAGATTTATGGAGATAGATCAAGAGATGAGAAGACACTGGTGAGAAAGCTTTCATTCAAGACTTGATGCCAGACAGACATTAAACCCAAACATAAATCTATTTGAAAAAAAAAGGTGTTCCCACCATAACTTTTGTGCCCAACACATGCAGAAACCCATCACCCAATTTACGTGTATATGGTGCCTTTCACATCAGGAGGACATCTCGAAGCACTCCATCATGTTCAAACACTATCGTACAATGCTACCTAATTCATCTTTAAAAGTAATTTGTAATCCCTGCTTCACAAACACCAGGGTTTCGCCCCAGGGACCAAAACCATCTTCATTTATTTATCTCATTAATAGAGACGCCAGTCAGGCCTTTAGCTCATTACACTGCTCTCACCCTGTCCCTATACTGTCTCAGTAGAAACCAAGATATTTACACAATTAGCCAGCAAGGTCAGTTCCAAAAACACCTACATGAACTAGAGCAGGGATGGCCAACTTGTGGCCCATGAGCTGCATGTGGGATGCATTATGCATGTGCACAATAGTCACACAGGCCATCCCTGAACTAGAGGGTGAGATTGTATTTCCTCACTACAGTCTATTCTATGTTATTATCAAAATGAGAGGCTACATTTCGTCACTCTCAAGGCCATTTCAAACAGAGGAAGGGACTTCAGCAGTAACTATTGTTCAGGTCCATTGTACCAGATTTTTCATGAGATTAGGATTAATTTTACATGAAATAAATTCATGCGTATTCCAGTGATCAATGGAGAGGTTTAGTTAATGCCTTGGTGCCTTATGGTATAACTGCATGTGTTGCACACATTCGCACATATAAACAAAGAGCAGTGAGACTAAAAGGAAAACTCAATCTACCGTGTGCAATCCTCAGTGCAGCAAAATCCTACAGAGGCAGACATATGAGACAGTACAGAGAGACCAAGAAAGGCAAACAGGTAAGGCAGGGGGCAGATATATTAGTAGATCAGCATCATCTATTTATACAAACTAACACTAGAAATTGTTGAATATCCTGGAGTAAAAAGATATGCAGTTTGGATTTGCAATTAGGAATCTTGCTTTGTACATAGAGGTATTTATTTATAGTCGACAGCACTATCCCTGCAGTCAACCTGTAAACATTGCAAGCGTTACAGAGAGCTATGGACATCTGAAAGAGTAATCCGAATTCTGATTTTAATGCACAAAAGAGGCACAAGAATCAGAAGATTTGTGCCAGAAGCTCCCAGGCTATCTCCCGCACAACCCGTCTAATTTCAAACACAAGGTACATTGTTGACCAGATCAACAGATCTTTTGTATCAATTTGTATTTCTTAAAATGTAAGCGAAAGTAAACAAGTTCTCTCTTTAAATCAGCCTTGGAAACCCATTAAAAATTACTAGGGGTCTTAGAAGGCATTCCCCCCAAATTAAATGCAATAAGAATTGTCACAAAACATGCAGTTCCCATACAAAAAGATTTATGAATTTGGATTTTATTGAAGCACAAATTTATAATAATAATAATCCTTGCATTTGATACAGCGCTTTTCATGTCGGGAGGACGTCCCAAAGCGCTTCACAGAACACACTGTAAAGTGAATCGACTGTATATTTGTGGGCAAACGCGGCAGCCAATTGCGCACAGCAATGTCCCACAAACAGTCGTAGATTGAAAATGACCAATTTATTATTGTTTTGTTTTTTGGAGGGATTATTATTAGGTCTGTGGAGTAAGGAAACTTGCCCAAGGTTTCGCCCTCTGCCTGGAATTGAACTCAGGTCTCTCACTTGCAAAGCGAGTTCTCTAACCACTGAGCTACAGGACTCCACTATCCTGTTTGGAGATAGACTTCTGTCCGCATTAGAAGCCTCAGCAATAGAGAATACCCTCAATGTTAACACTGAAGGAGTAAGAATGTTACTTATGATAAATTATTGATTTGTACATTCAGTCACACTCCTAGACCCTTTATTAAGGTTCATTCATACCTGAAGTAAATCCAACTGAGTGCCACCACGGATAAAGGGCTTGATCTCCAGTGAAGGCGAGGTGCCCACATTTCTCATCTTCATCTCCTCCAAGTTGGTCTCGTGTGCGGCAATATCTGTCTGAATTTTCTATTAAATAGGAAAAGCAATAATAGGTCTAAAATTGGATTGCAAACATCATGCCGTGATTAGAAGGAAACACAATAGCCCAAACCGTTGATAACGTTTAAATTATTTTAAGGGTTGAAGCCCTCGTCAAAATGATGGCATCAGCTTTGGAGAGAACTGATTTAAGCTGGTTTCTGGTCATTTAAAACTTAAGCCTTAATGAGTTCAAGTTTACAGTTCCAATTTAATAAAAAAGAAAACCTACAACTGTAAAAAAATGCTACACAATATATACTATTATGTCTGACATGTGCAGAAACCCATCACCATGTTTAAGTGTATCCAAACCAAGCTAAGATTTCCATGCATCCCACCTACACATGGAAATTCCAGAGATAGATTGTGGGAATGAAATGTGCCCTCTCTCCCTAGAGTGAAACATCCTGCTTACATAATTACAGAAAGTATTAGACACAGATTGGCAAGACTCTAGCAGTACCCCAAAGCACAGTCTAGGGCCCCACAAGGCTTGAGGACCCTAGAGTGTGCTTTGAGGTACTGCTGGAGTCTAACCAACTAAATCACATAGCTTGCGATTGATATTCCTGTCTGGCAAGCTTTCCCGCTGCTTATCCTGCTAGAACCACCCTACCCATTAGGGCTATGGATTGCAGGATTAACAGGAGTTGAGTGGGAGAGTCCCTGCTCCCAGTGACTCGTTTGCCCTTCCAAGTCCTGCCTGAACCAGGCTGGTTGTGCTGTCATCAGCACTGCCCTGGACAATATCCTAGAGCGTAACCACCTGAGTGTAGACTATAGTCACAGAACCGATTAGTGAGCGGCCGCCCTTGGAACCTGAATCCCAAGTAGAAGGAAAAAAGAAAATTAATGATCCCTCCCACCCATTGCCTATTGTTTGTAGTACCTGGGCTTCCTGTGGAAGCTGTAAAGCATCTACCCTGTCCGTCAGGTATGATGTTAGCTGTTTATCTAGACGTCCCAGTGACTCCTGCAAGTCTCGGATTAATTGCTCGTTTTCTCGAGAGGTTTGTAAATGCTGCTCCAGTGAGATCTGCTTGCTAACAGCCTGTAAGAAAGAAGGGGGCTGTTAAATGTTCCACCATAAGGAAACATATTAAAAATAATAATCCTGGAATTTGTTAAAGAACTAAAAGTGTTGTGATGCCTTAAAATTCTTCACAGTCAACTGTGGCCAAGTGTAGTGACTGTTTGCTTGCAGGCAAAGCCACATTATAGATAGGATCAGTCCTATAGAAGTTTCTGCAAATCGATTCCAAAGGAGTTAAGGTATTGAGGTTAAATTACTTTGGCTCTTTGGCACACATTTACATTTTTCTGCAAATAAACTCAGGGGATTTTATTTTGCCCAAATCCTTCTCAGGGCTTGTTTTATATAATAAAATAAAACAAGCAGGGCAGCCTTCTGTTTCCGATAGATTTTTTTCTGTTTTAGAAAAAAACACCACAAATTGGCAAGTTTAATTGTTTCTTCTCTTTCCCTCCCCCCCAAAAAATTAAATAAAAGTGTCATTTCAATTTATCCAAAGGGGGTAAAAAAAAGTTTCACAATTCCAAAGCATAGTCAGATTCTGAGAAACCAAATCACATTCTTGGGCAAGTTTCCTTACTCCACACACCTAATAATAATCCCTCCAAAACCAAAAACAATAATAAATTGGTCATTTTCAATCTACGACTGTTTGTGGGACATTGCTGTGCGCAATTGGCTGCCGCGTTCGCCCACAAATATATACAGTCAATTCACTTTACAGTGTGTTCTGTGAAGCGCTTTGGGATGTCCTCCCGATGTGAAAAGCGCTATATCAAATGCAAGGATCATTATTATTATTATTATTCCATGTGGTAATGCGTCAGAAATCTGCTTTAGTCCCTGACGCACATCAGTTGAACGATGTCCAAAGTGAATCATTCGCTGTCTGTAGTTCAGTAATCTCACCATCTGGGAGAAATCGCACTGTTCGTTCCACTGGGTATCCAAACAATATACAATCCAGTTCCTAGCTGGCATTGTGCCCATTTATAAAAATAAGCCAATTTCAGAGAACTGCTCCATTTTATACATATAAAAAAAGTCCCATTTTACACGCTGCAAAACGAAAAACTCCAGCTGGACTATCTGCATTTGTGTTGGGTGTTATTAGATACAAATGTTGAGGAAAATTGTGATGTATGGGGACCTCCCACCTGGTGACTGAGCTCTTCATATCGAGCGTTGAATGCCTCCAGCTTTTCACTTATGATTTCATCCAAAATTCCACCATCAATCAACGTCTGGCCCAGCTCACGGATCTGCGTTCGATTATCAGCTGGGTGGCGCAGCACAGATTCAAGTGACTGGTGGAAGATAGCAGTTTTTTATAAATAAATGATTAGTTGATAGTAACTCAAAGTTTAGTCCACGTCAAGCCAAGTCAACAAACAGGAAGAGGACTAAATAGCTATGTTTCTGAGAACGTTAAGTGGTCAGATAGAAAACGAGCAAATGTTACCAAAAAAAAACACAAGAGAGAATTTTAACGTTGTGTGTCACAACCCCACACATATATAAAGCGTATAGCAATTTTAGCTCCAAGGCCACTGAGATATAAAGTAGAACGCTGGTTATCCTCAGAATTTATCAGTTTGTTTATATACACCAGGCTCCAATGTAAAAGAGGGCACAGGGCTGAGGCAATTGACAAAACAAAAATCCTGGCGTGCCCACGTGCAAAGTTACGTTCCTGCCCAGCAGGTTACTGGGGAATGCATTTTAGTTATTCCGACCAGTTAAATCATGTTCCTAGTGACCTCTCGCATGCTCTCAACCTTGCACATGAACAAAACAGGATTGTATTTTTTTGGCTGCCAACGCAAAGGTAAGCGTTTAGATTTTTCTGCGGTGTAGGGTTCGAATCAAAGAAAGACACAGGGTTAACATTCCTAAAACAAGATACAAATCGGTCTGGTGCTATCAGAGTGCAGAGATCTTGTACGGGTAAATCTGGGATGAACATCAAAGTTGCACTTCCTTGCACACTTCAGATTTCAATTAAGAACATATGTAACTCGAGCGCACAGCACATGGAAAGCAAGGCTTATCTTCCAAATTTGATCCAATCGTATTGAATTTGTTTATAAGTTCCCTCCCAAATATCAAATGCAAAAAGGCAGCTGAGTGCAGTACAAGGGTGTCACATGCACCAGGAAGTTCAGATGATAAAATCACAATGGTTCAAAAATGCTGTCTAATCTCTTGAGAGCATGCGGGGTCAAAATTGCAGTGTTGTTAAACACATTCCATTCCTTATTTAAAATGTTATTTAAAATGTTCTTGAAAATACCACTGAACGAAAGTGCCCAAAACTGACAATAAACTGCTCGGAGAAGCCTCGTCAGTGACACGCACTGCCGTTATTCAGACGTTGTTGTTGTTGGGTGGATGGGGGGGCGGGGGGGTGTGGGGGTGGGTGGCTGCTTTCCAAACACATCTTAAAAATGTCCATTAGATAAATTAAAATGTATATGAATACTGCAGTTTTGACTCCTGTGTTTCTTTTCCATGTGAGTGGGTGTCCCCGATCAAGGTCTGAATTTGCATTTCATATTACTCATTGACGTTGTCAAGTTTTCTTATTGCCACAACACGACTGCAGTGGCCGTGTTTTGTTTGGCAGCAGCGTCATCGTGCAACTCAACAGGAAGAAAAATGATAAAGATTAAAACACTCACTCGCCTTTGGCGCTGCAATTGCATCACTTAGTGGACACCATTTTACGCGGTTTAATAGTGCACGTTATTGAGTTCAATTCAGACAGTTCCTGAAATGATAACAAATCCCCACCTCAAGGGCTTCATTCACGGCTTCAATGTTGTCGGGGACGTTCTCCGCAATGTGCAGTTTCTCCTCCAGACTGTTCAGCCAGTTGTTCTCTAGATCCAAGTATTGGAGCAACTCGCACCAGCAAGACCACACTTCCTATAGTAAGAGGATAAAACAAGTGGTTTTATTCAGGTAAAAAAAAGTCAGCAACCAGCCAGCAAGCTCCTGAGGAGCATTCACAAGCACTATTGTCCAGCTCTCTACAACATCAGTTGTGAATTTGTGCCTCCCTGCACCGAGTCTAGCTCATTGATTGCAGTCATCACCTTGATACATCAATCCTCCTATTTCTTCAAATAGGGAGAATGCTTCTCAGGTGTTTCACTGCTCCTCAGCTGAAGTGTACTCTACAGCCTGCTTAACGGTTTACAGTCTTATCTGTAGCTTCGCTCTCAAGCAGGCAGGTTTGTTTCCAAATTTATCCTTTGAGCTGCACCTCTGAAATACCTTCCCTTACACATATTTAATAATAATCCTTACATTTGAGCACCTTTCATGTTGGAAGGACGTCTCAAAGCATTTCGCAGGATTCACTGGAAAGTGCAGTGACTGTGCAACTTTAATAATAATAATCCTTGCATTTGATATAGCACCTTATCACATCTTCGAGACGTATCAAAGTGCTTCACAGAATATACTGTAAAGTGAATTGATTGTATATTTTGTGGGCGAAACGGGGCAACCAAGATTCCACCAGGTGAACGTCATAGCTCCGCACCTCCAAAGTATAGACCTTCCCCTGAATCCGAGTGCAAAGCCTTTTGTAATTTTCCAACACCAAATCCAACTCCCTGGACATCCACGCCTGAGCACCAGATGGCGCTTTCTTACTGAACACAATGATATTGTCTTTCAGAATCTTCACTCGCACCTCCTTCTGCAGCACATCCTCTTTCGCCCGCTGCAAAGGAAAGGGAAAAAAGTGCTCGGTGTACAAGACAATAAAACGAGAAGCCAGGTTCAGCTGCTTATTCTGAACACTGTGTTCTTAACGCACATCAATTTCCCTTCTCAAATTAAAATAACTTTGTGATGATCAAGGGTGGGGGCAGAGATATAGCGTCGGGTGTCATCCGCATACACGTGGAAGTTGACCCCATGTCTGCGGATTATGTCACCAAACAGGAAGCATGTAGAGGTTGAAGAGGAGGGGATCGAGGACAGACCCTGAGGAACACCACACAAGACTGTGCCAGGGTTGGCGGCGACAAATTGGAGACAGTGTGAGAGGCAAGACCTGAACCATTCAAGGACAGAGCCTTGAAGGTTGAGGTCAAAGGACAGAATCTTGAAACTGCATGTTCGGCAGTCAGGTCCCCAGCACTTCGCGGCCCGCCATTGGCAGTCGGGCATTCAGCATCTCTGCCCCCATACTTTGGAACTGTACCCCACAATCCCTCCGCCTCACCCCCTCTCTTTCCTCCTTCAAGTCCCGTCTAAAGACCTTCCCGATGGGGAGCCAGTGGAGCCTGGCCAGAACTGGTGAGACGTGGGTACGGAGTTTGAAGCGGTCAGTAATGTCACCAGGCATCCAGGGAACTGATGAAAAGTTTTAACCAAAAGAGAAATCGACACGGAAAACACAGCTGACAGAATAGCAAACACCTCCACCACTGAGCTGAGCCCGCACTCGAATTTAGCAACAACACCATTACACTGCATTTATTACACTAACGCACTCCTCGCCGGTCTCCCCAGCTCCACTAAAAGATCCAGTTTATTCAGAACTCTGCCACCCGCACACTGACCCAGACCAAACTCCGTACCCACATCTCACCAGGTACTGCAGGAATCTAGCAGCTAAAACTACACAGCTTGCCCTTGAGAGTATTGACTGGCAAGCTTATCCACTGCTTTTCCAAGGACCTCACATTCATTTGCGAAGAAGAACTAGTATTTGCATAGCACGGATAAAGTCGAAACATCTCAAAGGGCTGCACAGTGAACCAACTTTAAGGCCTACCTCTTCAATTGCGCAAATGGTCACTGAAGATCGACTTCAAGATCCTCACACTCGTGTTCAAATCCCTTCACTCCCTGGAACCTCCCTACCTCTCTGACTCCTCACTCCCCAATCCACTACCCGGCGCCTCTGCTCGACTGGCACCCGCCTCCTGCTTGTCCCTCGCACCCTCTGCCCCACCATCGGAGGTCACCCTTTCAGTCACTACGCCCGGAAACTGTGGAACACTCTCCCTCAATCCCTCCACCTTGCCCCTTCTCTCCCCTTTTTCAAGTCCCGCCTGAAGACCTCCCCCACCTTGGCTCGGAGTCAGACTCCGCCACTTTTAAGATCTCCGAGACGCTACCCTGCGTGGGGAGCGCTATATAAGTGCAATTTGTTGTTGCTTATACAATGCCTTTCACATCGAGACGACGTCTCAAGGCACTGAGTGAATTAACACAAGAGAGTAAAGTGACTGGAAGCTGATCAAATATTTAATCCCGAGTGTACAGGCTGATTTCTAATTCTCCAACAGTTAAAAGGAAGGTTAGAAAGAAATTCTTTGCACAGGTGAAATATCAAATTGTCTGCTTCAAACTTCTCTTGAAGCAGAGTCCATTGATTTTAGAATAGTGAGCAGGAGAGTGGGGTTACAGTAGGGGACTTCTGTGGAGGAAAACACCAGCGCATGCATACCTGATGGCCCGAATGGTCTGTTTCTGTGCTGTAACATTGTGTGATTTTCTCCACCTCTGCTGTCCTGGCCAGTTTGCTACCTGAGACTAGCTCTGGCTGAGTTGCAGTTCCACGTGTGGGAGCCCAGCCTCTGGAACCCTCTGGCCTGGTGAAAGCAGCTCACTCAAAGCTTCAATAATAACTAAGATCCACTCCATAAGGTGCATGTCCACCTGAGTTATCAGGGAACTCAATATATTTTTATCTGTTATTCCATCTAATCCAAGCTTGCAACATGAGATGTTTTGATCAGACAACCCCCACCCCCAAACACACAAATCACTTACAATGATAGCAGATTCCATCTTACCTTCATATCCTCCAGAGCAGTTTCCAACTCTTCTGGCGACTTATACTCAAAATCCTTCTCTAAATATTCCTCTTCAGCCTGAGCTATCCACTCACGCATCTCTGTAAGGTCTTTCCTCAGGTTCAAAGTCTTCTCCTGACCTTCAGTCAACTTTGCTCGTTGAGCCACAATCTGCAAGACCACAAATATGAAGAGGTCAACCTACTGTAGTTAGAAAGCTTTAACAGGTTCAGGCAGGGGTAGAGCGCTGATCCATCTAACTTCCTGATTCAGTAGCACCAATTCAGCAGTACATTTGATATTTGACATTTACCTTAACAAATGTACAGCTTTGGGACACATTGCCCACTCCCCACACTGGCTTCAATGGCAACATCCACAGAGACGAGCACTGGACTTTACTTATTTCCTACAAAACTGGTAAATTGCAGAATCCGAGATCTAATCCGTAAGCAACTAAAGCATCCCAAATTTCCCTACTTGTGACCATACCTCCATTATAATACAAATTCTTTCAAAGTTTGCAACTCTGCAGGACCCCAAACCCATTCAGGTACTGCAATCTGAAAGCCATGTTAAACAGGTGGAGAGAAATTCCACCTGGGTTTAGATTTGTTCTCTTTTAAGTAGCATTTCAGAAAATCCAGAATTTGGCAAATTGCTGCATTCAGTCTTGACTTTGAAGTCACTTATCTGTAGTTCTCAAGAGAACCTGCAGAAATCAGACTTCAAAATTAAGAATTTGCCCAATTCTGGACCCTCTGAAATCCGACAGGAACTGAGTATATCAAGATACAGGAGAAACATCTCCCAAGGGAGAGCAAGCTAATGCTTGCATAGATCACTGTCAAAGGCTGTGCCAAACAAGATTGTCACGAGTTCAGAAAGCTGTTAAACATACGCACCTAAAGATTACTTTAAACAGAAATGAATAGATTACGAGCATTATTCAGGGCTTTGTAATATTTCTTTGAAAAGTTCAAAAAATGCTTCGAACATTGGAACAAAACCAGGAAACTAAGCAACACCAGCAACACATCCAAGATAGTGAATGTGGCTCTCCTCTGCACATAGTCACTTCAACCTGGTAAATAAATTGCCAAGTGTGGAGGGAGAATGGAGAGTGAGAATGAGCCATCTGTGCTGAGTTAGCTAAGGTAGCAGATGGGACTGGCCTCAATCCTCGTATTCAGAAGGCAGTGGTAGAGAAAGAACCAGCCAAGACCAAGCTCAAGTTATCCAGTGCCTTTGCTGGAAATACACGAGTGTAAATGTGTGTTGGAGAGACTGGAATTGTCTGGGTTACTCTCAAGGTCAAATAGCCTGCGACACTCACTATCCAGAATGACACACAAAGATCCCAGAGGGTGATTTGATTTGAACCTGGCAGCCTAGTTGTACTTTGTACTGTCAGGAGATGTGCTGGGAAGTGGAATACCCTGCCAAGTAGGGTGGTGGAGGTGGAGTCCACTGTGGCTCTCAAGAGGGAAGTAGACAGGCAATTGAAGGGGTTTGAGGATAAAGCAGGATGGCGGGATTGAATTGATCTCCTTCCTCTATGAGCCGGTGCGGTGTCGATGGGCAGAATAACCTCCTTCTGCTCTGTAGATTTCCATATTTCTATGAGGAGGTTGGTCAGCTCATCGAGCCACTTTTCATGAGTTTACTAAATCATAACAGATCTTTTCTCTAAATCTGATAATATTCTTACCTCCTGGGTATCTATCCCCATTTTAAAATTATTCTGACAGGAGAGAACTGTGGATTAACTAAACCACAAACTCACATTTACCTAGGACCAGTTCATATTCTCTTAAAACTTTAGATTGTGAGCTTTTCCTTACCAGCTCCTCGTTCCCCCAGTGGATCACATTCATGATCCTGATTTTCACCTTCTCTTCTCCATGGTTTTATCCAACCCTACAGCAGCAACTTTCAATCCCATCGACCCAGACGCTGCTCCCTCTGCTCAGCAAACATCAACCTACTTCATGTCCCTGCCCTATCCAACCCACCAACGGCAGACAGGCTTTCAGCCAATCTTTCCACAATCTTCATCTTAACACACCTGATTGATGATTTTTTCCCAACGTGCCTGACTATCTACCAGGCTGGACCAGATGGCTGTAGAAATGGCTGGAACCGGCTGCTTTTTCAGCGACTCTTCTATCTCACTCATTGACGTCAGATTGGACTGGAAGGTCTGGATTTCATTCGCAAACGTCTACGGATGAGAGAGAAATAAAGCAAACTCTAACCTGAAAATGAACAGTGCAATTTAAACATGTGCGGGCTTTGCAGCCTCAAAGTGTAACCGGGGAGGTTTGTTCAGGACTGCTGTGTTTGCAAACGTTGAGATAAGCAAGCTAATCCACAAGACACACAGAATAAGATTCACATGGAAGCACAAAAGACAAGCAGCTTCATCAGACCCTTTTACTTAACTTACAAGCTCAACGTGTATATTCCATTAAAACATCTCTATAGACTGCAAACTTGTTTTTACCATCACCCAAAGGATCAAATTCAAGATCCTCATTCTCATCTTCAAATCCCTCTACGTGCTCGGCCAGCCTACCTCCTTGACCTCCATCAATACAAACTCAGCCGACTACTTTGCTCAGTGAAAACACTGGTCTGCCTCACATCTCCCGTCCCATCTCCCCGCCCATCAGCACACGGGCTTTCGGACATTCATTCCTCTCCCCACCTTCTTCGGTGCCCGGCCAGCAGTGCTGAACACTTTGAGGCGTGAAAGTCACTATATAAATGGAAATTATACTGTACTATGTTGTACCGTGCATTGTTCTAGCTGCCTCTGGAGCTCCTCTGGGCTTCCTAGTTCTGAGGTGATCCGGGACAGGAACTCATCTGCACTGTCCATCCAAGTCTGGGCAGCATTAGCATTTTTCTGCATTGAAGAAAAAAGTCCCAAATATCATGAAACATTCATGCACACTTTCTGCAAGTTATCAAAAATTCTACTACACACCAATATCTACCACTTTCAAAGACATCAAACATTACACAGAGCAATTACAATCGGTTAAAAATGTGGAACTGTTCCAAGAGTCAAAAATGAGTCAATGTTCTCTACAAAATTCGAGACTGAACAGGGGTTTGTGCTCCACAGATCCAAAAGAAATCAGGGGAAGAATTCAAAGCTAAAGATAAATGTAAAGATACCCGTGGACCAGTCTTCCTCCTCCCAGGAAAGAGGTAAGTTTTTCCAGGCAAGTTCTAGGATACTCATTCAAACCACACACCACACAGATACACACATCACAGTAGACAGAATTTCAGAAAGAAAGTCAATTTCAGACAAAAAAGCCATGTAAAGCAAGGTCTCCCAGGAAGTTTTGTACTTTTGTAAGAGCTTTATGACATTGCAAGGTCTTTAAGCATTTTGCAGTAATTGCTGGCAAGTACTGTAGCCTGAATATGTCAGTGAGAATTAAACAACGTTTTGATAAGGAAATCAATTGAGGGGTAGAGGTATCATACAAAAGATAAAACCAGTAGATTTTTTTTAAAAATAAGCGTAACCACAACAGTCTGATGCAGTCCTGCACATTCTTTACTTTATAGAAATGCATTAGTCACATCTAATGCCGAATCACACAGGATTTAATAATTGGGATTGGCTCCATTATCTATGTAGAACAGTGCACAACAAGAGGTGATCCCACTAGGAGGAGGTGTCTTGTACAGGCTGTTTCCAATCATACAGGGCATCATTCAATAATAATGCTCACCTTAAATTGCTGCACTTTCAATACCACATCCTCCAGCACCTGAGTGTTCTCCCGCAATTTCATCAGCAGCTTTGTCCACTGTGCCTGAACCCCATCAAATTCCAGGCGGTCTGTCTTGCTGGCATCCGGCACTCTTCCTCCAGTCTCTGCGTCTCTGAGGCCAGTTGGTCCATTTCTGGCTGATGGTTTTCCAATTCATCCTGGAGAATCTGGGATGAAGACAATTTGTTTCTGTGAATTATTTCCTTCCAGCAACAGAGATGTACTGACAACAACCTGTTTGTGGTCCAATTATCAGTATATTCTGTGAAGCGCTTTGAGATGTCTCAAAGATGTGATAAGAGACTATATCAAATGCAAGGATTATTATTATTCAAGATCAGAGACCAATGAGCATAACAAGTGATGCCGTCAAATCCATCTTTCAGGATTTTTCAACTAAATTCACAATGCTTATCCTGTTGAGCCACTGTGTCCAGCTGCTTCCTGAAATTCTCTGAAAATAATTTCTCCAGTTGAAACCACTCCTAAAAAATCTTTGACCATGGGTTCAGTCAACATCCTCAAATCTCCCCTCTTTCCACCCTGCTCAATGATCTCCATCAGTTTTGCAGAGTGCTTTGAAACATGCTATGTGAAATGAACTATAAACAAGTGCAAGCTGAACAGCAGTTGCCACTTTTTTGGGGGGAGGGTGGGAGGGAGAAAAGCATACATACACATAATACAATTTGCACTTATGTAGCGCCTTTTACTTCGGGACGATGCCTCAAAGTGCTTCACAGTGCTGGATGGGTACCCAAACTGCGGGTGGGGAGGGGAAAGATGACCAAAAAAATGGTCAAAGAGATACGTTTTGAGACGAACCTTGAAAGAAGGTAGGGAAAGAGCCAGTCAGAGGGACTCCAGGATGGAATTCCATAGAGCCGGGGCAGAATGGTTGAAAGTTCATCTGTTGATGGTGGGGACAGAGCTGAAGAAATGAAGAGCTGATTGCCCCTGAGTGACACGATTCACAACATTATATGCTGGTCTGGATAGCCAAACACACTCATTACCAGGTGTCTATAGTAAGATACTGAGGAAGCACATGTACGAAGGGATACAAAGAATGGTGAAACGCAATTTAAAAATGCTATTTAAAAATGGAAGGCATTACCAATGAACTAATGAAATGACAGTGCTAGTTTGACAGGCTGAAAGATCCACTGTTCTGCCTTTCCAATACTTTCCAGGAAGATGCCAAATTTCAAAGGGGAATACAGGAAAACTTTGGGTCACTGCACTGATATTCACAAAGACTGCTGCCTACTGTTTCAGTGTGCATGTTATGAGCATCAGGTATTTGTGCACAAAGTGTACCTACATACAGTCTCTTGTTTATATTGAAGTTTATTCTCCACTGTTTGAGGTGGGTCTAATGACAAACATCACAGGGATAATGTGCCTTAAACATCACTCACAGCAGTCTCATGGGAATCACTCAATCCTCCCATTCTCACAATATAATGGGCAAGTACCGATCACAATACTCAGTTCCTTTCAATAGAGCCAGTCTGTGCAATTAAAACAGCGTCAATATAGCAAGGAACAACATTTGCAAAATAACTTGCAAAACTTTTTGAGCATTGAATCTATAGGCGCGGGATATCAGGAAAATGGGAATCTGTTTTGTGTGGGTGAGGGAGGGGGAAGGGGAAAGCAAACACCAAAGTATCAGGAAAATAATTATAAACAAACATTTAGTGAAAGTACGAAGATTAGCTCACGTGACAGTGTCTAGAGCAGATCTGAAAGCAACTCCATTGAATGTCCATGGCCTGGGTAGAATGAGCTTTGACCTTAACTGGCTGTTCTCAGTCTGCCATGTGGTAACATGATTGGTTTATGACCCATTTCTAAAGCACCGCTGAGTAATTTGGTTACATCTTTATCACCTTAAGAAATGAGCGGTGCCCAGAAGTTAAACCCATGTCCTACACAAGCAGTGGAATTTCCAGTCAACTTCAGAAGCTGCAAAAGTAGTTACAGCTTTCCACACTCTTGGCTCTTGAAGCAAAAGCCTAGAGCTAGCACATAATCGAGCAAAAGATTTTACAACTTTAATTCCTTTCATGTAGGATAAAGTCTCAATGTACTTTTAAAGACAATCACTAAACAGTGTGGTAGGGGGGGGAAAAGAGAAAATCACGGATGTTCATCGAAGCCACACTTTACAATTTCCCAAATGTTACAACTAAATTTTGCAGCAGCTTTCACATAAGATAATGTCTCAAAGCCCTTGATAGAGGCAATGTGGAACACTGAGCAGGATGGGAAGGGGGTGCAGAGGATGATGAGTGAAGCTACCGGCACCAAGTCTTTCTATTACTATGATTTCCATTTCTAATATTACTTCTAAGCTACTTCTATTATTATTACTAAGCCAATGGAGAGTGGGTTTAATTCTAACTGTTCCTTACCTTTGTTTGCTTCAGTGCGCTCTCAGCAGTCTCCATTCTCACTGTGCTCAGCTCAGACCTAATGTGGGGCTCGGTCCGATCCAACAACGCTTTCATTTCCTTCACAACATCTTGGTACTGCTGACTCTGAGAGCCTTCCAGTGCTATTAACAAACCAGAGATTAAAATCCAAGCACACTACAGACTGAGGCTGCAATCCCGTTTACTTCATAATTCAATAAAGAACTGGTCGCCATTTGCCAGAATTACTCCATTTGTGCCATTATTCCAAGGCGTTCAGTTTAGGGAAACAGTCTGAATACTGTGCCATGCTTCACGATATCAACAATAAAGCCATAAAATCAAGCCATTGTTAACCGATTACCCAACAGTTGTGCTGGACATGGGAGTGAAATCATTGAGAAAGGTCAGTAATGTGTGCCAGCTTCTCAAGTAAAAGACAGAAATTGCAAATTAAGCAGTCTGCCCGACCCAGTCTATTGGTCAACCAGTGCACCCCCTCTCTTCATAGTACAAAACAAATTACGAGCTAATTACAACTCTGCAAAGTTCTCAGTGAAGAAAGAGGAAAGGAGGGGAAATGAAGGCTACATGAACACCAGACTGCAGTCAGAGAGCCTTTCGTCTCGCAAACACATTCATAAATAAATATTTTCGAATCCACATTTTAATTATTTTTGTGATTATTTTAAACATCTACATACTCTTGTTACTGACTAGCCGACCTGTAGAAATAATACATCCCTACTTACCTTGTCACATAGTCTCACAATCTTGAAGTTCTCGATCAGGTCAAGACATTGGTAACCCAAAACCAGATAAGTCACAAACCACTAAAAACGCTATCTTCCCCAGTCAGTAAAGTTCCCAATAAAACATACACACAGAAACACAGAGCAGAACAGAAAGGTATCAGGCAGCAAGGAAGCCACCCTGAGGCTCTCACCTAAAAGCTGCTGCTTCTTGTTCTGCAGTTGTTCCAGGACAGAATTGAAACGATGAGAAAATCGATCGAGATCTTCTTGAAGGAAACTTGGCTTTGCACCCAGCGCCTGTCCACCGGTTATTAGTTTTTCCAAGCGGGGAGCTAGAACCATCAAGCGGTCCAATTCATGCTGCAACATGTCAATAAATGAATGGGCATAAATATGATGCACTACGGGAATTCACTTCCATGGAATTACTGCAACCTGGAATTGGGAACTTTTTTAACGAACCCTGCTCATAACTGCATCACCTACTCGCTATCCCCACTTCGGTCTCTAATGCTCCGTGAATGTAACTACAATGCCCATAAACAGAGCTGTGGATATTTTGGGAGACCGTGCTGAGGCTGATATTTAATTAAGTGATGCAAAGTGGGAGTGGGAGATCAGACACGGATAGCAGCCAAGACACCAAGGAACCAGTGATCTCAAAGTAACCAGTGTGTAACCAGCTAAAACCAGAGAACTATCCAGTATGAGGCACTGCTTGTTCATCAAGGACGAGCATGACCAGTTAAGTTATTGGCTTACATCAATGCCTTACAGTGTAAACCAAGTGATAACAATTTATTTCACCCCTGTTCACCTTGACCACCTTAAAAAGCTTGTGTTATGGGCGTATTTGCCGAATATAAGCCGGAAGATGCCACTAGCTGGTAGATCAGGAAGAGTCGCCTGCAAAGAGTTCCTTACATTTTCATCTCCCTTTTCTGCCCTCAATTCACTAATGTACCCATTAGTGTGAAGAGGACGTCACCTCTACAGGGAGCTCCTACCAGGCACAAGTGGACAGAGTTCATCCGCTTCAGATATACAAGTTGGAGTCAATGCACCCAAATGCAAGGCTCTTCACAGGCATTGAGTACATCTACATGTGGTCGATTTGCGGAACAAATCATAATAAAGGAGCAAAGAACAATAAGGACAGGCAGAAAGCCAAAACAAGAATTCATATGCCTACCAATATACTTGATTTCATGGGGTAGAAAATAAAGGTTTACAGGGTGAAGCTAAATACACTCTGAACAGATGTCAATATCCCTCTTCTTGCCCCCAAAATGTTACTTTGCTAACATCCCAACCTCTCAAGTGATACCCAGTTGCCAGATGTGCCATCTCAGGTCACCACACCCCAAAGAGAGGGAAAAGTGGTAACAGTCATACTCTTCCATGCACCACCCAGACAGAAGGCAGGCACCAGGTCTCCAGGCTTTCTCTTGGGAAGCGAAGGAAAGAACGAAAAAATAAAACTTATGTCAGAGAACAGGAACTTCTAAAGGCTATGTTGGTAAAATGCTTGAAGCTTGTGATGCTATGCCATAATGACATTTCTACTCACTGACCTGACAGGACTCTTTGGTCTTGCTCACATCCTGTCCTGTTGCAGCTCTGTCCATATTCTTAAGCCAGTCTTCTCTGGATTTTAGAGTCTTTTCAAGCTCTTGAAGCTCTTCATAAATGCTGTTAATCTTTTCTTGATCCTGGATCCTACTTTGCAGCTCGTCTATTTGCTGGCAACAGTCTTTCCACTCCTCTGACACTTTCTCCTGTGTATGCTTCACTTCCTCGGCTGACAGTCCTTCTACAAGAAATAAAATGCAATTACTTGTGCGGATATTTGGAATCTACTCTGTTATCCAGTTAAGATTTTGTTTTCATCTAATTGGAGATCGGAACTACACGCCCAGTATATCTGTCACCCATAATAAACATCTTCTCCTTAAATCCCATTCTGATTTCCCAAAACATACATCAATTGCTTTACAGTATATTCCGTGAAGCACTTTGAGACGTCTAGAAGATGTGATAAGGCGATATATCAAATGCAAGGATTATTTCTATTATTTCAACCAAAACTTTAATTGCAACTGAACTACAATCTCCAAACAGACAGAAGTCACAAAGTCAGATTTACTCTGAGCACAATCATTTCAGCAAATCACCTTTGATGGACTATAAATTGGTCATTCACTTCAAGGGTGCTTGTGGGACATTGATATGTGCAAGATGGCTGTTATTCGCCTACAGATACAGTTACTTCACTTTACAGCAATTACCTATGAATTACTTTGTGTCGCTTTGACAGCAAAGGCACATCATCAAATGCAAGGGTCACTGTTGTACGATTCAACACTGTGCTGCTTGTGTCAATCCAACACAAAATGGACTGCTAGAAAGCATTTTGCTCCAATAAAAATCAATCATTAGCTGAAGTGCTAATGGTCTTAAAATAGTTTCTAGAACGAAAAAGTAATTCCAACATTTCAAAATAAACTATGTACATGAGCTTGCTGGCGCAGTAATAAACTAAAACCAATCAACAATCCACTTCTTACTTGAAGCCTGGAGCATTTATACAGGTAGGTCTTGCAGTTAAGTGATGTTGTTTATAATTCAATTTGTTTATAGTCTGAAGGAAACTCAAGAGCAAACCGACCAAGGGTTACAATTTTATTTGATCTCTTAATTCTGTCTAAGTTCGGTTGATATGACAAGGGAGCAATTACAATGTATAACACAACCATCATTCAGCATGTCCAAGGGCTCCCAACTCATCAAGAATTCTACCTTCAGTCAGGATTTATTTAAAAGCGACACAGCGGCTTGAAGTTCTCTTTATATCAATGTTTTATAAGCATAAGAGCATGGGGAACAAGCAAAGGCCAAAAGGGGCATTTCAGCTTGGCTCAGTGATAGCACTCTCACTTCTGAGTCAGAAGGTTGTGGGTTCAAATCCCTTGTCGGAACTTGAATTCACGTAGTCCAAGATGGCACTCCAATGCACTGCTGAGGGGTGTTGCATTGCTAATAGTACCGTCCTTTGGATGAGACTTTAAGCCAAGGTTCTATCTGCCTGTTCAGGTGGACATTAAAGTCCCCATGGACTATTCTAAAAGACAAGGCAGTTTCTCCCGGTGTACTGACCAACAATCCCCCAAATAAAATTGGTCATTCACTGCATGGCTGTTTGTGGGGCAGCATTTGCCGCATTTGCCTATAAATAAGTCACTCCACTTTACAGTAACTCCTTTGAAGCTCTTTGAGATGTCCTTCTGATGCTATACCAAATGCAAGATTTTTTTCTTATTATAATTATAATTGTTTCCTCTTATTATTAAGATGATTAAATTAGTATTATTTATCTTATAATTATTATTGCATAGCCAATGAAGCCTGCTCCTTCTGAAGACAATGCAAACTGGACACCACTGCAAACTCCACCCCATCCACTATATACTGAGAGAAAGTTCCCCCAGATACTCCCCAAACCCAAAAATGTATTAAACAAAAACCCTGGAATATTTGTCCATCCAGTGACATTGATCCTCTCAACTATTTCTTCTGCAGCTAGTAATGACCAAGTGTAGCACAGTTGAAAAGCACAGAAGATTTTTGTTAAACTCATACTGTAAACCAAGGCAATCATTACAAGACAAATCTCAGCATAGAAAGTTTTTTTTAAAAAAGCTTGCATTTTACACAATGTAGTGTCTCAAACTGCTTCACAAATAATTGCTGCCAAGTGCTGTGACTATTTCTGTAGGAAAACACAACAGCCATTTACATCAGCAAAGACCCAGAAACAGCCATGAGGTGAACCACCAATTTAGGAAAATTGTTGGCTTGATGACAGGAGAAACTCCCTTCTCTTTTGAATAGAGTTGTTAGATCTTCAACAGCCATTTAAAAGGCAGAGGGCGCCTTGCTTTCCCATCTCATCCAAAAGACAGGATCTCCAACTTTTGCTGCAGCACCACCCAGCTGCACTGCACTGTTTGACATGAAGCTTGAACCTACAATCTTCTGTTTCAGAGGTGGCGATCTAGCAGCTGAGTCAAACTGACATATTTCTACTTTATATTTCTACTCAAGGCAAATCTCAGGACATAACTATTTGACTGTGCTTTTGGTTATCTTACCCCTGCCCTCCCCACCCACCTCTGCTCCCACCCCAGCAGAGTTGCCCACCAGCATTGTTAAGCTCTTTGAATCGCCGCCCCACTCAATGTGAAAGACGCAACATAAACGTAAATTGTATTTGATATTGTGCATTGATCAGTTTGATCTGGTAGAAATCATGCTACGTAGGAGGGGCTGGTCATTTTCCCAGTTGTTCTGTACCATGCTGCAGAAAAATATCAGATAAACTAATCAAGTTTCAATATTTCCCATCAGAAAATTAGAAACATTTGAGCATTGCTCCCAATATTTTTAAATGTCAGATGTTCTTACCTTTCTCCATCTGTCCTATCAGGATCTGGAAAACCAGATCCATTTCTCTCTGTTTACTTTCATTTTCTGTCTTCCCTTTTCTCAGAGCCTATCGAGGTACAGACCAGTAATTATTATAAAATGTTGCTTTAAACTGTGGACATCACTAATTTGCTAAACAGCACATTAAGTCTGACTGGTGCACAATATTCGAATCCAAAACTAAGTTCATACAACAGGTATTCTGTTGCTATAAATTGTAAAGCAGTCTCTAAAACATTAACAACTTTAACCAAAGTCTTTAGACTGACCAGTGGAGAGAGATTTATTTACACAATCCAACAGTTAGAAATAGATTTGTATTTTCATTATTACCTTGAATTACTTTTGTGCAGCTTCTCCATTCATGTGCTTACCACTAACCACATAATAGTGGTTATAATACACATCATTATAACATTGGTTTGCTTACAAGGCAAGTGCCCTCTATACCTAAAGCCAGCTTCATGCACTGTGGATGTGCGACCTAACCTGCTCACAGTAGTAGAGTTGGGTGTGCATCACAGCACCACACAACCTATTGACTCAGAAGGTCCCACAGATTTGGTCACTGGTCTGTACTGCATGAAGTCTGGCCCTACAATTAGCTTCAGCATCCAAGCTTCCAACTCCAGATTGCCATCCTGTCACCTGTGCTGGGAAGTGCATCCAAGGCTGCACTCTCCACCTCTCAAAGCCAATCAGTAACCTCGGTGTTCTGTTCGACCCTGAGCTGTCCTTTCTTCCCCACATCCGCGCCACAACTGGCACCGCCTTCCACCACCTACGGAACATCACCAGACTACGGCACTACCTCACCCCTCACGCTGCCGAAACACTGGTCCACGCCTTTATCACCTCAAGGCTGGACTTTGGGAACTCTCTCCTCGCCGGCCTTCCCGCACCTCCCTCCACAAGCTGCAGGTCATTCAGAACTCTGCAGCTCGTGTACTGCCCCGCACCAGGCTTCGCGACCACATCACTCCCACCCTCGCTCGCCTCCACTGGCTCCCCATCCACCAGAGGATCGAATTCAAGATCCTCATCCTCACCTTCAAGGCCATTCACGGCCTTGCTCCCTCCTACCTCTCTGACCTACTATCCCCCTACCTACCTGCCCGTACCCTCCGTTCCTCTGGCTCCGGTCTGCTCCACATCCCCCGCCCTAACCGCCCTACCATCGGTGGCTAGGCTTTCAGCCTCTCAGCCCCTAGGCTCTGGAACTCCATTCCCCCAGTGCCTTCGCCTTGCTTCCTCCCTTTCCTCCTTCAAGGCCGGTCTCAAGACCTTTCTCTTCAACCGTGCCTTCACCTCCCCTCTCGACGCTCTACCCCCTCCTCGCTCCCTCCCTTCCCTCCCCTCACCCTGACCATTTCCCCCCTGCTCGGGTCCCAACCCAACTATCCAGCGCCTTGGGACGTCCTCCCGACATGAAAGGCGCTCCATAAATGCAATCTTGTTGTTGTTGTTGTAAAGACACTATCACCTCTCAGTCATGGTGGAATTACCAGCTGACACTTACAGTCCAGGTTCATTTTAAAAATGAGCTCTTGGACAAGGTCCAAATGGAACTGTGCCCCACTTCAAGAGGGAGGGAGAAAAATAAGTAACGAGAGAACATAGCATGCAGAATAGTTGATGTAGATATTCTATGGTCCTTATTCACTACGTTCTTAATTAAAATACAAATTGATTTAGTCTGGTTTTGCATAAAAGATGAATAATTAAGAACTTAAGAAAAACATCTTTGGAGTCATAGATTTACCTTCATCTTTTCCTTCAAGTCAGAAGTGTCTCTCTTCTTCCTGAGCTCTTTGAATGTCATGGCTTGGATCATCGGTGTCGATTTTCTAATCCACTGCAGAAGCTCGCTGGCCTCAACATCAAACCTAACACGAAAAATAACAAGAATAATCCTTGCATTTGATATGGCAACTTATCGCTTTGTTGAGCCATCTTAAATCACTACGGGATATACTATAAAGTGGATTTGTGGGCGAAACATGGCTGCCAGCAATGTCCCACAAACAGCCATGAAGTGAGTAACCAATTTTATTTGGGGGATTGTCAGCCAAGACACCAGGAGATATAAAGTGAGGCACTGAGCAGGGAGGATAGGATTTTGGACAAAAGCACAGAAGAAATGTTACAACAACAAACTTGCATTTAAGTTATGTTTTGAAGAGGGAATCAGGGAGAGGAACTGAGGTAAATGGGCAAAGTCCCAGAAGACATTAGTATGATCGCAGAAGGAAAAGCAGTCAGTAGTGGGACGCAGACCATGAAGACAAAGTGATGGAGAACAAAGTGATAGCATTCATCTTACTTTTTCTTCTCTTCAGTGTCTATCTGAACTTGTCTTTTCTTAGGTGGTGGGGGAGGAGGCAATTCCTGTTTCCCAATTACTCTTTCTTTGGAAGTTACCGTTTCCAGGACGCTACTGGAATCAACTTGGAACATTCCGACTGCCTGAGATACCTGGAGAATGGGTAGAAGCAGAAAAATACAATGCATTGTAACTGTATTCGCACCCACAGACACGCAACATCTATGAAAGACATGTACATTAAAAAAAAACTTTCAATGATGTAAACAATTATCGTACGGATGGGGATGGGGACAAACAACAAAATGTTTTCATACTAAGACTAAAGTTGAAACATTTCCCAAATTCTTCAATCTTTAATTTTAAGATAATGGCCTTAAGGATAAGACCACATAAGATGTTTTGATCCTTAGATATAAAACCTCAACAATTCCAAAACCTTCTTCATTGAATGAAGCACAAAGTCAAAAATAAACCCTGAATTAATAGGTTTGTATTAGCAAAAGGAAGCGGACAATTCTGATCTACAAACACTGGAGCAGAGCAGACTGTTATTGAGTCATGCAATTTTGAAGCGGCAGCCAATTGCGCACAGCAGTGTCCCACAAACAGTCATAATGTTTTTTTGAAAGGATTACCCCGATTAAAGCGATCCATAAATCGACTAACAACCGGGTTCCTACTTACTGATAGGTAAAGAGAGGTGTGTGGAGTAAGGAAACTTGCCTAACGTTTTGCCCTGCTGGGAATAGAACCCAGGTGTCTCGCTTGCAAGGTGAGTGCTCTAACCACTGAGCTATAGGACTCCACAACAAATGAGCTGCAGGAAAAAAAGAGTAAGCCATTCTTATGAACACATGGCCAACAGTTGAAAAGAAACTGGGTTAGCAGTCCCAAATAGAATAATTTCTGCTGACTAAAACCTTGACCAATCTTGCACTAAATCAGGAACTAAGCTGCAAAAACAAGACACCTCAACATTTAGTAATCAAACTACCGATCTCTTACATCAAATCTGAAGATTGATCGACTACATTCAAGTGCTTCAGAAAATGTTGGAAATCTAACATGTATAAGAATAATCCCTAATTAATTTATTAATAATAATAATAATAAATTAATTAATAATAATAATATAGCGTCTCATCGGTTCGTTTGGGCATCTTAAAGCATGTCACAGGATTTGACTGTGAAGCATGGTGACTTGTATTTGTAGGCGAATGCAGCAATGTCTCATAAGAAGTTGTGAAGTGACTCACTAAATTTATTTGGGAGATTGTTGGCCAGGGCACCAGGAGAAACACTTTTCAAATAAACAGATGGGTCTCTTCTGAAAAACGACAGCACCTCTGGCAATGCAACACTCTCCAAGCAATGGTAGTGGAGTGTCAACCTAGAGTGTGAGCGTGTGTGTGTAGGTGTGCAGTGCGGGTATGTGTGTAAAAAAAAGAATCCTCTATCCTCTCTATTTGTTTAAAGTTATACACTGATGTTACTTGGTGTTCCTCATACCTGGTTGGAGTAATCTTCCAGTTGCTGGACCAGATTGTCCCATCGTTGGTTGATCTCTTCAATATCACTTTCGATTCTGTCCGCTGAACTGCCGTCAGAGAGCATTTCCCCCAGGTCTTGGGCAAGCTTGCCCAGGCGCTCCAATATTTGACGATTCACTTCCAGCTCTTCCTTCAGATGCTAACAAAAGTAGACTTATTTTATAATCGATATATAGCACTTCCTCCAGTCATATTGCAAGTTATCAGCTGTTGTATGCAGGGTTGTTAACAACTATTTAAGTTTTAATTGCTGGAAATAATATGTGAAAGTTTGAACCGTTTAGTTTCAAACTAAACAGTATTGATAAAAACACTTTTGATGTAATAAGACATCTTAGCACAAAAAGAGGTGACAAAGAACGTCACATAACAAGTCATGTGAAGTGGAGCCTTCTGACCCTGAGAGGAGTAGATTATCAACTAAATGAGACATGACAATCATACCCAAACGAAGGTTTCCGCTGACTTTGTAAAGTATTTCATTGTTCTTAAACATATCCATTAGCTTAGGTATGTTGGACAAATGTCACTATTTGCTTGAAGAGAGTGTGGATGCTATGCTTAGAACAAAATTTAAAGGAATAATTTAGGCAGCAAAGGATTAGAAAGTGCCTATTAAATCTCATGTTCCAGCTCGTTATTTAAAAACATCTAGAGCTATTTTGTCATAAACCTAGCTGTGAACCTGCTAAAAAAAAATTAAAGAGAGAAACAGGTGGGAGCACTTGCACAGCATGAAGACAGCATAAGGAAAATGTGTTTATTTTGCCACACCAATGATGCCATAGTCACCTTCACAAGTGAACTGAGATGTGTGGGCCAGCAGCATTATAATAATAATCTTTGCATTTTATACAGCGCTGTACCAAGTCGACAGACATCTCAAAGCACTTTCCAGAATATATTGTAAAATGTATATTTTGTGGGTGAAACACGGGCAGCCAATTCTAAACAAAGGGACTCTTGGGACACTACATTTGAGCAAATCAGCTCAGATCTAAAGGACGGATACACTATAGAGCACCAACCAGCAAAAAATACTGAATTAAATATGTACTGTTGCTGGTTTAAAAAAGGTAGATAATTTGTATGAGAACAGCTACAAGGTAGAGATATTAAAATCTTATAATTTACGTAAATATGGGCCAGCAACAAAATAGAATAACACCCACCCAAGAGCATTTAAAGGACTCCTGGACGTTAGATCTTGTTAATCCTTCTAAAACACACAAATCATCTGACCTCCAAGACACGACTGTGTCAGTCAAGCATATTCAACTGTATACTATGGAATTTTACGAGTTGTTTTCACTGCGCTCTGGGCTCTTTGGTTGGTTTGAGTTGCCAAAGTGAATACCAGAATACCATTAATGGGTAATGGTGAAGGCATCAATTAAGTTGCATTAAGTTGCATTAAGTTGCATAAATCTTGCAGAGCAATCTGCTGTATGTGATTGCTGGCAAGAGACCACCATGCCAGAGTCAGGTAACTCCAGAAGTTCATCACAGAGCCAAATCCTGGAGCATTCTTTGTAAACAATAGAACTTTACAGCACAGAAGGCCATTAAACCCATCGTGTCTGTGCGGACTCTGTGAATTGATTCTTTGACTTCTACCTCTGTAAATTACTCTTTTTCAAATTAACAACAACACAATTACATTTGTACAGCGCCTTTCACGTCGGAAGTTAATAGCAATCTTTGCATTTGATATAGTGCCTTATCACGACTTTGAGTCATCTCAAAGCACTTCACAGAGTGGTATTGCCCCAGAAAGCAATTTGCCAATCCACTAACAACCGGGTTCCTACTTATTCCAAGGTAAACAGAAGCCTGTGGTGTAAGGAACTTGTTTAAGGTTTCACCCTGCCTGGGAATCAAACCAAGGTCCTCTCAGTTGTGAGGCGACTGCACTAACCCCTATGCTACAGGACTGCACGAGTTCCCTCTTGAAAGCTGAATATTGATCCTGCCTTCATAATGTCCTCCTTTTGCCAGGCTGTGGTTCAACAACAGAATACTTAGATAAGACACCTGCCTGATGATTCCCTACACGCATTTTTAAGTAGGATTTTGGGGGATTAAGAGAAGCAACTGCTAACATTTGATAAATAGTGTGAACATTTGGTCCCACCCCATCACCACTTTCATAGAAAGTCTGCTGAAGAAGTGGAGGCATCGTTGGCTCCTACAAATGCTTCTCCTCTTCCCCAAAACACATTAAAGCACAGAAAGTCCACTTACTGCCAGACTTCGTATGCTTCCTCGGATCTCATTCGGATCTTTAAAGTTGCTGGTTTGCACTTTCGTGAGAGCATCTTCCTTCTCAGTCAGCCAGGCTTCAAACAGCAACTAGAAAGGAATTACACAAAAGCTTATACTTCCTGTGTTGTGTTGGCACCTTGCATGGAGAAGCCAAGGAGATCTGCAGTAATCCAAGACAAATCTTAGGTGGTGCAAGGAAGAAAGAAAGAACTGTTTTTTTGGGTGGGAAAGTCTCTAAGGGCACTTTAATCACTGCCAAATGTTTTGGCAGTTAATGGTTGACAAACAAGCCAAGGTCCCACTAACAGCCATAAATTAAGGGCGTATGGGGCAAGACATGGGAAGCGCTTATTGCATTTCAATTTACAAACCTCAGACAATGCAGTGCCCCTTCTCCTGCCCCTGTCTCTGTCCCCACTGTAATGTCTGAGATTGAGTCTTGACAAGAGTTGACAAGCTTGGGACCCAGAGGCAAGTGTGTTACCATTGAGGCAAAATGACATCTGCAGTCAAGGCTTCACTTCTGCAAGCCAAAAAATGCTAGCACACCAGCAGGCTGAGGTGTTACACTCTGCTAATAAAATACAATGCTTCACTTCTCAATCCTTAATAATAGCAACATTTTGAACAACCTTCAGCCCGTAATCATTGTGTTACCGGTTTCTCTCCCAATTACAAACACAAGCTCAGATATTCACCATAAAAATGAATGTTTACAAATGTAAATAATTTTTCCAGTTCATCAGCAGCATCTAGTGCTTGTGCGCAAGAAAAATTATGTTAGTGGTGACGAGAAAGTCAGGCGTCTTTCACAGTGACTTATATAACAGGGCCCGAGCTATTGGACCCAGACCACTGTGTTATAAAGGAGCTGCCCCACATATACTACATCTCACCTGGTCCTCTGATAGATCCTGCCACCTCGTGAGAATATCCTGGAGCAGACGCCATCGCTCTTCAGTCCAGCGGCAAACAGCTGCCCAGCGCTCACCCAGTGACTGCAACACAACCAAGCCTTTTAAGCACTTCAGCGACATACTTTTCTCTTCCAACACAATCCTACTGTTGGCAGGCTTTTAAATGGTTTGCAATAAGTGTCAAGAGTATGATCTAAAAACTTATCAGATCACCAGACAGTTGCTGCAACAACTCTTACATCCAGAAGACTCACAGGTGTGTATTCAATTACATCAATGGAAAATCAAGTCACTTCTCCATTTAAAGGCACAATTGGAGAGGTTACAAATCAATGGGATTCCACGCTCATCACAATGAATCCCTCTCCTCTTCCTCAGGCCACTCTCAATGGGGATATCCATGAAGCCAACACTGTGGCTTTGGAGTTTCGACTCACAGCTGTTCTAAATGTTTTTTCCTTTGTTAAAAATCCAGTAACTCACTATTCAGCAAAGAAAACCCATGATACAGAGAACCTCATTGGAGGTTGACTGCAAGAAGAGAATGTTTAAACCATGTGAAGAGCAGCGGCCATCTGATGGAAGCTTCTCTCAGATAGTATCCTGGTAACTAACATCAACTGACACACTGATCTACAGGAACATATCGAGCATCAGTGAAGTCAGGGTGAAAAGTGCACAGCTCTTCCTCGATAGTGGCAGTCACCAAAATTCAAAAGATCAGCAAGAGATGCCAATTTTTATGTCACATCCTCTCCAGATACGTTAACGTCCAACCTACTAAAATAAAAGGCTGGGAACGATGCGTGACTTGGAACAGGAATTCCAAATGATTCCTCCAGCTGACCGACTGAAAGGGACCATCCTGACTTTCACCCTTCGCATATCTACCTTCAACAGAATAATTTTCAGCTCATTGGGAAGAGGCACTTTCTACTGAAATATCTGCTTGGGAACTAAAACTGAGTTCAGTGACCTCCCCTGGAACATGAACTGAGCAGTGATGGGCTGGTCTCCAAATTCTTCCCCCAAACTGAGATAATTAAAATCTAGGCAAGTGAATGGAGAGGGTGGGAATGCACACAAGGCCACCCATACAAGGTCAAACATAGCAATTTAATTTCCTCATGCTCTAAGGTTTCAGTATTTACATTTTTATATTAAAAAAATCAGACATAAATCCTAAGTGAATACTTGTGAGTACTTGTATCTCCCACAGTGACTTTTGTAACAATAGATGTGGAGTTATGTTCCTCTTATCAGAATTTTCTTCAGTTGCAGGTACCTCATTTTAGGAAGTGTGATTTACTAGGCGATGCTATGAATGAGAGACTTTACTTAAGAGATCTGAGAAAATGGGGTCGTGACTGGGGCAGTTACGACCGCACCATGGAGCTTTTGGGAGGCAGAATTTTGAGGTTTTCGAAATTACAAGGAACTTTGATAAGGTAAGATGGAGAAACTATTTCAACCTGTGAGTGAGTTGGTAACTCGCGAGCATAAATTTAAGCTCATCACACAAAAAAAACACAAAGAGAGAGGTTAGTTTTTTTAAAGGCATGGAGTGCTTGCCTGAACAATATGTGAAGTAGAATCCAGAAGAGCTTTTGAAAAGGGAAATGAACAAATATTTGAAAGAAATAAAAATAGATGCGTGTGGGGAAAAACAGAGGAGACTAAATGTGAAGTTCTTTCTGAGAGAATGCCATAGACTGGATTTTACCATTTCAAAATAAAGAATGATAAAACGATGACTATTGTTTTTGCATTAAGTTCTTCAATCTCTTAGTTTTCACACTAACACAGAAACACGTTTAGTTACAATAATAGTTCTGCATTTCAGGGCTTATGAAACAGACGTTTATTTTTACCTGCAAGATGTTAATGCAACTTAATATTATAAATGACGCCCGCAATGGCGAGCTGTACAGGTGTTTCTGGATAATATCCAGCAGTACCCCAACATACTCTCTGGGGTTCCCAAGCCTTGGCACTTGTCAACCTGCACCCTCTAATTTACACAATTAGATGAGCAGGGTGCATCCCTCTGGGGAGGGAGAGCATATTTATTTATAGGCAAAGTGAAATTTCCATGCATATGTAGAACAATTCACAGCGCTCCAAGATGCTATCCCACGTGAAGGGTGTTATATAAATGGAAATAGTTGTTGTAATTTGGTTTGTGTATTCTTAAACATGATATAATAATCCTTACATTTGATATTATAATAAAATACAATTTACAACAACAACTTGGATTTATATAGCGCCCTCCACGCTGGATATGCTGTAAAGTGGTGTGACTGCCTAATTTGTGGGTGACAAAGTAGGTTACTGTGTATTTAAGAGCCCCGGATGACCGAATTAAATAGAGATCTCCACTTGCAAGGCACGATTTACCTGTAACTGGTCCTCTAGGGCAGCTGTTGCACTCTCCCCACTGTTCTCATCTACTACCACAACCATGTGTGTCAGAGAGTTGACCTTCACCTGCTCAGACTCCAGATCACTCTGCAGTGTCTGAGAAAGAAAACAAATCCAACTGAAGCAATTGTTACCACAACATTCTTGACATGCCAGCTAGGCATATCAACTCTTCAAAATATTAAGTTAACTTTACATTAAGTTTAGTTGTCCAGAAAGACATAATTCTTATCATGGATGTGCAGAACGTTCTATTTTAATGCCTTCAAATGCTAACATTTAAATTAGGATGCAGCAGAAGTGACAACAAAGTAATGTTGAACACACAGGAACAAATAGAGACCGAGTACCACTTGGTGCTCACAAGAGCTCAGCAGCAGTACAGGAGGGAGCTTTACAATTTACATTTATACAGAATCTTTCATGGGAGAGTGTCTCAAAGCGCTCCACACTGCTGGTTGGACACCCCAGCTGGGGGCAGGAGCTGAAGGAGGCAAAGTTGGGAATGATGACCAAAAGTGATCAGAGGTAGGTATTGAACAAGGACGAACCTTGAACAAGGTGGAGGAGGGAACATGTCGGAAGGACTCCAGGATAGAGTTCCGGAGAGTGGAGGCAGAATGGCTGAAAGCCCGCCCGTTGATGGTAGAGCAGATAAGGCAGGGGCCATGAATAGTGCTTGCTTGGCAGGGTTGAACAAGGTCACAGAGGTTGGGTGGGGTGAAACTGTGAAGGTGAGAATGAAGATCTTGAAATCAATTTCCTGGAGGAAGGTCTTTAGATGGGACTTGAAGTAGGCAAGTGAGGGGGTGAGACGGCGGGGTACAGTTCCAGAGGATTGGGGTAGAGATGCTGAATGCCCGACTGCCAATGGTGGCGCGGAAAGTGCTAGGGATCTGACTGGCTCACATGCAGTTTCACGGTTCTGTCCTTTGACCTCAACCTTCAAGGTCCTATCCTTGAATGGTTCAGATCCTATCTCTCACACCGGCTTCACTTTGTCTCCACAAATGGCTTCTCCTACAGCCCCCGCACAGTCTTGTTCCTCAGGGCCTGTCCTCAGTCCTCTCCTCTTCAACCTCTACATGCTCCCTGTTGGTGACATCATCCACAGTCATGGAGTCAACTTCCACATGTACACGGATGACACCCAACTCTATCTATCTGCCTCCACCATCGATTCCAGGACAATTGACTTCCTGACAGACTGTCTGTCAGACATCAAGTCCTGGATGAGAGTTAGCTTTCTGCAGCTGAATGTCAGCAAAACTGAGGCCCTCGTGATTGGCTCGCTCCAGCACCTCTGTACCTCAGGCACTGGCAGGATCAGCATCCAGGGATACACACTCCACTCACCAAGCAACTCAGGAACCTAGGTGTCTTGTTCGACCCTCAACTGTCCTTTCTCCCCCATATCATTGCTATGATCCGCTCTGCCATCCCCCACCTCCCCAACATTGCCCGACTCCGCCACTGCCTCAACCCTCAGGCCACCAAAACCCTCATACAAGCATTCGTCACCTCAAGGCTCAACTATGGAAATTCCCTCCATGTCGGCCTCTCCAACTCTTCCCTCCACAAGATGCAGATCATCCAGAACTCTACAGCTCGTGTCCTCTCCCGCACTTGGCTCCTTGACCCCATCACCTCAATCAGGCTCCATTAGCTCCCCATACCACAGAGGATAGAATTCAAAATCCTCGTCCTCACTTTCAAGGCCCTCCACGGACTTGCCCCCTCCTACCACTTTGACCTGCTAACCACCTATCAACCTGTCCGCTCCCTCCAATGTCTCCCATCCAACCAGCCCTACAATCGGCGACCGGGCATTCAGTGTCTCTACCCCTAACCTTTGGAACTCCATCCCACAATCCCTTCACTTTGCTCCCTCCCTTGCCTCCTTCAAGACACAACTCAAGACCCTCCTTTTCAACCGTGCATTCAGCTGACCCCCTACCTCTCTTCCCTCCTTCATCCCAACCCCACACCCCCAAGATCGGGTCCTGATCCCTCATTGTTCAGCTTCTTGGGACATCCTCCCGACGTGAAAGGTGCTTTACAAATGTAATTTTGTTGTAGTTGTTTGACTCTCTAGCTCCACTGGTGAATCTGAACAATGGTGCATTTGCCTGCTATTCTCTTCAACTTCGTACAAGTCATAGCTCCAGTGGCCCAACGTGACACGATACACGGCGCCTGGAACTGGAGCCGTGAATCCGGACCTGGAGTTGCGACGACCAGGGCATCTATTGTCATGAATTGTGAGAACACCTGACTGGTGGTGTACTTACTTTATGCTCATCAATCTGCTGTCTGAAGGACTCCAAGTCATCTCCCAAGGACTGCACTTCCATCTTTTGAATACGTTTTTCTGTCAGAGTCAACCAGTCTGAGAGCTGCTGCAGCTGTTGTTGCTGCAATTCCATTAATACTTCATGAAGTCTGAAAAAAATAAAATGAATTTTAAATATCACACTGCATCCTTCATCACTGTGTGAGTCTTGATGCTGTTCACACACACTAATCACTTTGAATTGTTTACTTGGGAGGATTAATTTTCTGTGTGAAACTAGAACATAGAAAACGGGAGAAACATGAGCCAACGGCTTTAATAAGGTCTACACAATGGTGGGTTCTATACCCACAACAATTTACATTTATAAAACTGCTTTCACGAAAAACGCTTCACAAAATGAAATTTGAGAGAAATTGGGAAAGTCCAGAGGAGAAACGAGGAGAGATTGGGAAAGTCCAGAGGAGAAACGAGGAGAGATTGGGAAAGTCCAGAGGAGAAACGAGGAGAGATTGGGAAAGTCCAGAGGAGAAACGAGGAGAGATTGGGAAAGTCCAGAGGAGAAACGAGGAGAGATTGGGAAAGTCCAGAGGAGAAACGAGGAGAGATTGGGAAAGTCCAGAGGAGAAACGAGGAGAGATTGGGAAAGTCCAGAGGAGAAACGAGGAGAGATTGGGAAAGTCCAGAGGAGAAACGAGGAGAGATTGGGAAAGTCCAGAGGAGAAACGAGGAGAGATTGGGAAAGTCCAGAGGAGAAACGAGGAGAGATTGGGAAAGTCCAGAGGAGAAACGAGGAGAGATTGGGAAAGTCCAGAGGAGAAACGAGGAGAGATTGGGAAAGTCCAGAGGAGAAACGAGGAGAGATTGGGAAAGTCCAGAGGAGAAACGAGGAGAGATTGGGAAAGTCCAGAGGAGAAACGAGGAGAGATTGGGAAAGTCCAGAGGAGAAACGAGGAGAGATTGGAAAGTCCAGAGGAGAAACGAGGAGAGATTGGGAAAGTCCAGAGGAGAAACGAGGAGAGATTGGGAAAGTCCAGAGGAGAAACGAGGAGAGATTGGGAAAGTCCAGAGGAGAAACGAGGAGAGATTGGGAAAGTCCAGAGGAGAAACGAGGAGAGATTGGGAAAGTCCAGAGGAGAAACGAGGAGAGATTGGGAAAGTCCAGAGGAGAAACGAGGAGAGATTGGGAAAGTCCAGAGGAGAAACGAGGAGAGATTGGGAAAGTCCAGAGGAGAAACGAGGAGAGATTGGGAAAGTCCAGAGGAGAAACGAGGAGAGATTGGGAAAGTCCAGAGGAGAAACGAGGAGAGATTGGGAAAGTCCAGAGGAGAAACGAGGAGAGATTGGGAAAGTCCAGAGGAGAAACGAGGAGAGATTGGGAAAGTCCAGAGGAGAAACGAGGAGAGATTGGGAAAGTCCAGAGGAGAAACGAGGAGAGATTGGGAAAGTCCAGAGGAGAAACGAGGAGAGATTGGGAAAGTCCAGAGGAGAAACGAGGAGAGATTGGGAAAGTCCAGAGGAGAAACGAGGAGAGATTGGGAAAGTCCAGAGGAGAAACGAGGAGAGATTGGGAAAGTCCAGAGGAGAAACGAGGAGAGATTGGGAAAATGCAGAGGAGAAACGAGGAGAAATGGGAAAATGCAGAGGAGAAACGAGGAGAAATGGGAAAATGCAGAGGAGAAACGAGGAGAAATGGGAAAATGCAGAGGAGAAACGAGGAGAAATGGGAAAATGCAGAGGAGAAACGAGGAGAAATGGGGAAATGCAGAGGAGAAACGAGGAGAAATGGGAAATGCAGAGGAGAAACGAGGAGAAATGGGGAAATGCAGAGGAGAAACGAGGAGAAATGGGGAAATGCAGAGGAGAAACGAGGAGAAATGGGGAAATGCAGAGGAGAAACGAGGAGAAATGGGGAAATGCAGAGGAGAAACGAGGAGAAATGGGGAAATGCAGAGGAGAAACGAGGAGAAATGGGGAAATGCAGAGGAGAAACGAGCAGAAATGGGGAAATGCAGAGGAGAAACGAGAAGAAATGGGGAAATGCAGAGGAGAAACGAGAAGAAATGGGGAAATGCAGAGGAGAAACGAGAAGAAATGGGGAAATGCAGAGGAGAAACGAGAAGAAATGGGGAAATGCAGAGGAGAAACGAGAAGAAATGGGGAAATGCAGAGGAGAAACGAGAAGAAATGGGGAAATCCAGAGGAGAAACGAGAAGAAATGGGAAATCCAGAGGAGAAACGAGAAGAAATGGGAAATCCAGAGGAGAAACGAGAAGAAATTGGGAAACCCAGAGGAGAAACGAGGAGAAATTGGGAAACCCAGAGGAGAAACGAGGAGAAATGGGAAACCCAGAGGAGAAACGAGGAGAAATGGGAAACCCAGAGGAGAAAAGAGAAGAAATGGGAAACCCAGAGGAGAAAAGAGAAGAAATGGGAAACCCAGAGGAGAAAAGAGAAGAAATGGGAAATCCAGAGGAAAAATATAACAAAATGGGAAATCCAGAATAAAAATATAACAAAATGGGAAATCCAGAGGAAAAACAAGAAGAAATGGGAAATCCAGAGGAGAAATACAACGAAATGGGAAATCCAGTGGAGAAAAGAGAAATGGGAAATCCAGAGGAAAAATATAACGAAATGGGAAATCCAGAGGAGAAACAAGTAGAAATGGGAAATCTTGACCAGAAACTAGAAGAAATGAGAAATCCAGCGGAGAAATAAGAATAATTGGGACATCCAGGGGAGAAATAAGAAGAAAACGGAAATCCAAACATGAAAGAAGAAATCGGAAATCCAGATGAGAAAAACGAAACGGGATATCCAGAGCAGAAACAAGAATGGAAAATCCAGAGCAGAAATGGGAGAAGAAATGGGAAATCCAGAGGAGAATATTTATTCAGTGCGTGCTTGCACAATACTGCAACATCTCAAACTTTGATTACCTCTTGTTACGAGTTGTTTGAACAGGAGCAGCAGCAGCATAAAGTTTTAGGCTACGTAAATGGTTTAAACAGTCTGTGAGACAAGGCAGCTTCTACATTCACATTAACAGTTGAACAGAAAAAAAAGTCAGATGCTTTGCACAATACACAGTTGACCACACTCAAGACTCAATTCACACATTAACTTTCACGTTTCACCTTTGTTTCGTGAAAAAAAGGTTTAGCAGTGCACACAAAATAAATGCCACTGAAATCAAAAGAAGAGTGATCCCAAGTATGCAAGTTATGGCTGTCATGGATGAGTGGAAAAGAGGGCAAGCCTGAGAATGCGCTCAGGTCTTTACAACATCCTGACTTATGTGTGTTTAAATAAGCATTTATTATAGGTAGCAGGGCAAGCACACAAGCTTGATGGCTGTAAACCTCAGAGATCAAAGGAAGCCTTCACAGACTCATTTCACTTACAACCAACAAAGACGACTTTCTGTCTGTGCTGGATTCTAACCCAGTTCTCAAGTACTGAAAGGCCAATGCCTAACCCACTGGGCTAGAGGCCCAACAATTAAACATGCTTCTGGGAAGATTCAATCCTAAGAGAGATTCAGATAAAGAAGACCCTTCGGCTCATTTGATTTCATCCTTCCAGATAACCCACCTTCCCGTCCTCCATCACAGAATCAAGCTGTTTCCTAAACAAGGCGCGTTGCCTCAGACACACTTCCTGGTAACCTGCTGCAGTCATTAATAACCCTCTGGCCCAGTCACAGAATGCTATTGATGGCTAAAGAAGAAAGGGTGGCAGCAAGTCACAAGGAATTAAGAATTTTTACCAAACATAGAGAAATTAAAAGCTAAAACCAAAATCTTTACGTCAAGGACAAAGAAAGCCTATTTGAACAGCTGGTACTGTTAACAAAGATCCTAATGTTCAGCAGCGAAGATATTTGATCTGAAAAGTTAACTTACTTGGCTTGTCTGTCCATGCTGTCAACTCTCAGGTTTTCCCATCGGGAATTCAGAAGTGTCATCTGCTCTCGGATCTCATTCTCCTCCTCTTCTGTCAGATTGCCCTGTGCGATGAGCTGATTTCCAGCCTGAAGCACATTCCCCACACTGCTTTGGTGTGCTGTCAGCTCCATCATAAACGCCTGGTGGCAAATAATCGAGAAAACATCTTGCACTACAGGTCTGACAAGTACCACTCCAGAGAAAGGATAATGTTCTTACCTGGCAGCTATTTCATATCCCAAACCACTAAATTCAGGAATAACTAGGTTACGAGCACAATAGTCAATCTGACAATAAAGTTGAATCCATGCTGTTTGTATTACCTCATCAACACAGGGTAATGTAGAGTCGGCTTAAGATTAACAATCACTCTCGTATATCAGAGAATGGAGAGCAAATTGTAACTAAACCCAACAAGAAATTAAAGTAACCTCATTGTGTAAATAACTGAAAGCCAGGTTTGGCAGCAGCGAAGATGCATTTCACTGTCTGGGTCAGAAATATATTCAGTGCCAGGAACAAATATTGGTGAGTCTACGTTTTGCACCATTTGACCGTACGCACTTAAACTACTTTGATCTTTGGTTGCAAACATATTGAATCATCTGTAGTGTAGCATTTTCATGCATAAACAAAAAGATGTTTCCATAAAAATTCTAAGCCAAAGGTTTTGATGGATATTGAGACACCAAATATTTTGGGAGTTTCTTTCTGGAGAGCCTTGCAATGGTCCTGATTGCAGATATCATACAAGTGGCTTAAGCAAGTGTAGAATAAATAGCAGACCCAGTCTGGCATTGTAACTGAAATGCACAGATATTTATCTGGACTTCCAAGAGTACTAAATCTCTGTTCTATTATACCTGTGCACTACATTGACTTATTACCCTACATTATCAAAAATGCAAGGATTATTGCAAGGATTAAGTGCCTCAGTCTATCAAATGTCAAGAATCAGAGTTGAAACTCCCCCCCCCCCCCAGCACTACATCAGAAGACTTGCACCATCTAATTCTCGATTACTGTGGGTGGTAAAATGTGCCAGAATATTCTGGTTATAAGATACGTTATGTCCCAACTGTACAGCGCCTTGGGACGTCCTCCCGACGTGAAATGCGCTCAATAAATGGAATCTTGTTGTTGTTGTTGTTGTTGTTATAGTCAGCTCCCCACTTTCAACGAATGCTTCTCCAGTAATAGGCTCCCAATGCTCCATACCAAATCTAAAAAATAAATACATCTTCCCCAGGTCAGTATCAAAACAACGACAACTTTCATTGATACAGCGCCCTTCACGTAGGATAATATCTCAGAGCACCAGTGACAGGGTTGGACACCAAATAAAGGAGAGAAGGCGGGGGAAAGGGGGAGGCGACCATAGATGCAATGGAAGAGTTAGGTTTTAAGGCCACCAACTAAAACAGTGGTTTCCTCCCTCTATTCTGCTTGGGGGACAAGATATCAGTGTACAAAGTTACCACGAGTACTGTGACAGGTACTTTGTGGTTTAGACACTAAAAAATGAGAAAACTGTTAGGTTGAGTGCACTGACTGCACGCACCTTCAGATTGCACCCAAAGATCTTTCTACAGTCAACTTCCATTTATCCTCGGCTCGGCATCATCAACTGTGTCTTTATTAAGTCCTCGGAGATGCTACCCTGTGTGAAGCATGCTATATAAATGCAAGTTGTTATTGATCATTTTGGATCGCTGCATGGACGCAGTATTTGTGTGTATACCTCGTGAATGTGAAACTGCTCCTTAACCTCTTCAACATCAGAGGAAATGTCCTCTTGCATCTGAAGGGTGTCCTCAGCTGATAATAGCCAGGTTAGAACCTCCTCCAGGACAGCCTGGTAACTGTCCAAATCCACCTCCACGTCAGTTACTGTGCTGGGTGTTTCTGCCCGAGAGCTCAGTCTCTTTTCTTCAGAGATCACGTTCTGCGTAGAGAAAAGAAACATTAATTCTCTTTGTGTGCAGGGGAGGGAAGCAGTTCTGGGCACATTCAAAGGGAATGGCAAGGAGTATCATCCACCTATCTGCGCCTGGAAAGCTATGAAGAACGGTGATCACATACAATGCATGTGCCCCCCTAACCAGAGACAAAAACTATGTACTTCATTAGCAGCCCAAATGGGTCACTTCACTCACCAAAGATCCGAAGTCTTCATCTTAAGTGCCCCTCCTGGACTGTCATTACACTAACATACACTGGTGACCATTTTTAAGGTTGACAGGCTTCATGTGTAAATTATCAGTAGCAATGATATACAGAAGCCAGAGCAATACGCAAGTTCAATTGAAATCTCATGAAGGTTACAATAATCGGGCTTAAGGAATCTTGCCTTGGGGAAGTGCTTAAAATGCTGAAAAGTGCCGCAAAGGATTGACAAACCAGACTAGTAACTGTGCAGTTCAGCAGAATCAGAATGTAATAGTGTGGTATACCTGCTGACTGTGTAGCTTACTGTCTACACATTCCGTTTTGTATTGCCTCGGCAGAGTCTCCACTTCACGGATGTCCTCCATAGTAACGTGCTGAGGAAGCACCTCAAACAAAGAGGTTACATACATGATAATGGATTTCTTGTCGGGAAGTGAAACAGCAACATCTGAAATTTTTTTTAAAAAAATGAATCAGCAAAATGGCTATATAAGAACAGACAGTGGTTGTGCGTTATCTGCACAAAATCTTTGTGGCAGCCCACTTCAAAAAGGAACTCAATTTATCAGTATCCTGTGTGTATCAGTTATAACAAGGAGACAAATGAGCATGATGGAAATTTCAAACAAAAACACTGCAAATCCACAGATGCTGAAAGAAGTTATCACTTTGGAGAGGATTGTCCCATTGCTAAAACTAACAAAGAGCCAAGTCTGAAATGTTAATAATAGAATTATACAGCACAGAAGGAGGCCAATCGGCTCATCGTGCCCATGCTGGTTCTTGAAAGAGCTATACAAATGAATCCCACTCTCCCGCTCTCCCCATAGTCTTGCAAATTTGTCCTTCCCAAATATTTATCCACTTCTCTCTTGAAAGTTGTGATTGATTCTGCTTGCACCACCTTTCCGGGCAGTGAATTACAGATCCAAACAACTAATCTATCCTCCTCCAGGTGCCTGCTGTAGGCGTCCATTATTTATCTTGCACCAAATACGATTTTCACGAGATCTTCTCTGGTCAAATTCATAGAAAAACATAGAAAAAGTGCAGTAGGAATGGGTCACAGAGGGAAGTTCTGTGTGCATTTTTGTAAGAGGTGGGCAAACATTAATTGAAACTGCAGTGCATCAAAGAACAGAACACTCAAGAGATTACTTAATGTAAGTTTCAACAAACCGGTTGCTTTAAGGATATAATTTATAAACCACACTACAAACTTTTATTTCCACATTGAAACTTTACAACAAATGGAGCCCCACAGCTGTAAAAATGTAAAACAAAGGATTTCCTCCGAAAATATTTAATTTACGCATTTCAATATCTGTAGTGAATTCAGAGATCTCTAATGAAACCAGCAGTGTTTGAATGAACCTGAAACGGGCTCTCAGCTCTCATGTAGGTTCCTTCAGTAGAAAGGGAAAGCACCAAATCCTTAGGTATTCAATTCTAAGAAAGGTTATTGGAGATATTCCTTTGAAGCAATATTCCTTCATTTGTTGGCAGGTCCCAGTGTACAACTGACATAACTAGTGCTAATCACCAGATATCAAGACATTTCATTTTCTCTTCAGTGATTTTTAATAATGAGCAACATAGGAATATTTAAAGAGCAAAACCAATAACTTGCTAAACATTAGTCAACTTGGAGATTTTAATTGCTGTATTGCACTCACCAGAGTGCAACACATTCCATTTACAGGGACCATTAACAACACACTATTTACAAATATCGAGTAAAATCCATCATGTGGTGCTCCTAGAAAAACTAGCCTATTGATTAAAAGCGAATATTATGAATTTGTACAATTTATGGACTTGTCAATCCCCAGTATAAATGGGCAATCATTGAATACTTACAAGCACTCCATTTTTTAAAAAAATTCTTAAGGGGCTCCCCAATGCTCTGTAGGTAAAAGTAGCAGTCAGTAAAGCACTAAGTCCTATATAGGCTTCAAGGATGCAAACTGGATTCATGATCAGTGCTAAGTCAGCGTAACTCAGCCAGGGTTACAATGGGGAACGTCAGCACCCCTACAACAGGGATGGTGATCTCAGTCAAGGTTTTAACACTTTCCTTTTTACCATCCAATGAGCCAGGAAAACAGTGGGGAGTCAGTAACCGTAGTAACTGGAAAAATTACAGCGCAGAGGTCACTCGGCCAATGATGTCCATGCTGGCTATTTTAAAAGCAATTCTTTCAGTTCCATGTACCTGCTCTTTCCCCAAACCTCTGTAAATTAGAAAGTTTAAAAAAATATAAGGAATGCCTTTTTCACTGCAAAAGTGCAGTTTGCCTGGTCAATTCAAAGAAAAATTGACTGCAGTAATTTCACAACCCAATAAATGGTCCAAAAATGTTTTCAACTTAGAGATACTGCTTCCATTTGAAATGGAGGTGAGGCCCATTCTGGACAGAGATAGCCATGAAGACTGATAGCTGCACAGGCAGAGGGCATACCACAGATTTTTGTACAGACAAGCTAAAATTAAGTTGACAGAAATGACAACCTCCCCTAGTACCGAAAAATTAGATATGACTGACAGTGGATAAGTCCTGCTCATAGACTTGCTAAGATAGATCACTGTCATCTTAAACTACAGTTGCACAACCTATTTTAGTGCACCAGAAAGCCGTGACATTGATGGCATCTATTACAAATCATTTTATGATCCATGGAGGGCCCAGCTCTTCAATGCATAATCCCACCAACAACCTTGAGTATAGCATTGAGCAATGTTGCAATATCAGGCTTCTAATCTCAGTAATCAATCTACATTTTATAAATCTACAGAATGATAATACTAATTATACTAATAAAGCGTCAATGTCTGTCTTTGCTTCAAGAAGGATCTCGATAACCAATTGACGTAGAGACATGATTTATACCTCATCGGAAAGGTCTTGGACCGGTATCTCCTATCGTTTACGAGTTATTTTCAGTTTTGCATTTTTTGCTGTAGTTACACCCGGTGGCTCCCGAGTCAAAGTGCCACTGTGGCATTGTGTGTCACACAGCACGTACGTATGTACGCACACACCACACTTATACCTGGAGGCCACACCGGCTGACCGTGGGGCTGTGGCATCCTGCGTCATAGAGCATGCACATAGCCAAGTGGCAGGAAAAACAACAAAATAAAACTTTTAAAGTGCCTTTCATGTCGGGAGGACGTCCCAGTGATTATAAATTATACATTTATCATTATATAAAGATGCCTAAGCGAAAATCAAACCTTTCAAGGATAAGTAAAAATGCTAGACAAAAGAGAGAAGGCCTATTAAATGAAACTGAAGCACAAAGTCCTTCCACAGGAGTCTTCCCAGATGAGTATAGATAAAGATGAAACGTGTGTCTGCCTGTGTGACAATCTACATTTTGGATCCTTTGGTTGCAAGCGGAGCTCAAACGGGTACAGCTAGTAGAAAATAAATTTGACAACCTGCCTTCCCTACTCCACCATCACAGATTAAAGATGTATATAAAAGCAAATGATTTCTGAGCAAAGGTTGCATCTTTTTTCACAAGTAAGTAATAGTTTCATTTTCCATGTATTGAGTACTCCAAGATATAGCGCTAAATAATTCTTATTAACAAGGATTTTTAGTTCACTGATGTAAATTTTACATTTTCAATGTTCAATAATAGTATCATATGTCTATACATCAGCAATCAGACAATGAGAAATTTGGAACATTGCTGTCCTTGAAGAGAGCAGTAGAGTGTCCTTTGCCCATTCTCAGTATGGTCCCACAGCAGACAAATTGTTGTAACTTACCTTCAGGATCCAGAAGTTTTTCTATCCCCAGATGACTTTTGGCTAAATTAAAGAGTGATCCAACCGTTCCACAGTAGACATCTTCAGAACTTTATCCCAGCTGAACAAGCCTGGTCTGTAAAAGACATAAAACATTAAAACAAATATTCCCTATTTTTTTAAAAAACTGTAAACTATATTAATAAGAGTTGTCTGTGAAATGTAGTAACTGTAGATTTGTAGACAAACACAAGAGCCAATTACACACAGCAATATCCCACAAACGAATCCAATGATATCTGGGGGATTGTTGTTCAGGACAATAAGAGAAACACCCTTTTCTTTTCAAATAATGCCATGGGATCTTTAACATCCATCTGACTAGGCAGACTCAATTTAACGTCTCATCTGAAGAATAGTCATTTGCCAATGCAACGCTCACCCAGGAGTGTACTGGAATATTAGCCTAGACTATGTGAGATTAAAATCAGAATGCGGGGCTTGAACCCACAACCTTCTGACTCAGAGTTAACAGTACAACTAACTGAGCCAGGTTGACATCTTAGCTTCACACCAAAGGCTTAGGTTGGTCTCCCTCAATAAGTCAATGAACAGACCAGTAAGTCCCACAAGCTTCAGTTCCTTCTTCAGGAGAAAATTAGTCAACTTCTACAAGGGTGGTGGTGGAGGCAGGGTTACAACCGGCCTGTATCCCTGACTTAGAGGAGGGCTGGAGCACACCTAATGTTTCTGCTCCCGATCACTGACCTCCTACTGCAAAGTACACGTTTGTGAATGTCAGTTGCAGAAATGGACTGAGCTGTGTTGGGATCATGAACTATCTGTGAAAGCTATCTGTGAAAACATCCGAGGCCATTTTACCACTTATTTTTCACAGTCTCAGTATTCAGACCAAATCGTCTCAAAATGAAAGATCATCCAGAATTTTGGAAACTCTTCAACCCAATATTGGGAACTGCTTTTACTTGGATCTTGTTACAATCAGCACAAAGATATAAAACCTTGTTTGGTCAAGATGCAAATGGTTAAACTTCAATCTTGCAGCTCTGGGAGCCAGGAGCAAACTGATAAGAGATACTGTACCTTACTAAAAGAAGGACTACTGTCAGTCTACAATCAGTGCAATAATAAGAGCTTTAACTGGGAAACCATTTCCCAATACCTACAAACTAAAGCTCTACTACCCTCTAATTGTCTGCAACCATTTTGCCTCCTCCTCCAATAAGTTCCAACAACAACTTGTATTTACATAGTGCCCTTCACGCAGCATAGTGTCTTGCAGTGCTGTATAGTGGCAGGGTTGGACACCAAACAGGGGAGGAGAGAGAGGTGACCAAGGTTTAGTCGAAGAGGGCAGTCTAAAAGTTGGATTTAAAGATAGATAGAGGTTCCAATCAAACAGCTGGAATGGAAGGATTATCTTAGATTGAAAACTAATAAAAATATTAGTTGTAAATAGTTTTGAAACAGAAACCATGAACAATCGTACACATACCGCCCCACACCTCCACACATACACACCTCATAAACATACCATCAGCAATATACACCCTCCCCCACCCCACTGGCGGCACACACACACACAACATACCCAACCCCTCCACCAGGTGTACACATCCACACCCCAGTGGTGTATGTACACTCATACACACCCACAGTCGGTGTATACAATCCCTCCACCAGGTGTACACACACACATCACCAGCAATAGACATTCCCCCTTCCCCAAAAATACACACCACAAAGACACACATATACACATGCACATATAGGCACAATTATTGACCAATAACTACCTGTGCCTGTGGAGAATGGCATTAAAAGCAAGTCCATCTGCCCAGCTGGTTGTAAAATTCAGGACGTTGACTTGTTTGTAGGGTCGGGTTGACTGGCGGACCCAGCTCAACAGTATTTTCTCACTGTTCGTCTGCTGCAGATCCGACATAATAGCCTTCATTATATCCTTGACCTGTATCAAGTTAAAATGCATCGGTAATTAAAACATGGTCAAAATAACCTCATGTCACAAAGGTTTAAACTATTTAGTTCAATCCCCGTTGTCCAGTCAATGGGCCTTTAGCAGTTACACAGATCATTTTCATCCCCGCCTCTCTCTCTCTGCTACTTCTTGAAATAGGAAATTTTAGTTGAGTCCAGATTCATTGAGGAAAGTAGTGATCTGTTCACAGAAATCTTCCTTCAAGCTTTAGTAGGTGGCTTCCCCATCTCCTCGCATCCTCTAGCCACACACAATATACCTTACTACATCCATCCTTTTTAATTCTCCTCAGGATTACAGTACAGGTCATGCTTTGCAGCCCCCAAGAGAACGTTTTTCACAATCTCTTCAAAGCTCAGCAAGTCCTGTGATTGCTGCTGCACGGTATCCAACATATTGTCTCATGTGTGCTTTATGTACAGTCTCCCAAGCGTTGAATTCCATCTAATGGTGAATCTAAACCCTCTTTTGATCCTGGAGGGGGCAATAACTTCCACCTTCTGTCAATTACCAAATCAGCAGCGATTATTTTTGCCGATCTGCTCATTTGCAAATGAACAGCTGATTGAAGTAGCACTGATGGCAAGTTTGAATATATAGACCGTCTCAATGAATTTACCAGTCAATGTCCTGGTCAACAATCCCCTAGATAAAATTGGTCATTCACTTTATAGTTGTATGTGGGTCATTGCTATGTGCAAATTGGCTGCAACGTTCCCCTGCAAAAATACAAAGTCATTACACTTTACAGTGAATCCTGTGAAGCGCTTTGAGACATCCTCCCATTATGAAAGGCGCTATATCCAATGCAAGAATTATTATTTATGCATTTAATTTGACTACTAGCCAAGTATCTGTCTATTTCTCATTTAAACATTCAAGACAAAATAAGTAGCAATGATCAAAGCTATCCAATGAAAACTGTAAAGATTGCTAAATAACGCAGTTCCTTATTTTCCAGCTCATTTGCAATTTGCCATGATCCCAGCAGCTCTCACTTCAACCACAATTCTCTGGTGGATGATTTTAATTGGTTCTGAAAGTCATGATAAAGTCTCTTTCCAGCAAAAAAAGATTAGAAGTGCAAACATGTAGCAGCATTTTTGAGGTTGTATAGAGTTTAAGCACCTCATTGTCCCTTTATCTGTTTATTGAGGAGATGGATTTCAATCAACCTAGGAGGGGAAATGATGCTGCATGACTTCTGGGATAGTGGCACTTCTGGGTCATCTCCCAGGCAGTTCCTAAGTGCCCAAATATCCTGAACTCAAACTTGTTGCAGAAGCTGAAAACAATTACATTTTACATCTAACACATCTAACACAAGTTACTGTACACTGAAAGGTAGCAACATAGACATAGATCCAACAGATAGCAACCCCTTGCCCATTTAATGCAGAAATGCATCAAGTAATTGCAAACAATTAGCAGCAACGCTCCAACACTGCAGACAAACAATCCAAAGCAGAGCCACACTCAGCCTGACCGTTCGGGAGTTCACTCACCTGCCAGTGCAGAATGATGTTCCAGAGCAGCCCAAGTGTCAATTTGTGATTTCCATCTACAATATCCGTTCCCCCAATATTTACCAGCTCCACCTGTAAGATGAACGATAGGCTTACACGTCATTGGAAAGCCGAACCAAAAAACAGCCTCCGTAAACTGAAAGAGGCTTTTTACATCTCAAGAGTTAATATTTACCCATTCGCTGCAAGGTTACAAGGGAGGGCCTTTAAAATAACATATGCCCTTAGTACTTAAACAGTAAAAGAAAAAGAGAAACAAGCCTATGAATTGATAGATGTAAATAAGCCAGGTGTCAGTGTGTGTGTGTCTCGGTTGGTTGCACTCTCGCTTCTTAAGGATTGTAGGTTAAAACTCCACATTGGAAGGTTGAACTCATAGTGTAAGATGGCTCTAGTGCAGTACTGGGGAAGCTTCACACAAGATAAGCCAAGGCTCCTCTACCTGTTCAGCTGGACGTTAAAGATTCCAATGCACTACTCAAAAAGAGAAGGGAGTTTCTCCCAGTGTCTTGGCCAACAATCCACCAGATAAAATTGGTCACTCACTTATGGCTGTTTATGGAACACTGCTGTGTGCAAAATTGCTGCGCACGAGTCTTTACACTAATTCCTGTGAAATGTTTTGAGACGCTTCGATGATGTGAAAGGGCACTATATCAAATGTAAGAATTTTTATTATTATAAATCAAACTTTGAAAGACTTAATTTAACTTGCATCAAGAATCTTAAGTAGTATTAACCTATATATGTGAGACTGTATTAAAAAGTCCAACTGTGTCATTTGATGAAACTAGCTCTTTGCACATTCAACATCATAGAATCATAGAATTATACTGCACAGAAAGAGAAACAAGCCTATCTTGTCTGTGCCGGCTCTTTGAAAAGAGCTATCCAATTCAATCCCACCCCCGCTTTCTCCCCATAGCCCTGCAAAACATATAGGTACTTTAAAAATCTTTTTTTTCACAGGACAGTGTAACACTGAAATGATGCACCACATAGTTCCTACAGTACCTTAAGTTATTTAAACTAATTCCATTAAACAGCGGACAGTTTTTAAATAAGTACAACCACCCAACAAAAAAACTTCAAAACAAAAAGACTTTGATCTAACATTCTTTCCCTGTAGGCTTCTTCCTCTAGTTCCTTCTCCTAAGCACATAAATAGTGTAAACTGAGCATTCTTTCCTTCAAAATTCCCACGCAGTATGCCAAGGAAGGGAGGAATAACGTTCACTTGATTTTTCTGACAGCGTTTTAATGTAAAATTTCTCCTACAATTCTCCCAGATTCAATCTATTGCAGGAAAATGGGATGTGAACACCTCACTAAAAGCCCCACTAAAGCATCTCCCAGCCCTGCCATCACCAACATCCAGGAGAACAACATGTCATACGACCCCACCATTGTGGCAGCATCATTTGTGGAGTCCTGTAGCTCAGTGGTTAGAGCACTCGCTTTGCAAGTGAGAGACCTGAGTTCAATTCCAGGCAGGGCGAAACCTTGGGCAAGTTTCCTTACTCCACACGCCTAATAATAATCCCTCCAAAAACAAAACAATAATAAATTGGTCATTTTCAATCTACGACTGTTTGTGGGACATTGCTGTGCGCAATTGGCTGCCGCGTTCGCCCACAAATATACAGTCAATTCACTTTACAGTCTATTCTGTGAAGCGCTTTGGGACGTCCTCCCGACGTGAAAAGCGCTATATCAAATGCAAGGATTATTATTATTATTATTATCATTGCCACACAGATTGCAGTGGTTCAAAGAGAGAACTCACCACACCACCTTCTCAAGACTCCCAGGGAAGGGCATTAAATGCCGGAACTGTCAGCATCACCCACGTTCGAGATTAATTTTTTTTTTTTTTTTTAAATCGATTCATAGGAATTAGTAGGAATAAGGATTGTTGGGAACATATTTTAAAGCTGTCACATAATACTAACATTCGTCTACAACATTAAGGCACCATTAAGATCTCACTGCAGGAATTGGTTAATCTCAGCCAGGATTCTGGTGAAGAGATGAGGTAGGGGTAACATCCTGTAGCATTCAATCACAGACAACGGCAGGTTAACACACAATTTACTTGTCTATTATGACACCTGTTAACAAGGCACTACTCCCACCACACCAAAAAAAATGGGGAGAGGGTTTGCAGTTCAGTGCTCCAATGCCTATCTGACACTTTTCCATATTAATTCACTAGATGCATATGCTTTCAGCAATTCACCAATTAGACTGGCGAGAAGTCTTTAATTTCAGACATTTTTATAATGCATCCCGCCTCATCTCATATGGAAACAGGATTACAATTTTGTGCCACTTTCAAAATTTATTTTACAGAATATTTCTGAAATATTAACTTCAACTTGTATAATAGCCGGTTTGAGATGTACAGTCATGACCAAATCTTCCGTTTGACTGTAAAATATAGAATTTCATCTTCCCTGTTGTTCTGGTGGATAAATACACTGCAGCGTTTTGTCATAAAGACTATCATGCTGTAGGTTTGAATCCCGCACTGTGTGGAGTTAGCTCATTTTACGAGATGGTGGGGGTACAATTGATAACCAGTGTCTGAAGAACAATACCACACTGGAATGGGAAATCAAATACCTTCAGGAGAGGGGAGGGTAAAGATTTGGAGAAAGAAATGTTAAAAATGAATGGAATTTCTGGTGTCAGCTGGCGAAGAAACTCCACGCAAAGCAACACGCATCCCCAAATAATTACCTCACAAGGTTAACGACCATAAAGCCATAAATCAAAATAAGGAGAAAGCAGCCAATAACTCACATTATTCTGGTGTAGCACTTGCAGCACTCTGTTGACGTTGTTGAGAGCATGGACCCTGGTAGTGCCACGTTCTTTGGTCTGTTAAGAGAGAAAGAGGCATTTAAAGCTGAAACGGGCAAAACTGTAAACCATCACAAAAATTGCAGTTGTTTCTAAATTTGTACCGAAAATTTTAAGGCAGATTATAACTACATATTACAAACTCTTAAAAGCTCAGCGTGTCAGCCAAACCAGCTCTCACAACCTGGAAATGCATTTAGCTGGTGTACCATTCTAATAAGTGCAGTTAGTGTGTCCCACAAGCACGAGTGCCAACCAAACTAGCTCACGTCCTGCAAATACAATGTGCTGTTGTAATGCAAACAACAACAACAACTTGGATTTATATAGCGCCCTCCACGCCAGACGGTGTCTCAGAGCGCTTGTATTTTGCAGGCAAACACAGTATCCCAATCACACACAGCAATGTGAATAACCAATATTATTTGGGGGAATCCAGGCCAGCAAACCGTGAGAAACTCCCTTCGCTTTTCAAATAGTGCCATGGGATCTTTAACATCCACCTTGACAGGCAGACGGTTGAACACATCCAAAACACCAACAGAAGTCCAGCTTGCAAGCATAGCATGCCAGCCAACCAGCTGATGTTTTGTAAATACAGCGTTTCAGCCAAACACAAGCACAGTCAGCAGTACACCCTGCAAATCTGGCATCTTCCCCACATTATGTAAAATTAGCAGAACACCCACACCAACTCACACCACATAAACATGATCCTCCACCAGCTAAATAGTTCACAGCACAATCAAATGCATGAAATGAATGCTTGTCTGCATCAACATGAAAATAATTCAGAAAACATAGGAAATTTTAAAAAAACTTTCCTCTGCTTTAGCCATCCAATAGTTTCAAGGCTGGCATCACTACAACAATCTAATTCAACTACTGAATTGAAGACGATGAAAATGGAAGCACATACAAAGTGCTCGGAAAACCATTTATTTATGTTTACAGTAATGAAACCAAGGCCATTGTGACATGAGAACTTTTCCAAAGAGCTGAGGAACAAATGATCCTACTGGGAAACATTACAATTTATGCATCAGTCTGGCGCAGTGGTGCACAAACTGGCTGCCGTGTTTTGCCCACAAAATCACAATCACTATACTTTATAGTATATCCTGTGAAACGCTTTGAGATGTTTCAACGAAGTGATAAGGCGCTATACCAAATGCAAGTGTATTTAATTATTTTTATTACTATTAAATACCATATATAACTGCAGATATGTGATGCCCAAGTCCAACACGGCTGCAATGGGTTGACACGAAAGAAATAAGCAACATAAGCAAACTGAAAGAAACAACAAGTGCACACCTAGCCACAATGAGCACGGCATGAACACACAACAGAACAACCTCTAAACCTGGTGGATCAAATACCAAGGTACCCCAATGCAGCAAAAATATAAAGTAGGGCTATTGGGGAAAGGGCATAAAAAATGAATCAATAATCTGGTAGACACAAATTCCCGGAGCTGAATAGCCTTCTGTTACTATGTCCACAGCATCCTCAACAGACTGCCTAAAAAATGATTTACCTCCTCAAAGAACCTTCCACCAGCACCTAATTCAAGTCAAGTGCAATCCATCGTTCGAATTTCCATAGCCCTCCAATAATAAAGCTCACCTACTTTAAGTCACTAATAATTCTTTGCTCTCATTTGATTGCACTGTTTCCATCTTGGCTTTAAATGAAACCCGAGTGGGCAGGGATGGCACGATGCAATGGGAATCCAACACACTGAACCACTGTTTGGCACAATCCGGCACAATTCCACACAACGGGAATTCAGATCTCGCCCAAGAAGTCAGAGAGAGACTTGATGATGAGGAAACATGTAGAATGGCAGGACACTCAAAGAGGCACGCGTACATTTTTCCTGCTACATTAAGTGGCATAAAAAGTCCAGATATAAAGGCAGAGGACAGGTCAAGGCTCTGTTCCAAGAGGAAGCAATGTGTCGGACAAGGGAACCTAATTAAATGAGAACTGCACTCTGGAAACTCCTTCAAGTACTGGCCATTCATCAACCTTCTGTAGCAAACAGTCATCCCCATAGAGACCAGGCGGTTGGCAAGTCGTGTTCCCAATGTGCTCCAGCGTCCCACTGTTTACCAACAGTGCTCAGTGGCCAGAAATCTGACAAAACCGATTAACATTCTTGTGTCTCTTGGAGGTCAGCCACCGCAAAAAAAAATCAATACCAGAATGGAGAAGGAGATTACTTCAACAAACAAGATTTCCAATTAATAGTCACAGGGAACTGTATCCGTCCTTCAGGTCTCATCTACCTGTTCAGGTGGACGTTAAAGAACCCAGAGCATTATTCGAAAAAAGGGAATTTCTCATATTGTTCTAGCCAAAATAAGGGAGTTAAATTAGTTATTCATCTCCTGTCTGTCTGTGTGTATTGCTGTATACAAATTAGCTACTATGTTCACCAACAAATTACACAGTCATTGCATTTGACAATAATTACTGTGAAGTATTTTGAAACTTTTCAATGCAAAAAGTCACGATGTCAATTCCCAGGGGTTTATTGTAATGGTAAATCTACAGTAGTACCTCTCAATTAATACTGGCAACAAAAATATCCAGGGAAGAGAAAGAAAATAGCCTTTGGAATTAAAACTGTTTGTTAAGACAGAGTCATTGCTCCCCACCACACTTCAAAGTCAGCCAAGCAATGGTTAACAGAAGGTTCCCAACACCTAGCCACAAAAATCAATAAGCATAGCATGAACACACAACAGAAGAACCTCCAAATACCAAGATACAAGGTACCCCAATACAGCAAAAATATAAATTAGGAGTATTCAGAAAAAACATTAAAAAGATATGGGGAAAGAACATTTAAAAATCTGCCATGATAATAATCTGGTAGAACAGATTCACAGCTGCAATCCAAATAAATCTCACATTCTTAATATAGTCCTTATTATTTTCAGACTGCAGAAACTGCATGCTCTTTTTTGCTCTTATTATTGAGGTGCCTTCCTTAGTGAGTTTGGGATTTGTTTCATCAACAGTTTCAATGAAAAAAAGAGTCGGTAGAAGTGATCTGAATAGTGAGTTGCCCCACAAGGCAGGGTCCTACTGCCATGAACTAGAACAGTGAAAACTAGGAAATTAATGTTAAATGCACTAAACTGATTTAAAACAACTGGACAGCACACTGCACCAATTGCCTTACCAATGGTTTTCCTGTGAGTCCTTCGAGAAGATCCAAGAGCTTCCGTCCATCACGCAGCTCTGCAAACAGATCCTTGATTGGTGGCTTCCCACTCTGTACCAGAAGATAAATCAGAAAGTGTAACAATTGACAAAGTGAATAAAGAACAGCTGTATGAATTCATCAATGGCCAGATCAATTGCAGGAAGCAAGCCCCACATTCTCCTCACTGATAGAGTGGATGGAAATCACAAAGTCAATCTTAACCAAATCAACATCTTTGTAGCATGATATTAAGAGTTACAGCTGACGAGCTTCACTTTAAAACTAACAAAATTCTGGTAAGATTTTATACGTGTAGGGATGCACTATGTTCCCAGCGTCCAGTAAACTTTACTAATCTAGAGGATACATAGGTAGAACAGGCTCTGTGACCCCCATCATTCCCACCCTCGCCCGACTCCACCTGCTCCCCATCCCTCAGAGGACTGAATTCCAGATCCTCGTCCTCACTTTCAAGGCCATCTATGGGCCTTGTCCCCTCCTCCCTCTCTGACCTGCTGACTCCCTACCAACCCGCCCTCTCCCTCCGTTCAGCGGGCTCCGGCCTGCTCCATGTCTCCCCCTCGACCCACCCTACTATCGGTTGCCGGGTTTTCAGCCTCTCTGCCCCCACACTCTGGAACTCCATCCCACAGTCCCTTTGCCTCCCTCAAGACTGATCTCAAGGACCCTCCTCTTCGATCGTGCTTCAGTTGCCCTCCCACCTCTCTGCCTTCCCTCACCATACCCCACCCCTTCCCCATGCTCGGGTCCTGACCCCCGTCTGTCCAGCGCCTTGGGACGTCCTCCCGACGTGAAAGACGCTCTATAAATGTAATTTTGTTGTTGTTATAGAACAGGAAGTGTGGAGCGTGTTGGGAAATGGAAGGACGTCCCCGACATCGCTGTGATTTTCCTCATTTCAATTCGTCAGAACAAAAAAATGTCTTGCTCCTAGAAAGGTTAATGATTTGCATGGAGTCATTAAAAAATTAAACTCAGCTTGCTTCAACTGAGAATATAGTGCCTATAGCCGTAGAGAAGTAGGAACACAATCTTCTCATCAACAAAGCAGGGACGTGTCTTCAGAAGAACGGTTCCCATTGATTGGAAGATCGCAAACATCACACCACTATTTAAGATGGGTGGGAGAGAAAAAATGGGAACTATAGACCAGTTAGTCTGACATCGGTGGTAGAGAAAATTCTAGATTAAGGATAAAATTCTTAATTAAGGATGTCGTAGTGGGATACTTAAGAGGATCACAATATGATTAGACAGAGTCAACATGGCTTTACAAAAGGGAAGTCGTGCTTCCAAATCTTTTAGTTTTTTTGAGGACATTAGATAGGGGGGAATCAGCGGATGTAGTGTATTTAGATTTCCAAAAGGCATTTGATAAGGTACCGAATAAAAGGTTGATCCACAAGGTTAGGGTCCATGGAATTAAGGCGAATATATTAGCATGGATTGAAGAATGGCTAACGAGAAAGAAAACAAAGAGTAGGGATAAACGGGTCCTTCTCAGATTGGCGGGATGTGACTAGTGGAGTGCCACAAGGATCAGTGCTGGGCCTCAACTATTATAATCTACATCAACAATCTAGATGAGGACATTGGAACTTAATATATCCAAATTCGCAGATGACATTAAACTAGGAGGGAGAGTAAACACCGAGGGATGAACATTAAAAAAATGCAACGAGATATAGATAGGCTAGGTGAGTGGGCAAATAGTGGCAGATGAAGTATAATGTAGGGAAGTGTGAGGTCATCCACATAGGTGGCAAAAACAGTAGAGCAGATTATTTTTTAGAAGGGGAGAGACTAGATAGTGTTAGCATCAGAGGGTACTTAGGTGTCCTTGTACACCAGTAACAAAAAAGTTAGTTTGCAGGTACAGCAAGCAATTAGGAAGGCTAATGGTATGTTGGCATTTGTTACAAAAGGATTAGAAGAGTAGGGAAGTCTTGCTGCAACTGTATAGGCCCTGGTGAGACTGCACCTAGAGTATTGTGTGCAGTTTTGGTCTCCTATTTAAGAAAGGATGTACTCGGCTTGGAGGGGGTACAACGTAGATTCATTAGGTTGGTACCTGGGATGAGGGGGATGAGTATGAGAATAGGTTGAGCAATTTAGGCCTATATTCTCTAGAATATAGAAGAATAAGAGGTGACTTATAGAAACCTAACTTATAGAAACTTATCGATTACAAAGGGGCACGACAGAATAGATAGTGGGAGACTTTTTCCCCTGGTTGGAGAAACTATAACAAGGTCACAGTTTTAAAATTAGGGGTAAGCCCTTTTTGAAGAAAAACTTCTTCACTCAGGAGGGTAGTGAATTTATGGAATTCGCTACCCCAAGGCTGTAGATGCTCAGTCCTGGAACATATTCAAGACTGAGATTGATAGATTCTTGTGGATAAAGGGATTAAGGGATATGGGGATAAGGCGGGTAGGTGGAGTTAGAATAGATCAGCCATGATCTTATTGAATGGCGGGCAGGCTCGAGGGGCCAAATGGCCTACTCCTGCTCCTATTTATGTTCTAAGACTGCAGTCAGGAATAAACCTGGCTAGGATTATTGCTATCAGGGGAAACAATGCCCATCTTTCATTAAGGGCCACTTTACATCTCAACTCATTAAGCGCGCCTCTGGCATCTTTCCCTCTCGCGTGCACACACCACAACCACCATTTTCCAGGTGAGATCAGTAAAATCATCCCACCACATCACAGTAGACCCATTAGAAAACATCTACTTCTGTCCCATATTGCTCTCGTGTGTGTGAGTATAGTGTGTCATTTGCTCCATCACACAGAAAAGCCCTGTGATCATTTAAACCAGGAACCACTTGAACAGAATTCCCAATAGTGTCACTTTAACTTCATTCTCATCCTACAGCAGGTCACAGCAGAGTGATATGTAGCACCACATGTCGGGTTTATTGATAACTAGTTAGTTTTAAATTAACAAAATACGGCTCAGTGTCCAGGGCTCCATAGCCACCAGCAAAGCAAAATAAGAGCATGTCAGCAAGAGAGAGAAAAAAAGAAAATCGGTAATTCCATGCCTGAGAATAGCTTGCTAATGAGAATCTGGCAACCAATAATGCACAGCCCAATAGTCTCCTAGCACAGCATGATTACCAGAGGAAAAAAGGAGAGGGGAGAACAAATTGCTTTACACAGATATTGATATAATACGCGATGATTTACCACACCAGCAGTTGAAGCGAATAAATCGCAGCATTTAAAAGCAAATTGGAAAGATATTTGAAAAATATTAACAGATACAAGAAAAGCGATCAGAGTGGATTTGTCCCGTGGGGGAGCTAACACCAGCACTCATACCATTAGCCTAAAGGTCTTCTTTATTGCCATTATAAACATTTTAAGTTTTTATGCTCACCTACAAAATACACATTTTACAGTAAAATCTTGCAAAGCACTTTGAGAGATCCTCCAGACCTGAACTCATTGCCGGAAGCTGTGGCTGAAGAAAATACCATGAATGTATTCAAGAGAAAGTGTGTTGCATTGTGAGGGAGAAGCGAATAGAGAAGTATAGGAGAGGGGAACAGGGTAGATGTGGGCTCGTGTAGAGTATCAACACAATCCCAGACTGAATGGCCTGTTTCCATGGTATATCACTCCATATAACTATCTTTATGTGAAAGGTGCCATATTAAATGCAAGGATTATTATTTAATTATTAGTAGTAATAATAATAAATAATAATTTATTAGTGAAAAACTGGAGGGCATTGTAAGAGCCTGTCCAACACAGACTTCACATACTGTAGCTATGATAATTCACAATAGTATCCAATGGTGCTGTTGCTAATTATTCTCAATCTATGTAATATTTACATACATTTGTTCTGTTTTGAAGTAACAATCACTGAACGCACCAGCACATTTGCAATTTGAACATCAAGGGATTTGAACCCCCAAAATAATCAATTGCAACTTGCAAAACAAAACAGAGAACAGAAAATAAACAGGGCACTTCACATGGAATGGATGGAAAATATTTGAGTAACATGCACCACAATGAATGTAGAGATCTATTTCTGGTAAACGACTTACTGTCTCATGACAAAAACAAAAACAATCATTTGCTCCAAATCTGTCTTTGCCTGACCTTTCTCCCCCCGCTTTTACTTTGCCAATTGACTCGCTGCCTCAGCATTCAGTAATTCTTGCTTGCTTTCACTTTGCGTCCATGTACACTATTTCCTACCTAAGCTGATACCTTGTATTTATATAGCCTTCATATAAAGTAATGTCTCGAAGAGCTTTACAGAGGGAATCCAACACTAAGCTGGGGGAGGGTGGAAATGGGAGGTCACAATAGGCATGGTCAAAAAGATCTTTTTTAAAAAAACTAGCTTTCAGGGAGAGAGAGAGAAGCCGTTTCAGAGAGTGAGTGACTGAAGGTTCAGCTCCAGGTGGGGGCTTGCCTGTAGCTATTTTATTAATTTGGCACCAGGTAGAGCAGAGCTGCCCAGGAAAGCAGAGATGTCCAGAGTTACCCATTTGCTTTACCTTTGTGAAGCGAGCATTGAGCCACTTGGTGAATGTTTTTTCTGTACATCATCGTGTTCATCTGTAACACAATAGAACAGCCATTAACAAGCATGAAATTAAATCTTGTTTAAAATATCTCCTCCAAAATCTCTCATACTCTGTTAGCATCATAACTGAAAGCCCCCTACTACATTTCTGGCACATTGAGAGAGTCAGTTACCCACCATTACACTGCTCGACACACAGACCAGCCAAAGAGACCAGCCCACTAACTCACGCATATCACATCGACATCCTACAAACAGCTTACGTGCAAGTGTCTGTCTCTGCTAGAGCCATGGAACATGATGCGGTGTAAAACAGGAGATTTCAATACCCTTAGATTCTCTGCCATTACATCTATTCTTGTTAATAAGGCTCAGTGGACATAAAAATCAAGTTTAAAACCAGAGATTTACCATACTAAGGGAAAAGTCTATTTCAAATCGTTTTCACTGACACTTGAGGTTAATCTAGTGATTCTGGCATATCTATACATTTGGCTCCCATTACCACTGTTTCACTGTCTCAAGAGGTTATTCTTAGCTAACTAAATTACATGTGTATACTGCACGTTTTGAATCATACAGGTTATTTCAATATTGCACCGTCAATCAGGTTAGACAAAAGATCACAAGGTCAGATGTGAAATGGTTTGTACAAAACAACAAATTCTTGATTACATTTGCAAACCAAAATCATTTCAACTTTAGGTTGCTCCATGCCAATATCCAAAATCAAGCGAGAAAGGAATTTAATTTTATTAAGCTAAACACATACAACCTACATCAATCAGTGTAAAAAAATGCAAATATTTCCTAAAAGCTTCAAGCGCCAATTAAACTTAACTGGCATGTCTAAGCATTACTTTAATTAAAGCAGTTGAGAGGTCATCAGTTCTAGCTTGGAGGTTTACCACTCTTATTTGCTGTGCAGGAATTCAGGAACAAAAGGAGGTATTAGCTAGAGGCTTTTCAGAAAGGGAAGAGGGGAGAAAGGATTGGAGATTAATAAATTCAAGAATGTCCACAAGCACATTTCCAAAGCTCCAATCCATTCTGTGTTATAAGTTCCCCTTTCACCAACAAGATCCAAACACACCAGGTTGAGTAATGCAGGTCAGCAACTCAGATGGAATCCGCAAAACAAAGCAGCCGATCCCTCTCACACTGTTCGGCAAAGAGCTGTCATAACCAACAACTGAGCTTTGAGAATTAGGTTTCCCACCCCAATAAATCAGAGCAAATGAGTTGCAAAGAAAGGCTTTATTTAAAAAAAATGAGCTACCTTACAATACACACCTAATAGTAGGCACAGATTTTAAAATAATCAACAATTTACTTATATATAACACCTTTCACATCAAGACTGTTGGCAGAATGAGCTATAATCAATGATTAGACAAGCTGGGGCTCTTTAATCTGAGAGACGACATCTCAGATGGGGCATTATAGAGGTGTATAAAATTCTAAATGGGATTGGAAAAGTAAACCCAAATCAATACTTTAGGATGCAGAAATACAGTAGAACAAGAGGACATAGGTTTAAGAGTTGCAATATGCAATTTCAGAACAGATGCCAAGAAGTTGTTCTTTATCCAGAGGGTAATTAACAACATGAAGGGTGGTTGAAGCCAGGATACTGGACTCAGTGGAAAAAAGCTTGGTGCTATGATGGGTGAGTATTTTGGAAGGATGAGATCAAATAGGTTGAATTAATCTTACGATCTTGAAAGAAAACAATAATCATTACACCACAATGCTGTACTCGAGGTGCAAACATATATTAAAGGTAGAGGACAGCTCAGTGCCACAGCCTGGCGTTTTTCTGGTGGGGGAGGGAGTTAAAGAAAGAAGGAAAATTATAACCAAGCCCAACAGTGTCCTCGCATGCAAACTTTGCAGCAGAAATTCAGGAAACAGATCACTTGTATAAACTCAGGACATATTCTTTCTTCTCCAGTCCAAAGATACAAAGACCACTTTGTTTTTTCAATGAGTCCAATGTCCACTTTGGTTTGGTCAGCTGGGTGTCCGATCAAACAGAAACCCACCACCAATCTTAAGCATCCCCAAACCAAATTACTGAGAATTTGACATAAGTGTGGTTTCCATTGTCAGTACATCATTACGGAGTTAACTCATCCTCCAAACCTCACTTACATTTCCCCCTTTGACCACCACAACAACTTGGATTTATATAGCGCCCTCCACACTGGACGGCGTCTCAGAGCGCTTCACAGTAACGGATCCTGGGGCTGAGCCAGAGGGAGGGGAGGAAGGTGCCCAGTCGAAAAGAAAGGTCTTCAGCTGAGACCTGAAAATAGGAAGAGAGGGAGCGATGCGAAGGGAATGAGGAAGGGAATTCCAGAGCCTCGAGGCGAAGCGGCTGAAGGCACGGCTGCCGATGGTGGATCGGAGGATTCGGGGGACAAGGAGGAGGCCAGACCCGGTGGAGCAAAGGCAACGGGCACTGGACCAAGGAGGATAGTCACTCAATTGCTACAAAATAGTCACTACACCTAAGAGTAAATCCTGTGAAGAGTTTTGGGATGTCCTCCTGATGTGAAAGAGGTATTTGTTGTTGTTTTGAGACATCTCAAAGAAAGTATAAAGCACTATCAAATCAAGAATTATTACTATTAAGGTTGGTTACTAGACCATATGTTATATCTTTGACTGTGTTCAATCAACTCCGCACAGTCCAAAGATCAAATCTTGGACATTTTTGATCTATAGGCTTCAGTGATACACTACACAATGTATTTATCCACTGAAACTTTCAGCACAGTGACTATCATCAGTACCAGCTAGAAAGTAGAAAAGAACAGCAGACTGCAACATAACTAGCACAAGTCTGAAAATATTTGCATAACCGTCTCAACCAGATTCTGGGCTTGATTAACTTTGCATGGGCTCCAACACAGAGAAACAGAGGAAAAGATAGTCATAGACAGAATGTTAGTGGGACTGAGAGAGAGAGAGAGAAAGAGAGAAATGGACAGACAGAGGGAGAGAGACAGTGAGTGAGAGAGAGAAAGAGATGAAGAGAGAGAGAAAACAGAGAAACAGTGAAAAGCAGTAAAGAGAAACAGATGATAGAATGTGAGGAGTTGGCACGGTGTTCAGAAGGGAATTACTGTGAAAAATCAGCTCTACTATACAACAATTTACATTCATTCAGCATTTTCCCTGTAAAATAAACAAAACAGTTGAATTTGATAAGAAATTGAATGAACATTGTTATGTAGGTAAATTTAATGCAATGGACTGAAAAGATCAGGTGCAAATATTACAGAAAATTCTCTCTGCATATTCATATTATGTGGTGTTGAGACATGATCTGGACACTTCCAAAGCAACATTTCAAGAAACAGACTGCAGTATGTGAAGCATTCGTAAGATATCAACTTGGCTCAGTTGGTAGCACTCTTGCTAGATGGAGTCAGAAGGTTGTGGGTTCAAACTATAGATTTGGTCTTTGAACTCAGTCCAGACTGGCATTCCAATATAGTGGGGGAGTACTGCATCATTGAAAGTGCCAACTTCCAGATGAGACATTAAATCTCGGCTCCATCTGCCTGTTCAGATGCATGTTAAAGATCCCATGGGACTATTTGAAAAATAGAAGGAAGTTTCTTTGTGCCCTACCCATAAATAATATTAAATTATACCCTCCCCCCACTGCCAAACACAAGTGAACAGCATGATAATCAAACAGCATGTTGAAAATAACGTACAAGTAGCTATTGCACTATTTTCAAACAATCTGGAAGATAAAGTTAAGAAAATGGCACATCCCTGTATACTTTTCAGAGTGTACATGCTTTAAACACTGAGAAATACTGTACTTTGCCGGAGTATCTCTCTTCAGGGACAGTAAATAACTCTTAAACCAACGGACAGTGGAAAAAGTAGTAGTATAAGTTCTTACAGAGAGACCAGATTTACTCCTATCATATGCACTCACACAGCAACAAGGGGTCAAAATCTTGAGCCAATCTGATAAAGAAAGTATCCAGATCCAAAACACTGCACAACAAATGATAATCTCTCCCATGGGCACTTCTCATTCTTACAAGGGCAAATCTGCATTCATTAATAAAATGAACCGGAAACTTGCTCCAACCAAAGGAAATGTGAATCCCAGAAGTCTTTTCATACAATTCACAGCAAATTTCTTGGCAAATATTCTGAGCTGACAGTTGAAAAGCTGACAAAAACACGTACACAGGCAACAGCTGTTCCTGATATTATATCAGTGCACGATTCCACACGCACTTTTCCTAGAATTTCCTTCTTACAGTTGTGGCATTTAGTGGTTGGTTCCCAAAAGATAGGTAAACAAACTCTCAACTCCCTGATCCTGATTAATTGATTTGGTCGGGCCTTCAGCCTCTCAGCCCCGAGGCTCTGGAACTCCATCCCCCAGTGCCTTCGCCTTGCTTCCTCCCTTTCCTCCTTCAAGGCCGGTCTCAAAACCTTTCTCTTTGACCGTGCCTTCAGCTCCCCTCTCGACTCTCTTCCTCCTCCTCGCTCCCTCCCTTCCCTCCCTCACCCTGACCATTTCCCCCCTCCTCTCTCCCTCCCTTCCCTCCCCTCACCCTGACCATTTCCCCCCTGCTCGGGTCATGACCCAACTGTGCAGCGCCTTGGGACGTCCTCCTGACGTGAAAGGCGCTCTATAAATGGAATCTTGTTGTTGTTGTTGTTGTTGTTGTTGACAAGGTTTAACTCCATTTCTCATTTAGTCTGTGCGCATCCTGCTCACCCAATTCCAGAGTATTAGGCACAGGGAGGCAAGAGTCAAGACTCTGGGACGCCTGACTGTGCTGCTGGGGTACTGCTGGAGTCCAATCAGCTGAAACCACATTGCTTGCTATTGAGGGCACTGTCTGGCAAGCTTTCCTGTTGAAACACCTGCCCTAGGACCACTCTAATCCCAGTCCAAGTCTGATCTGGTTTTGAGCCTGGCATCTCAATGGCACCTTGTGTTCTGAGTGACTCCTGTTTCTTCTGGCTCCCTGAACTCTACCCAGCTTGGTGCAGTCTACCACTTTTGTTGAGGCCTAGAACGTCTGCTGCATTCTCAACAGCCAACAGTAAAACTTGCATTTATATAGCACCCTTAATGCAGGTAGAGTTACTGAATGCTGCTGCCATCACACATGCTTTTAACAGAATAGAAAGTAACCAATCCATGAATATCCAAGTTGCAAATGACATCTCCCCTCAATGTTTTCCCTGCAAGGAAAAGCGACTTTTGGCTGTGATTTGATTAATAAATGAAATGATCGTCACTAAATTAACCTCCAGCTGAATTGATCACTGTCAGCAAAATGAATGTACCTTGCCACTCTGTTCATCCTGTATCAATATGTGATCTGCCGCCATTCAATTTCAATTCATGCAACCTCTTCGCTTCAACGAATCACCCAATTACTCACTTACATAGATTGGCTTGCTTATGGTCTTAAGATACCAGATAAATAAACCCCCCAAAGCAATGTGTGACCCTTCAACAAAGTTAATAGATAACCTGCTGAGCAGCAAGAAAATTTTACTTTCATATCATTCCCCTACCCTGATGCCTTTAAAGTGCATCACGCATGCACAGGCCTGCTTTATGGGCTTCAGTAGATCGCAGATTTAAAACGATGGCAATTTGTACATCAAGTAGGTGTAAAAATGAGGTTGTTTGACAGTCCATTGTTTGAGCGGACTATTCCAAGCACTTGACCTTCAGCACCCGTCAGATGTTTGAGACTCAGCACCCGTCAGATGTTTGAGACTCCGTATCAAATCCACCACCTGCTCCCTCAACCCCATCCCTAACCCCCTCCTTACTTCCCAGCTCTACCTCCTTGCCCCTCTACTCACTGACTCTCCTTGTCGTCTAGTACTGTTCCCACCTCTCTAAAAACTGCTGTCATCACTCCTATCCTTAAAAAAATCTTCTCTGGACCCTTCTCTACTCCCTAACTACCGCCCCATCTCCAACCTCCCCTTCCTCTCTAAGGTCCTGGAACGAGTTGTTGCTTCTCAGCTTCGCTCCTTCCTCTCCCGCCACTCCTTTCTCGAACCCCTCTAATTGGGTTTCCATGCCGCCCACACCACAGAAACCGTCCTGGTCAAAGTGACAAATGACATTTTGTCCATCTGAGACCAGGGCTCCCTCTGCCTCCTCATTCTCCTTGACCTCTCTGCTGCTTTCAACACCGTCGACCACTCTGTCCTCACCACCGCCTCTTCTCTCACCTCAACCTCCATGACGCTATCCTTGATTGGTTCAGATTGTACCTCTCACACCACCTGCACTCCGACACTGTCTCACACCGCAGGCCGCCAAAACCCTCAAGGATCGACTATGCAAACGCACTGCTTGTCGGCCTCCCCAACTCCTCCCTCCACAGGCTGCAGATCATCTAGAACTCTGCAGCCCGTTCCTCTCCTGCACTAGGCTCGGCAACCCTATCACCCCCATCCTTGCCCAACTCCATTGGCTTCCCATCACACAGAGGATACAGTTCAAGATCCTGGTCCTCACCTTCAAAGCCCTCCATGGTCTTGCTCCGCCCTACCTCTCCGACCTCCTAACCCCCTACCATCCTGTTCGCTCCCTCCGCTCAACAGGCTCCGGCTGCTTCACGTTCCCCGCCTTGCTCGCCCTACTATCAGCAAGCGGGCCTTCTGCCACTCTACACCCACCCTCTGGAACTTCATCCCGCAGTCCCTCCATCTCGCCCCCTCCCTCGCCGCATCAAGATCCATCTCAAGACCCTTCTCTTCGACCGTGCTTTTGACCTCCCTGCTTCCGTAACTCTGTCTGTCCAGCACTTTGGGACATCCTCCCAACATGAAAGACGCTATACAAATGTAATTTTGTCGTTGTTGTTGTTCTGTCCTCTGAAGGGGAGGAGGAAGTGAGGGCAATATGATTCTCTGCCAGAGCCCTCAAGAGGAAGGAGCTGCATTCATCCACGTCAGTGAGAGGCTGAAGAATGAAACTGATGTAAAAGCAGTGGGTGAGAAATGAACCCTGACAGATGCTTCAGGACTAATTTTACGTATCACTGTAGGAGAGCGCACACAAAACTCTTTCCAAAGCACTTCAGATTTGAAACAATTATTATGATCACACGGCATGAGATAGGTTATCAGAACAGATAAGGGCTTTGTCTAATAATGATGGCTCACGTCATAAGCACATCGGTAATGAACCATGTATTCTTCCTTCTAGATGAACAGTGCTTTCCCTCCACATGGTTGTAACTGTGTAATTTACGGGTACACTGACTGATTCTGATAGCCAGAATTGCCTTGTAGTCGTTTTATGACTACATACAAATTGCACCCAAAATAATTGTTATTTCCATCCACTCTTTCATCCGCAGCACTTTCACTCTCCAGATTCATATCAACTTAGTTCAATCATATTAGCAGCTTCTTCTTTGAAAAACATTAAAACAGAAAATCTACACACGGAGCCACACACATCCTCAGCCCGCACTAATACCCATACCTCAACACTAACACCAACGTACATAAAACAATCAAGAAATAATTTCTTAACATACGGTTTGGATGGAACCAAACACAACACAAGAGGAGGACATTTGGCCCATTGTATCTGAGCTGGTTTAACTCCCAATTTGATCTTCTCTGTTCTAATCTCATACATCTTTTGCTGTACTCTTTAATACTTTGCCTCGATTATTTATCCAATTCACTTGTAAATGACAATACATATTCTCCTGAAGAATTTGCCAAATATGGATTAGATTCACCTTCACAGGTGAAGTTAAAAAAACAGTGACAGTAGCTCGCCGAACTGGGCACGTTTATTCTCATTGTGGGTATTGGTGACACATAAATGGTGCAACTGAACCAAAAACAAACAAGGTGCTACAATGAATCCCAGTTGTGTGGTGTAAACCCATTTCAACTGTGACAATAAACTGGCTAAGCATCCTTGGTTATAAAGATGTCCCCTGCCCCTATCCACCCCCCCACCACCACACACACCCCACTGGAAGTCCTTGTGTAGACACTTCAGGGGACAGAATACTTCTGCTGACTACCACATACATTTGGTCCCAGTTTTCACTCAATCCAGATTCCACCAATTCATAAAATTTTTATTTTTTTTAAAAAAGTTCTCCTGATGTGGGTGACCTTGGTAGAGGCAGCATTTATTACCGGATCTGGTTCAGCTGAACAACTTGAGCAGAATTGCAGAACATTTGGGAAACGTATAAAGACCATCTGGCAGGAGTGCCAGTTACAGCACCACAACAATGCAACATAACAAAAACAAATTACATTTGTATAGCACCTTTCACATCAGGAGGACGTCCCAAGGCGCTGGACAGTCAGGGATCCACACCTGAGCTGAGGCACTCATTGGAGTCATAAACCACAGAGAATAGACCATGGAGAATAAGTCATCAAATCTAGGTCAGATTTTGCATAACAAAATTTATTTTTTTTTCTAAAAAAAACTTCACATTGATTATTAATTCAACCCTCTCCACTTGGACATTAAGCAAACTGAACGGTGTAAAACTATATTGCTCAGATTTCCTGACTTCAGTTCATTCTTAGCATACTTATGGAATACTGCACAGTGCTTGCACAAACCTGCACAACAGATGTTACTTTCTCCTTATCAGTCTTAAGACTAACAAGATTAAAAATGTGCATGACTTGAATTCCTGTTTCGAAAAAAATATGCTTTGAAGGTTTCAGCAGCTACATATCCCCTCCCCACCCACCGTCACTCCCCTCCCCATCACCCTTATCAGCAGGTAGTAGACCGGAGCAACCGATTAGATCAATAAGAATGTGTCAAACCAAGGGGAGAACCAAAGGTTTAATTAAAACTTACTTCAAGCAGCCCCACATACCTGTAGATGTGTAAACAAGTTCTTGTGCCATCATGCCACACTTACTAATACAAAAACACAGATTAAAAGTGGGTTTCCAGCACAGAAATAAGTGTCAATGCTTCAGGACAGTATCTGGTGCATTTACCACTCTGCTCAACACAACTCCAGTGTACAAAAACAAACTTCAAACACTGGACACTTTTTACCGGGTGCCAAGGCAAAATGCAAAGCATCCAACTTCAACACCTCTTCACGTGGCCACTGAATACATGCAAATGAGTATTCTCAGGTAAAGGTCATTTGTACCTTCCATAAAAAACAATGACTACTGGTCTCTGGACAACTTACACACATTAAATGGTTAACAAGGTGAGCAGAAACATTTCCCACTATCCAACATAATGAGCCCCGGGAACAGTCAGTGTCAACTACCACCTCCAACCAATAAAAGAATGTGGGCTTAGAGTAGGGAAGTGGTCGATCACTCTGTGTGTGGTTTAAGAGGAAACCTCACTAAGTTACTGTAATCATCGTGAAATCTGGATAAGATTTTTTAAAAAACACACTGGCACCTCCACTATTTTCTTTACTAAACATCCATATGTGTAACTCTCCATCTGGTTTGGATTCTCTTAAGCATGGTGATGAGTAACCTCTTGAAAATAATCAAACTGTACTCTGTACACTGCAAATAAAACAGAATATTCATATAGATTAAAATACTTCTCGTGCAATCCTCTTCATCTTTTCAATCTCCCCTCTCCGATTCCTCCAGTCACACCGGGGGAGGGGGGGGGGGGGTGCGGAAAGAGAAGAGGAATGAGTTCCAACCATGAGCAATGAAACTCTCCTTCATACCTTCCCCTCCCTATTGTTCTTCTGCACACAGCTGTCCCCGCTCACCCCTTCCCTAAACACAATTGAATTGCAGCCAGCAACACACTTGTGATGCTTGCAAAGTCAAGTGAGAATTATCAGTGAAGAATCAAGGCAGGATATCAAGGGCGAGACAAGGGGGTAAATAAGATGAAGCAAAGCTCGAGTTCTGAAAGCTGAGTGCTGTACCCGTTTCAGCTTTGCTTGCGACCTAAGGATCCAATATGGAATGTAGATCGACACACACACACACACACAGACAGACACACATTTTATCTTTATCTATACTCATCTGGGAGGACTCCTGTGGGTGGACTTCTTTTGGGAGGGCTCAGTGCTTTAAAATTGTAATTTTGTTGTTGCCGAGGCTTAGCTCCGTCTGTGTGCTTTATTTTGTTGCCACCGCTTGGCTACATGCGTGCCCTGTGACTCAGGATGCCACACCCCCACAGTCAGCTGTCGCAGCCACCAGGTATAACTGTAGTGCGTGCATACATGCGTAGGATCTCTATGACACACTATGCGACAAGCCACTTTGACTCGGCGGCCACCCGGTGTAACTGAAGTGAAAAATGCAAAACTGAAAATAACTCATGAACGATAGAAGATACCCAAAAACAAATATGCCCATGTCACTCCCAAACCCAAGACCTTTCCAATGAGGTATAAATCGTGTGTCTACATCAATCAGTTATTGAGATCCTTCTTGAAGTACAGATAGACATTGTCGTTTTATTAGTATATAATAAAAGAAGATAGATTATTTAAGAAGCAGAAGAGTGATGAGGGGAAGGAAATAGTTCCTGACTTGAGTTCCCAGGAAAGAACAAGCAGCTAAAATTTGGCCTTTTTGGGGGTGCTGATTTATTTTTAAAGTCTGTGTGATTTTCAGATATGCAGAATTCAGGTGCTTTAAACTGAAGAGTACCTTTAGTAACTGGTGAATGTAAGTGCACACTTGACATGAGAGCCTGACGTTTGATCAGGCCTTATTGACACAGAGGAAGCAATTTATCATCAACTACCCTGACACAACCAACACTGTTTTTAGAGCACAGCTAAACCTGGGAAATGTACTATCTCTTGTTTCAAACAATTGAAATTCGCAATTACTAGCTCAACTTGTACTGGAAATGTCACTATATAAACATTTATAAAGTAAGAGGAATTTATTTAGCCGAGCCTTTTTTCTCTGCAGTTTTATTTTAAACTGAAGTATTTATATTATGAGGCTTCACAGGGAATTTCTGTCACAATTTACACAATTTATTGTGAAGTACAAGCCAACCAACAATTTATCAAAGTCCCACACAAGCCAAACATTGAACACCGACTATAATATCCTCCGCCACGATAAATAGCCCAACTCTACCCTCCACAAAGCATCAAATCTTCCAATACTCCACAGCCCAAGTTCTGTCACACACTGGGCACCTCACACTCACCACCATCCCCTCACCGCATTCTCCCGCCCTGAACACTCCACTCTGTCTGTAACCTATTGCTGATTTCCCACACTCTCTGTACCAGGCGGGGGAGCCTGCAGCCACATGAACCTGTTCTCGTGCCTTTAAAATCCTCTTAAAAACATCTCTCTTTGAAGCCCAAGTCTTTGGCAACAGCCTAAAATATTCCTTCCTCTTCTCCCTGTTCCGTGATCCCTACAGGAAAGACACAAATGAAACTCACCATCATGTCCAACCTGGTTGTGCAAACAAGTTTTTGATTCAATATCATAAAGTGCAGTAGTTGTCAACTTGAGTACATGATTCATGGTCAGACTCAGCCAACCATAAGTGTTTACTTTTCTTCAGCAAACAAAATTTAAATCCTCGCTGGAAGGCGAACAATTATCTAGGGAAAGAGTGCAAGACAGCACCCCCAAACAACCTACACAATAATAACATTCCTTGCATTTGATATAGCGCCTTATCACTTCATTGAGACATCTCAAAGCGCTTCACAGAATAGACTGTAAAGTGAATTGACTGTATATTTGGGGGCGAAATGCGGCAGCCAATTGCGCACAGCAGTGTCCCACAAACAGTCGTGGATTGAAATGACTAAATTATTATTATTTTTTGAAGGGATTATTACCCCCGGAAAGCAATCCGCCAATTGACTAACAAATAGGTTCTTACTTACTGCTAGGTAAACAAAGGTGTGTGGAGTAAGGAAACTTGCCTAACATTTTGCTCTGCCAGGAATCGAATTCAAGTCCTCTCGCTTGTGAGGTGAGAGCTCTACCCGCACATGCCATCATGGGTCACACCACAGCAAAAGCAAACTGTAGGGTGACCATGATGTACCTCAAAGCGCTCTGAGATGCTATATAAATGCAAGTTGTTGTTGTTTTAGGTCTATACAATTAGACCAGCAGTCAATTTGTTTACGTCACTTCCAGGGTGGTGTCCATAGTACACCAGAGTTATAAGGGGACTTGCAGTGTGGTAGAGCAGTGTCTTCTTGTATTAAAGTTCACATCCACCTTCTGGTTCATTCCCCATCCCAAACATAGATATACAGAAAAACTCACATACACACAACCCATACAAGTCACCTTTTATAACATCTGCAAAGCCTCCAAAAATCCAATTTTTTTTTGTCGTGCTGCCAGTCTGCTTGCAAGAGTATTCGGGGAATATCACTGAGGAGCAATGAACAGCCCATACAAAGTAGCACATCAGATTTGCATAATAGGTCAGCTTTGCCTGTGGTCGAGCAGGCAGAAAACCAAGCTGCGTGAAGTCAGGAGAGATAATCTAACACCACAACAGTGCTTGCGCACAATGTACTACTGTAATGAGTCTGGGACCCACCGGAGAGAGAAGTGTAACTTTTCCAAACGGGCAGGAAAGAGCAAGTGAGCGCACTACAATCATACACATGGTTCTCGCCACATTGCTATAGAGTTTCATAACAAAAGGATGTATGAATATAAAATTGTATTTTAGGCCTGAAGTAGTAAGGGAGCAAAAACAGACCAAAAACTTTCTAGATGTCCAAACTGAACCAATCCCCAGGAGCTGGGCTCTTTCAGTCAACCACCATCAAAACTTCCATAACTTGAAATCCTGTTGCAAGTTGATATTTTTCACAGACTCAGAATGCAATAATCGACCACTTGTAACCCTCGTCACATTCTCTGAAAGTGAAGCAAATCCACCAATACTCTTAACCTAATGATATAATTGTAGAGGGATGGTTTCCCCTGTCCCAGTAACTATACAGAAGTAATGAAGTAAAATTCCAGCACTCTGGCAACTAACAACACAGATTCATGTCCAAAAGCCTTGGTTTATTTTTGATCCTACTCCTGAAATAAGCATTTTAAACTTCAAAATTAAGCCTCCAAAGAGGATTTGGGTCAGTTGGATGAAACTTGTGACGCTGTCTATTGTGCAACCACATACCAGCAAACATTTGAAGAAACAGGTTTCTGCCTGCACAGCAATGCTTAGATTTAAACGCACTGCACACTCAGGAGGAAGCATTCAGTTGTGGGGGTGCAATCAGTTACCCGTCCTGGATGGTACACTGCATGGTAACAAAAGCAACACAACCAAGCAAAAGTGAGCAAGCAAAAAAAAAAACATGATTCGGTATCCGACTCATCCCCAGGGACTGTAAACTCCCTTCCACTAAACCAGTTTATACCACTGGATATAAAACCACTTCCAGCTGGAAAACAGAGCACCAGTTATATTTTCCACTCTGTAAGCACACAAATTAGCCAGAGGATGAGCAATGCTCTGCTAACTAATGTCTGCTAAATGCAGAGAGTTCCTCTAAGGCACAAGCCAACAACAACAAACAGCAATGTGGAGAGAACCATGTGCATTTATACAGCATCTTTCACGCCGGACGGCATCGCGGAGTGCTTTTGATCATGTGTTCCACCAATTTAAAATACACAGAGCTTTGCTAACTAATGGTAAAAGCAGAGAATTCTGCTAACTGATGTCAAGTGTACAGTAGCTGTTTTTTCTTGAAGAGCCAGTGATGAAACAGTAAAAATTAATCCTTCAAAACATCTTAAGCTATTCTTTAGAGACAGGAGATACTGGGAGGGCAGCCAACACCCACACCCCTTCTCCCTCCACCCCCCGGGGAAAGTTGGGAGTGCAGCCAGCACAGACAGAACATTAACTCGGGAATAGTCAGTATCTTCAG